ACGGTCGAGCGAGCCTGTCGTGGCTTTAAGCACAAATGCAGGGCTTCCTTCCGGCTTTTCCGTTTTGGCCTTTATGTAAATCACAATTTGCTGAAATTCCATAATTTGTTCGCAATTTGCAGGGGAGCGTGGCAAGTGTCAACCCCGGCAATGACATTAAATCTCCTCCGCTGGGCGCACACACCTGCAGCGAGGCAGGAAATATCCAGCGACGACGACTCCTGCTCCTGGAAGTCAATTTACGGCCCATCCCCAGAGGTTGAGTATCCGACCCGTTGCCAAACGGCACTTAAATGAAGTACACGCGCCATGGAAGTCCGTATCGTCACGCTAAGTGTGTGTATGTGTGGGCCCCAAAATCAATATCGCATCAATTGCCTGCTTTTTTTAAGGCTTCACTCGATATCAGTGCGGGGTAACCCTGTGATTTCTATACCCTTTGCAGGATAATATGATTTTAGTCAGAAGCTTGCTAGGTAGTAAAGGAGCCATTTCCGACCCAATAAACCATTTATATTCTTGATCAGCAGCAACAGGGGAATCTTTCTAGCCATCTTCGAAGGAAAATTTAATTTTTTTATTTTTTTCAAAATTTTATAAGGGGTTACATCGTCAAAATTCTCAAAAATTGAAAAAATATATGATTTTTTAAAATTAAAAATTAAGTATGCAGATTTGTTAACGTACAAAAAACTAGGATAGAAAAGCTTTCCAAATTGAACTTAAGGCTTTTTTAGCTTAGTTATGTTTGATTTTTGAACTGCAAGGGTATACAAATTTCGACTTTCTGCACTTAGTTTCCCTTCCTGTTTCAATTAAATTATAAAAATTATCAGAGAGAAAGAAATGGCTTTTTAGCTAAAGGAAGTGATAACTATTTGGTAAATTTTAAGAATATTTTTTGTTAGAAAACTTAATTATCTACCAACAAATTTATTATTAATTTATTTTTAAAGCTACCTTCACTGTCCTAAAATAGCTCCTTTTAGCCATTATAGTTCTGGCAGCACTGACAGAAAACTCCCAGGCCAAGACGGAGGCCAAGCAAGGGCCAGGAAGAAGGGGAAACAACCTCAGCACGTGCTGTCATCGGAAAGACAAACGGAGGAACAAGCCAGAACCAGGCCGATACTGGGACTTGAAGGGAGACAGAGAACGGAGACCAAGACTGAGAACTGGAACGAGAACGAGACCGGCAGTAAGGGGACTTCAGCTCCTTCTTCTCCACTTCCTCCTGCTCCAGTTCCTCCTCCTCCTCTCACACAATCCTCCCCTGTGCCTGGTTACCTTCACCTTGGCTGCAATTAATTCTGGTAACATAATCTTCACTTACAACTTTATATGACACTAAATCAGTGCAAAGTGGGTGCGGGGCCACCTCATACATATTAGAGTGGAAATCGGTCGGTGAATCGCATGTGTGATGTGTGTGTGTGTTGTGGGCGTTTCCGGGCGGCCTTACAAGCCCCAATTACGAAGAAACTCAACGCTTTCAGAGCCCGAAATTTAATTAGTTCCATTTAAAGTCGAAAGAGAGGGAAACAAAAACATGCGAAGGTACAAAATGCGTGGAGGAGCATTCCCATTCCCAATCCCTCCGCATATTTGCACGCCAGCTGATAATTATCGCTGGAAATTCGGTCAGAGGTTGACCCCGCCCCGTGCATTATGGCTTTCCCAGATCTCTGAAGCATTTAATCTGCATGCAGGATCCTGGGACACCTGATATACGATGCACTTGCCCTTAAAGGGGGGATGAGAGAAAAGGAGCAGGAGATCTGTTGTGGCACGCAGTCTGGCCATTTCGTTTTCACCTGAAACAGCGGGCGATGGGACACGGAGAGAAATATTGTGTATTTTGACGAGTTTTTTATACAAATTGAGAACATGTAATGGTTAATTAATTTATATTTAAAGAATATTGCATGGATAATAATAGTTTCTAAGGTTTACTGGATATGTCAGTTTATAACCTTATGGTCTTTTGGCCTATTTTTTTCTGTGTGTTTAGATGGTTTTATTTTCACTTCCAATCCCAAAGATTACGTGATCCCTTGACTGCTCAAAACCTGACATTATGGTCTCTGTTCAGCACAATTAATGTTTACAGGCTTTACTTTTGTCATTTAACAAAAGAAAACCAAAGATTAAAAACATGAATTAAAAACTTGAAGCAGTTGAAATAATTTATAATAAAATGGAAATGAATAAAGTAAAACCTAAAACTGAAGATTACCATTAAACATGATAACCCGAGATCCACTTCCCATTTGTTATTTAAGAAAGTGTTTTCTAACTCATCTTCAAACCTCTCCCAACCTTTTTTACATCCCAAAAGAGATAGATGCCCAGCATTCCAGCTGGCAAAGCGTGAAATTCGGGATGAGTTCGCTTAATAAATTCCTCAAAAATAGTACTTCACAGTTCCGGACAATTTCCCAAAGTCATTAGCAATTGGAAATGGCTAAGCGGAGGTCTCACTCTCCGAGATCCGACGCAATGCATCCGTGGACAATGGGGAGTGGCTGTCTCGCATCATCGCTTAACTTTTCGACATGTTTCACATGTGATGAAGATTAAGTAGAAAATAATTACAAGAGCTGGCCGCGACCGTGGCCAAAGCAGCGGCTGTGTGTGCGATCCCGATCGGATCTGGTCGGGATCTCAGTAATTACATAAACGGCGAGGCTGGTGCGGTGACAGGACGGCGTCATCGGAGGGCCTAAGCCTGGAACTGAACCGACCGCCAGTCGATCATCAATCGTGCGAACTTACTTTCCCGGGGGCCGCCCCCTCGGAACGCGGATATCACTGCGATCCAGACCAGGCTGAGACCTACCTGTTCCCAGGGCCAAGCGAGAAGCACAGCCCAAAAAAATAAAAAGGGCCAAATCAGCGTGGCCTCTTCCATGGCCATAAATTTTAAAGTAATTTTCTCTTAGCCGCAGAATAATTTATGGGAAAATATTAAAGCTGCCCCAAATAACCAAAGCTTCGCTTGAATTTCAGGGAGATCCTAAGTTTGGCTCAAAAAAACCCAAAAGCGAAATAGAGTAATTAAGTAAGAGTTGGCTTATCTACAAGCACTTTAGGCGTAGCTGATAATCCTGCCCAGATCTCCGGTGCCGGTGATCTTCGCCCAGCAATTTCGGCTCTGGCTTCGGCCTGAGTTATGGCTGGCAAGTCTCGCGGGGATCAGGTCACGATTATCTGCATACGCAGCCGGCAATAATAATTTCAAAATTGGCGCACTTAAGCCAAGGATGAGGAACCGCGGATGTGGATCCTCGCTTGGATCCCTTGGCGTAATTGTTATGACCCTCAAAAGGTCCTGCGTGTGCAGCCATCGGCTTGGGCCATGCCTCGGCTAGCTCCCCCTCAGGCATGGGTTCTTGGCCCGGCCCACTTACACACGTAACAGATAAATTTTTTTTTTTTTTTTTTTTTTAAACATCCCGCCATAGACGAGACGTTACACAGCACTAATACTTGCACAACTTCGAACTGAACGAAACATTCACCTAAACGACACATACATACTCAGAAACGATCAGTCATCTGGGAGACTCCTGGATGTCCTTTGGAGCTCCCCTGCCTTTCCCTCCCATCCTTTGCAGGCTGCTGGCAGGAACTGTTTATGCAGCTGCCCCTATTTCAAAATTAACGCACCTTCAATCACCTCACGCCATAGTTCTCTTCCTCCTCCCCAAAAAGAAAAAGGACTACTTTATGCTCCTTTTACCCATAAATTTTAATAAAAATCATAACTTTTTCAGAATTACAAGTGTTGGTTTTTATATGTATGTTGCCCTTGTCTAACTCTTCTTTTTGTTTTTCCAAAATTTAAACAATCACAAGTAACCATATACTGCAACAAGCGAATTCCTTGGCCTACCCGTTTGAGCGCTCAAAAAGGGGGGTGAAGAATATTCCGAAAGCGAAGTCGATACTCGAACCAAGAAATCAACACAAAAACAAAAGCTAGGCAAACACAAATAAAATTATCAATAATAAATAACGAAAATGAATACATATAAATAAATAGATAAATAAATAAATAATTAAAAAAAAAAATCATAACAATAAATAAACAAATAATGGGATTATTCTGAATAACTAAATAAATATATAAAACAATGCCATAAATAATTAAAAAGAAAAAACTAAACGACCACTAACTCTAAACAAAAAAAAAAAACTCTTATTGAAGCCTTGGGGTGGCTCCCGTTGCCGCCCCTTTGTAGGCGTGTCGGTCCTCAAGTAGGCGGTACTGTGCCGGCGAGGTTACGACCACAGTCGCGGGACAAAATATGGGCACACGTGCTGTTTGGATGGCCAGCCAAGACCAACGGGACCAATACGGAAACTCGACCATTTAGCTCAGTCCAAAAAAAATATATCCTGCGGCGCCAAAAAATTTGTGCGGACATAAAACAATTGCCGCGCCGGCACCAAAACTTATACGGCCACAACAGAAGGTATTGTACGCCAATAAAAACAAAAAAATAGGCGGAAAAAAAAAATTTCGCCAGGCCCGGATCCTGGCCTGGCGTTCCTCCTTTGGAACCTGGTCCTGGTCGGCTTCTATATTTAAGAACACAATATTTATATTCTCCTATCTGCCTGCCTGGTCCCTGACCACTCACCTCTATGGTTCGCCGATCCAGCTTCCCAGGTCCTTATCTTCTTGCTGTCTCACATTTTGCCTTTTCTTTTTGCTATCTTCACTTCATTTTCTTAAAACAATATTTTGGCGGTCGATTATATATTAATTTTCGGTTTTACACACCAACCCGACGGGCAGCCGTCGTCGCACCACGGTCTCGCGCTCGAAGTTTCCGTTTCGCTCAAACCTAACGGAGGCAGTGAAGATCAAAACCCACGCCATTCGAACTCCGTTAGGTTTTCTATTCCTCTTTATCGGGTTAATAACCCCTTTTCGACTCTGGCCAAGTTGGCAGCCCTACAACCTGTGCTGCCCATGCCCAACCTATCGATATTCGATACGGCGGACACAACAACACACTGACATTGGTCGACGTAAACAAAGAAACAATGGCAGTGAAAAATGTCCGTATTTCGGCTGCCACTAAAGGAAAGCATCGACGTGCAGGATTAGCGCAGGACCTTACTTCGTTCAGCGCCCAACGCGGGAGACCTCTCACGGCCCTGAGACCTTTCGTCAGTTCCGAACAAGTGCATTCCGTCCTCGTCAACGCCTCTGTCTCTCTCCGCGAGCCTACCTACTTGTTTACACATCCAGACCGCCTCAGCTAAGTATATCAACGCAACAACTAACAAAAAAAAAGAACCTAACCAGTAATAAATTAATAAATATTAACTAACAGCATAAATACCGATATCCTAAAATAAATAAATAATTAAACTAAAACAACAAACACGATAAACAAAACAAATACTGACGGAAATCCAATCATTTATTCATTTGTCTATCCCTTCTCTTACAGGTGGAATGTGGGAGGGTTACCCGGCGTGGAGTACTGTGTGTGAACTATATACAATCTGACCGCTTCATATGTATGCGTAGACACGTAAGGCGACAATACCAACAACAAAAACACTTATTTGGCACAGTCGACTATACAAAACATCACTAACAATGACGTTTGATAGTCAAGTTGCCAAATACAAAACAAAAACATAACTAACCATCCTCTCTTCTTCCCATAGGTTAAATGGACACGTACAAATTGGAACAGATGCAACTCTCTCACACATCGGAGCAGAGGTCACCGTCCTTCGCCCGGACGCAGCGCAAGGTCACCGAATATTGGGCCCTGGGTCGCCGGACGTTGTCATATCTCACCACCCGGGAAAAAGGAGGAACCAGTTACATTTTTTTTTTTTTTTAAGCTATTATTTTATCCCTTTGTACTATTCTGCCCTACATAAAACCCCCTTTTTAATTCTAGCTTTCCTGCTATTACTTTTTTTGGTCTTAGTCCGTTGTTTATGTCCGATGTCCATACCAACGTATCGCAAACTGATCCTTTCCGTCTGGTCAGTGTCGAACTTGGCCTTCTCCTTCTCCGGTCGCTATATGCCCTTGCATCATTGCTAGACATAGTCGCCGGGTTTACCTTTTTCTTCGTTCCTGTCCGATATTTATCCTAATTCAAATTACTAACTAAATTAAGGCTATATCACAGATTAATATCACAATTTTGGGACCTTTATCAGTCAGCTTGCGCAAATCAATCTATTTGGCTTGGCCGCATAATTGATGACTTCAAGTCTGCTTCTAGAAGCCCCGTGTTAGGACATTAATCCGTTACCTCTATTTGTTTTCTAATTTCGTTGTTTAAAGAATCAGGGATTTAGTCTAGAGACTTCGCGAGAAATCCCTGATCCTACAAACCAGGAAACTATTAGTGTCCTTTTTGTGGAGGACATAGTGTTGCTTCAAATTGGGCGCCATTACTGTTATGACCCTCAAAAGGTCCTGCGTGTGCAGCCATCGGCTTGGGCCATGCCTCGGCTAGCTCCCCCCTCAGGCATGGGTTCTTGGCCCGGCCCACTTACACACGTAACAGATAAATTTTTTTTTTTTTTTTTTTTTTAAACATCCCGCCATAGACGAGACGTTACACAGCACTAATACTTGCACAACTTCGAACTGAACGAAACATTCACCTAAACGACACATACATACTCAGAAACGATCAGTCATCTGGGAGACTCCTGGATGTCCTTTGGAGCTCCCCTGCCTTTCCCTCCCATCCTTTGCAGGCTGCTGGCAGGAACTGTTTATGCAGCTGCCCCTATTTCAAAATTAACGCACCTTCAATCACCTCACGCCATAGTTCTCTTCCTCCTCCCCAAAAAGAAAAAGGACTACTTTATGCTCCTTTTACCCATAAATTTTAATAAAAATCATAACTTTTTCAGAATTACAAGTGTTGGTTTTTATATGTATGTTGCCCTTGTCTAACTCTTCTTTTTGTTTTTCCAAAATTTAAACAATCACAAGTAACCATATACTGCAACAAGCGAATTCCTTGGCCTACCCGTTTGAGCGCTCAAAAAGGGGGGTGAAGAATATTCCGAAAGCGAAGTCGATACTCGAACCAAGAAATCAACACAAAAACAAAAGCTAGGCAAACACAAATAAAATTATCAATAATAAATAACGAAAATGAATACATATAAATAAATAGATAAATAAATAAATAATTAAAAAAAAAAATCATAACAATAAATAAACAAATAATGGGATTATTCTGAATAACTAAATAAATATATAAAACAATGCCATAAATAATTAAAAAGAAAAAACTAAACGACCACTAACTCTAAACAAAAAAAAAAACTCTTATTGAAGCCTTGGGGTGGCTCCCGTTGCCGCCCCTTTGTAGGCGTGTCGGTCCTCAAGTAGGCGGTACTGTGCCGGCGAGGTTACGACCACAGTCGCGGGACAAAATATGGGCACACGTGCTGTTTGGATGGCCAGCCAAGACCAACGGGACCAATACGGAAACTCGACCATTTAGCTCAGTCCAAAAAAAATATATCCTGCGGCGCCAAAAAATTTGTGCGGACATAAAACAATTGCCGCGCCGGCACCAAAACTTATACGGCCACAACAGAAGGTATTGTACGCCAATAAAAACAAAAAAATAGGCGGAAAAAAAAAATTTCGCCAGGCCCGGATCCTGGCCTGGCGTTCCTCCTTTGGAACCTGGTCCTGGTCGGCTTCTATATTTAAGAACACAATATTTATATTCTCCTATCTGCCTGCCTGGTCCCTGACCACTCACCTCTATGGTTCGCCGATCCAGCTTCCCAGGTCCTTATCTTCTTGCTGTCTCACATTTTGCCTTTTCTTTTTGCTATCTTCACTTCATTTTCTTAAAACAATATTTTGGCGGTCGATTATATATTAATTTTCGGTTTTACACACCAACCCGACGGGCAGCCGTCGTCGCACCACGGTCTCGCGCTCGAAGTTTCCGTTTCGCTCAAACCTAACGGAGGCAGTGAAGATCAAAACCCACGCCATTCGAACTCCGTTAGGTTTTCTATTCCTCTTTATCGGGTTAATAACCCCTTTTCGACTCTGGCCAAGTTGGCAGCCCTACAACCTGTGCTGCCCATGCCCAACCTATCGATATTCGATACGGCGGACACAACATAATTTGAAAGTTATTTCGTAGCCCCATAGCCGGTGAAATTATTGAGCAATATGCTGATCTGTAAAATCATAAATAAAAATATTTGTACTTGACCGCAGCTGCGGCTCCGACTCCGACTCCGGCTCCACCTTCCAGCATCGGATCTCGCTTCATCTTCGTCTCCTCCCTGGTGTTATTAGGTGAGAGCTCGCCCGGTTCCCCCTCGGTTCTCGATCCCAGTTCCCGCCCGCGGCTTAACGATTGATAAAGTCTTTTTATTTACAAGCTGATAATGATGGTGTAGGTGCAGCTTTTGGCATTGCGACGGTTTTTCATGTAATTTATGAGCAATTTGCAGACGATTTTCGAGGTCCAGCTATACGGAGGAGGTGAGCTGAGAGGAGAGAGGAGGGGGCTTCACCCGGGAGATGTGGGTAGACAGGGAGAGAGACAGTGAAGAGCGTGTGGCTAAGTGAAAGATCTACAAATGAAATTTATGGGAATTAAACAAGTTATGAAGTGGTGTGCCCTAAATTTTGTCTTAAAGAATTTAATAAAGTAAAAAGTATACCTTAAACTTTTGCTAGAGTTTGTTTAATATACAAATTTTAAGACTTTTAATCACAGAATCTTAGAAAAACCCCCTTTAAAAAACCTTTAAAAATTGTACAAAAATAGTAGAAGACCTTAGTTTATGGGAATTTAACCTTTTCCACCTAGCTCATAGTCTTAAGTTTCAGAATCACCTGTTTACCATACCAATCCCCCAACCTATACCCCCTACCCATACCCAATCCCATCTAGCACGCTTCAACCAAAAACTATTTTGTAATATTGATAACCATCTCGGCCTGGACCCGAGGCCCATTAAAGTGTCACAACAAAACGCTGGACTCATTTCTCGATACTGGGCACTGGGCCACAAGAGACGAGACGATAAACCCGGCATCTTGATGGGGGAGTTTATAAGCAAACGAAAGAACGAACCAGAGGCACGAACATTGTAACACGAATGCCTAAATGGACGCAATAGCCAAGAGTGTCAGCTCTGGAAAGGGCAAGACACGGAGAGCTATGTGTAAGCCGATTATGGGCCACGACTTTCGGGAACGGAACGCACATAAAACTGTCTCTCTTGGCCAAGAATCGTGTTAAGCATGCCCCGCGACTAGAGAGTAGCGCCTCCTCCTCCTCCTCCTCCTTCCTCTTTTTCCATGGTGTGGATGTCACATCGCTTCTTGTTTGTTATTGTTTGTGTCGCCGCGGCTGATGATTGTCATTAACATCAAATTACCACAAGTCAAAGTCAAAGTCATGTTCTCCCAAAATAAAACCCCAGAGAAAAAGATGGGTCTCGGACTAGACACTGGACCCAAGCTGGGACTCGGGCTCAGACAGATAGTCGTCGGCACTTAGTGGGCAAGTTATGGAGAGGAATGAAATGGGAGATGGGCAGCCACAAGAACCACAGAAATGTGGCGAAAAAAAGGAAGGGTTAGGAGATGCACCGAAGAATTCCTGGGGTTCTGGGATCAAAGATGCCTTGCCACCTTGTTGGGCAATGGGACAAATATGTTATGACACCTGAGTTTGGGTTTAAAGAGGTTCAGAGATGGGGGAAGATGAGAGGAGAAAGGTTGAAGTACAAGATTAAGTGTACTAAAAGATTATTATGTTTGGTAAAGATCTTTTTTGGGTCCCAGAAAATTCTAGAAAATGTGCAGATTTCTTACATTATAAATTATATATTATCCCATAAGTATTTCCTTTACAAAACTATGAATATTTGTACCTTATTTATATTTACATTTCCAGTTTAAAAATAAAAACCCAAGCTTGATATGAGATTCTTAGAAGCCAGATTAAAGAACTTACAAATTCCCAATGTCAAAACAAATAATATTCTTTTAACTACCTGCGAAGCATTCAAAGCTTGATCCGATCTCTGCCAAGACACCTTGGCTGCCAGCTTCTTCAGACTTGAATCCCCCACCTTAGTGAGATATTATCACCGCAGACTCTGCATAATTATGCTAAGCACATAAAATTCATTCATAAATCTTTTTGGCAAACATCATTCACAAAGGGGACCATCCCATACTCCTACCCCGCCCCTCTGTGAGAACCTCGATAATGAGATATGAGCTATTATTCATGCCCCCCCCGTCGCTATCAGGGGGCTCTCGCTCTCATTTGTATTTGTCCAGACCGTAAGCCTCAGGTCTTTTGTAGGTGATAAAAACCCCAGTTGGGGTTATTTATTAGCCCGAGATGTTCGTCAGGGATGCCCAGGGAAGCGGCCAACAGAAAATGTAACAAAAATCAAATCAATAAACCAGTTGAAACCGAAACAGAAATAATTTTAAGATGCAAATTATGCAGATGAGACCACGTTCAAACTTAGTGTGAGGTTTCCGAAGTGAAATGAATTCCACCTGCCCCGGCGAAATCATATTTCTTCTTGCCCAATTCCTCGTTGGGCGCCATGAAGGCGTGGCTTTAACTTTTATCGTAAAACTTACTGCTTGAAGAGCTGCTTCTCGATCGCTGGAGACGCTTCCAAAACAACATTTTTTATTGATTTTTTTGTGTTGGTGATAAGATCTTTCCGGCGATTGGTTTCGTTATGTGAGCACGTTTTGGGTTATGCGGGTGTTCGGTCTCTCGCTTGGCTTATTGCGAAATGCTGTTAACATTTGACACAAGGCGCATTAATTATCGCGGGCACTGTGATTAGCATAATTCTCAAATCACTCACTCGGGAGAAGAACACAACCTGGGTTCTTTGGGAGTCGCGGGAACCTTGGCTGATTTTTGCACACGCGCCGGCGACATGCGGAAGAGCAACTGCAGCGAACCACGTCTGGTCGATGTCTGGGCAAAGACTCACTTGCAGGAAAGTTATGACTTGGTACGTGCAAGTAGAGCGATTAGCTTTCGATTTAGTACTTTCGGGGGAGGCTCGGAGACAGAGAGAGAGAGTGTCAGGTGTCACCTCAATTAGCTACCTGCTTGCCGTGCACTTCCGTTAAGCGCTTTTCACGCCCCTTTTTTTGGTTTACCCCCAGCGCTGGCAGCAGCAGCGAACTTCTGGCCCGCTCGACGGTTAATTAACGAATAAAAAGTCGCTTTTCTGTTACGAAAAAAAATCTTCGAGCTGCGAGCTGCGAGCTCTGAGCTCGGCTTAACCGCTGCCGCTTCTTCCTCTCCGTTTCTGTTTCGCTTCGTGCTTGGCGGCTCCACGCTCCGTGCCACAATAAAAACGAAAAAAGATATATATATGAAAAAAATACGAGGAAAAAAAAACGAAAAAGAAAATATGTTACACCAAAACACTGACGTTGCCGTCGCCGCCGCAGTCGCCGTCGAAGTCAACGCACATTGGGGCCAGTGGAGACATAAAACAGGTGTAAAAACTAAGGTAAAAAGCGATATGAATGAGCGACATATGAAGAAGCGTATGCAAGATCGAGATAAACAACTGGACGGGGAGTCGGCCTCAGCCGGAGTTTTATGGGTTTCCAGGGTGTGGACACAATTAGATGTTCGTAAAAACGACAGCGTTTTATTTTCCAGTCCCCAGATTTAAGGTCTTTGGTTTGAGTTCAAGTTTTTGGACAAGGCATAAACCTATCCCCAGTTTAAAAATTATGTTGGTAGAATATATATTACTTTTTTGGGAGCTTAGTTTTTCTGGTTATTTCAGGGTAATCCAAAGTTTTATTTGTTTACAAGGTGTTGACATAATTAAATTTCTGTTAAAAATTAGGTTGACATGTCTCAGATTTTATTATTAAACTTTTTCTTTACCAGCCAAAAAGGTTTTTATTATTATTTTTAACATCATATTAAACTATAGTTCTATACTCTTTTAGTTGTTAATTTTTTTAGACAAATCAAAGCTTAAAAATAGCATAACTAAGTCAAAAAAGCTTCAAATTCAATTCGGAAAGCTTTTGTATGCTAGTTTTTTCTAGGTTAACAAATCTGCTTCCTAAATTTACAATTTTAAGAAATCAAATTTTTTGTCTATTTTTAAGAATTTTGACGATGTAACTCCTTATAGAATTTTGCAAAAATCGACTAAATTTTTGTTCCTTTCCTACAAGGCCAGAAAGATTCGCCTGTTGATGCTGTTCAAGAATATATATGGTTTATATGGTTGGAAATAACTTCTTCACTCGCAAAAATTAAAAATAGTCATTGGTTGATGTTAAAAATTTTAATTTTTAACTCTTTCAAAATTTAAAAAATTCTGAAACCTAATTAACAATTTCTTAATATTTAATAATTAATTTATTGAGATTTTAAAAGCCATTTTATGACTCTTTGATCATCCTATGGCCTCTAGAAAATCTGAAATATTTACATGCATTTCTCTATTAAATTTCTATAATTTGTTATATTTTAAATTGAGTAAATTTTCTTAATTTAAGTTATAAACAAAAAAATGTGACAAAATGCTACAATTCTTAAGGTTAAATTACAAAACAGCATCAAAAACTTCTTAATATTAAGCTGTTAATTTTTTGTACTGTTAAACCCTTGTCATTTCTTTTACAACATAATTTTAAATAATTTTTTTTTATAATAAACGAGGTTAATTCAGTGTTCAACTGCGCAGTCGCAGCCGACGTTGACAGCGACGCTGGCGTTGCGTTGGTGGCGGTTCACTGAATTTCGCTGGCTGAAGTTATATACTTGTTGTTGTGGCTCCAAAATGTGTATCAAAAGCAACAACAACAACATTAACCAGCCAGCCAACAACAACAAGCACAATGGACTGCGATCGCTGTTGGCTCGTGCAGAGTTCACAATGCACGCAACCTGCAAGCCAGACTCGTATTTTTTGTAAATTTATAATTTCTTCTTTGTTTGCTGCCTGCACATTTATTGCTTAACGCTTTGATGCGTTGACGGTTCCTGTTGCTATAGCCTCTCGGCTGCTTCTTGGCCATCATTTGGTCGGCTGCCCGACCATTTGACATGTTGCACTTGGCTTAGCCTCCTGCTACCTATGATTCTCCTCCTCCTCCTTGGCTGCCTGTTCATTAAGCGAATCAGCGTAGCGAAGCATAAACCTAAATTAACATAAACAACTTCTTTTCGACTTGTACTTTAAGTGCACGTTAACAAATTTATATATATTTTTAAAGATTTATTTTTAACAAGTTGGTAAACTAAATTTTATGGGATTAATTTAGGTTAATCCTAAAGATTGTTATCCATATTTTATTGAAAAGTCTTTTATATTCACAGATAAGTTCAAGAAATAAACCCTTTAACACCTCCAGGAAATTAATATACACTTTCTTCCTTTTTTTAAATTTTTATTTCATTTTCATTTCATAAACTTTGAACTATTGTTCATTTTAACATTACCCAAAAATATCAAGAAATGAACACAGTATTCATGATTAATTATTACACATTAATTATTATTATTTATTCAATTTTATATTTCTTAAAAATCGTATACTTTTATTTATGTGTACTATATATGGCTTACCGCTCTCCATCAGACATATATGGCCCACTGCTTCCTCCTCCTCCTCTTGGGCAGCTCATCTTTGGGCCATTGTCAGGCTCTGTGTGGCGGAATTAAAGACCCTTTACTCTGCTATTCTTCTACTATTGCCGCCATCGCACCGGCAAATTGCTTTTGGTACGCGTCTAATTGGAATACGAATTTCATTTTTGTTGCTTTGGTAGCAGTGCTTGTTATTGCTACTATTGTTGCCACTTGGTTTTCCATCTCTTTTCTCTGGTTCGGGGGTTTTTCTTGTGACAGGTCATAGCACCAACTGCCTGATGAATTGTTTGTATTTATTGTTTGAGAAGGGCTTTCCGCGGATTACAATGAATTGTGTACTATTATAGAAAATGAGTTCAAAAGAGGGGTATATTTCTATTCATTAGATTCCCTTATGTTTGGTATATAAAATACATTGATTTTTAAGAAAGTACAGTCTAAATATTACTTCTAAAATATTTTGGATTGTTATTATATCATATTTTATTATATTAAAATTGAATATTTAGTGCTTTAATTCCTTATAAAGAGTATCTCCCCCTATGATCACTCCCTCTGCCTTCCTAATACACATTTCCATTGCGTGATTTTAAAATATGTATTATAAATATTTATAAATGCAAAGAGAGCTGCGGATCAGCGATGTGTAAGGCTGTTAATGGAGCTCCATGCCGCAACACCCACCGAATGCAACTTGAGGTAGTTATGGCAGCCGTAACATGGTTATTATTACGTTGCCATGTCGATTTGAGGCGGCATAAACAGGCTCGTGGATCAGCGGCACGTGCCTCTATTAGTGGAGGAAAATGTCCCGGCCTTTGAGGAAGGATTACCGCACGGCGGACTTTGAGAAGCTGAGTCAGCTCATCCGGGATCACCCGCTAATGCGGGCTCCCGGAGCAGAGCAGCAGCAGCAGCTGCAAAAGCTGCGCACTCCGGAGTATCGAACCAAGTGCGTGATGCGTGCCTCCTTGGATGACATAGCTCTGGGGGTGAGGTCTCCAAAAGGAGTTGTTTTAAGGAAGAAATCACAAATAGATCCCTTTCAGATCAATCTGTACAAGCTGCAGCTGGACAAGCCACACTCCCCTATGCCCGAGGAAACAGAGTTTCAAGATTTGGCGCCCTCTGCCCCTTCGGCTCTCTCTGGGAGATCAGTTAGATCTGCTCGATCTGCTGCCTCCACTGCTCGTCCTCCAGCCGCACCCTTCATCAAGGTGCTGCTCCGCAAGACCCCCATTGTGGTGCTCTTCGAGAGGCGCAGCATGACCGCCTTGGCTGACACCGAAGAGGGTCGTCTGGTCTTAGAGGACAATCGGAAATACGACGAATTACTCTCAGGAATAGACAAGACCCGGCGAACCGTGGATGCGGACACCCAAACCATGACGGCGCTGATGAAGTCCCGGCTGGTGAACACCGAGCGACTGACCACCGCCCAGATGGGCTCCTACGTGTCCAACTTTGAGATGTACGACACCTACGCGGATCTGCAAAAGTCCACGACGAGTGTCGAGGTGCAGGGCGAGCGCAAGATGGAGATTACCACTTACCATGTGGGAGGAGTGGATCAGTTTGTGGGAATCAACCGCCTGCCCGGGTTCCGTCTGGCCCTCATGCTGACCATGCGCATTCTGGCCAGCAATGTGTTTGAGCCGCAGCAAAGACGCTACAGGAACATGGCTCCTCCAGATCCCTTGGCCGAGGATGTGAAGTTCAAGTACCGACTGGGACTCTTGTGGCGTTTGAGTCCTCCTTCGGCTAATCCTGGGGTTCATCAGGCGGTGAGCGACATGAGCTTCTGCCCTAGCAATGGGGACATCATGGCGGTGGCCTATGGTGTCTACAGCCATGGCAAGGTGAGCCGGTTGCCACGCTCCGGTTGGGTCTATGTGTGGAACATCAAGAATCCTGTGAACCCTGAGAGATGCTACAACTATCAGGTGCCCGTTGTCACCGTAGAGTTCTCACCCACCCAGCCGCAACTGCTGGCCATTGGCCTGCACAATGGCAGTGTTGAGGTGAGGGATATTTCTGGTCAGGATCTGCCACCGCTGGCCATATCTCAGCGATCAACTTCGCCTCACTTTGAGCCGGTGACCGCCATCAAGTGGATCTTCTTTGAGGGCGATGTCGGAGCCAAGGATCCTCATATCACACCCTTTTTGGCCACCTCACAGGCAGGAGCGGTGACCAAGTACCGGCTGATTAATAGTCCCAGATTGCTGGGATTCGAGCAGCAGCGTCTGCAGCGGGCGGAGGGTGAGCTGGAGGGGATTCCCATCGATAGAGCACCGCCAGCTGCTTCTCTCTTGGCCAACCGGCATCCGCAGTGCCTGGAACTGGTCCTGGATCCAGTTCAGGCGGACATTTACTATGTCCTTACTGATGAGGGAACTATGTACAAGTGCTCTACGAACTATCCGCTGCAGCATTTGGAGCTAAGGCAGGTCCACGATGGACCCGCCGCCTGCATGGAGTTCTCGCCCTGGTCTCCAAGATTGTACCTTACTTGTGGCAGTGACTGGTGGGGATTACTTTTCTTGGTAAGGTCTTTAGTTACCTAATTTATTTGGATTTTTTTCACAGGTGCATTCGAATTTGGTTGGCGGGCATCCTGTTGCCCATTGTGACTCTGCAGCACCACTTGTCGCCGGTTCATTGCGCCCGCTGGAGCCGCACCCACTCCACGATCCTGGTCTCCCTCAGTCGCAGCACTGTAGACATCTGGGATTTAAGGAACAGCACCATGAAGCCGGTGTCCTCTACTACGATCGATGCCAATATCTTTTACACAACTTTTAAGTGGGTTTTTCTTTGAAACTTTAAATTTAATTTGTTAATTTTTGGGTTAATTGCAGATTCAGCCATTGCGGACGCTCTTTGGCCGTGGGCAATGAGGCTGGCAATCTGCTGATGCTATCCTTCGAGGACATGCCATTCTCCCCGCATTTCCAGTACAAGCAGCTCAAGAGGGCCATTTTCAAGGCCTTGTCCATGCAACCAGATCTGCGCCAGCAAGTGAAAAGCGTTGGCTACTTTGGCTATCCCAAAGGGAAAAAGCAAACTAGGGCTTAAGTTTTATATTTAAATAATAATTTAATTTAATAAAAAGCTATAAAATTAAATATTAAAACAGCTAGTTATCTTTAAAAATTGCTTTAATTAATATGTAAACTAAAGACAACCACTTTCATGTGTCAAAATACCTACATTTTCCATTGTTTACATGATTTTGTGGTTAGTGTACCCCCTAATCCTAATCCCTGCTTCAGTTACCGCCTTGGAGCACCTTTTCCTATCGGAACCAAGTCTTATCAATCCCCGCCTGCATTTACAATGCAAAGCACAGCTCGGGTTGCCAGCACCTTGAGCATATCATAGCCACCAAGTTCAGGCCGCGTCGCCAGCAAAGTATTTTCTTTTTTTGTGGTTTTGCGATGACGATTTGCCTTGCGGCTGATGGCTGGCTTTCGCAGTTCTCGTAGCATTTATTTAGTTGAAATTTAGACGTTCACAATGCCTCATCTATTGCGGCAGAACCTGCTGTTGCCCGCACCGCCCACGGTGGTCATGCACGATCCTCGGACCCACCTGCGACACCTGCCGCCGGCCTATAGTCCCGCCCAGACTCCGCTGAGTCGGGATAGGGAACGGGACTTTGCACCGCAGGTGCGCTATCACCTGGAGCTGCCACGCAGGCCCAAGTTGCGACCCTGCAAGGTCATCTTTGTGGGCGACTGTTCGGTGGGCAAGACGGCCATCGTGAATCGGTGGGTTTTGAATGGAATCTTAAGGAATCTTTTAATAAATTAATAAGTTTATTTGCAGCTTCTGCTTCGACAAGTTCCAGTCGAACTACAAGGCCACCATTGGCGTGGACTTTGAGCTGGAGAACTTTAGCATATTGGGTCACAATTATGGTCTGGAAATGTGGGTATATCTCTGGGGAGTTTTAAGATGTTTTATTTAAAGTTAAGATGTGTTTCTTTAGGTGGGACACTGCCGGACAGGAGCGCTTCAAGTGCATTGCAGGAGCCTATTATCGCAATGCAAGTGGTAAGAATATTATTTTATATTTTTAATTCATTAAAAATCTATAAAATATTTTTAATATTCTTTATAACTTCAGTTATAGTGGTTACCTTTGACATGACCAAGCGGGAAACCCTGGAGTCGGCCAAAAAATGGCTCAACAGCGCACTCAACTACAACACTGGACAGAAACCCTTGATTTTTTTAGCGGGCACAAAAGCAGATCTCTTGGTAAATTCAATATTAAACAATTTAAATATAGAAATAAGTTAAAGTATAATTTATTTACCAGACGAAAGAGGAGTTTGTGCGCATGGAGCGTGTGGCAGGCTTGGCAGCTTCTGAAATGCAGGCGGAATACTGGTCCGTATCGGCACGATCCGGATTTAAGGTCACGGAACTATTCCAAAGGATTGCTGGTTTGGCCTTCGAGGAGGCCATAAAGCAGGAAATTAAATATCACAAAGGCACAGCCCAGGAAAAAGGGAAGACTGATACATCAGCTAAATCGCAAACATTTGGTAATTAAATTTTAATTCGATATTTTAATTACATTTTTTTTATTTAAATCTACTTTTTCAGATTTACGTAACTTTATCAGCAGTCGCTTTGCACGTCAAAAAAGTGGTTGTGCTTGTTAGCCTGGATTTAATATTAAAATTTTAATCATAAGCACATTTACTTCAAGAATGCATTAAAACTATTTATAAAACTTTAATTGTATGTCAAAATAAAGAAAAACAAAAACACCAACCTTATTTATATTATAATAAGACAGAAACCCCAGCCTAATTCATAGAAATTAAAAGAAAACACAAAAAATTTGTAAAAGAAACCGAAAAATAACGGAAAGCAACACCATTGCCAGACTTTTTACTCATTTCCAGCGTGCACACAGTGTCATGTTAACACTTAACAGTGTGCTGTTAAGCGCGTAAAATTGTGCTGTTTTACGCAAAATACCCCCGATCTGGCCACGCCGCTGTCAAATCGTGCTTCCGCTTTTTGACAACTGCCCCTCAGTTTTCCTTTTCATTTCTTTTTCTCGTAGAAATGCCACCCAAAAAGCCAACCGAGAAATCCGGTAAGGGTTTTTCATATAAAAATAGGCCTAAAATGTGTGGATTAATCAGCAAAAGCAAGGCGAACACCAGGCCAATGCGTGGAAATACGAAAGTGCGCAGAAAATTGTTAATTTAAGGCAGAATTGTGTGTTTTTAAGCGAGCCCGATGAGCCACGTGCGGTGGTGGCTGCAGCGTCTGAGCAGTTGTGGGAACATGCGAGCTGGCTAAACACATCTAATCAGTGTGACATTCTGTGTTAAAGTGAATAAAAAAGAATAATTCATTAGCTAAAGCGCGTCCCATTGCATTTGCTGATCGATCAGGCCTAACCTAACTTTGGAGCGTGTTTACTAATGCGAACTTCGTGCTGACCCCCGTTCCCCCTTCTGTTTACAGCCAAGCCGGGCGACAAGAAGCCCGAGCAGAAGAAGACTGCTGCTGCGGCTCCCGCTGCCGGCAAGAAGGAGGCTGCTCCGGCTGCCGCCAAGCCTGCGGCTGCTGCCCCTAAGAAGGCTGCTGCTGCTCCGGCCAAGAAGCCCGCTGCCGCCGCTGGTGCTGCCAAGAAGCCCGCGGCTGCTGCTGGTGCTGCCAAGAAGCCCACGGCCGTGAAGAAGACCGTGGCCACCAAGGCCAAGGCCAAGGATGTCAAGAAGAAGCTGGCTGCCGGCAAGAAGCCCCAGTCGGTGCTGGCCAAGCTCTCCGCGAAGGCCCGTGCCGCCGCCAAGGCCAAGAAGGCTGTGAAGCCCGGCACCAAGCCCGCCAAGGGAACTGCCAAGGCTAAGGCTGTGGCTCTGCTGAACGCCAAGAAGGTCCAGAAGAAGGTAGGGTTTCTCATTTATACTTGTATTCTGTCTTTTAGTTAATGTTCTTTTTATTTTGTAGATCATCAAGGGCGCTTTCGGCACCCGCGCCCGCAAGGTGCGCACCAACGTGCACTTCCGTCGGCCCACCACCCTGAAGCTGCCCAGGAACCCCAAGTATCCCAGGAAGTCGGTGCCGACCAGGAACCGCATGGACGCGTACAACATCATCAAGTACCCGCTCACCACTGAGGCGGCCATGAAGAAGATCGAGGACAACAACACCCTGGTCTTCCTCACCCACCTGCGCGCCAACAAGAACCATGTGCGTGCGGCCGTCCGTAAGCTCTATGACATCAAGGTGGCCAAGGTCAATGTGCTGATCAGGCCCGATGGCCAGAAGAAGGCCTATGTGCGCCTGGCGCGCGACTACGATGCTCTGGACATTGCCAACAAGATCGGCATCATATAAACGGGTGGAATGTGCATCGCGTTCTACATGTTCCATGTAGAATCTTTTTCTATAAACAAAATATTGCTAAGCTGACCGTTTTAGAGCGAGGATGAACGTTTCAGAGTTGTCTGGGTATAATAAAAACCACTCAAAAACTAATAGTAACTCGTGAATTTGTTTGTTTTAATATTTCTTTCAGTGTTTTATTCTAGGTATTAAAATGGAAAGTAAACGTTCAACATAAGGTGAGTTTGAAATGCATATTTTATTGTTGGTTTTATATTAATAAATATTTTTCTTTGCAGGTATACTTTAAATGGCAAAAATACTTCAAACTTTCCTTTAAAGGTAATTATTAAAAAAATTGTATTTAAAATGAATTAAATTATCTTAAATGATGATATGTTTTAGTAGGAATCTCATTGAGCTTCAGTCATTCGTTGCCATGAAATCAATTTAAATCTCTGATACAACAAATTTAAACCATAAAATGTACTCTTAAATATTCCCCACTAATTAAGGATTTTTTTCTAATTTATTTCAGGTTCTCTTAGGTGCTTTTGGATCTTTGTTTTATCCTCTAAGGTGTGTATAAATTCTAATGAAATATTTCTAAAAGTATTCTGCTTATGATGATATTTTGAGTAGGAATCTCATTGAGCTTCAGTCATGCGTTGCTTTGAAATTAATTTTGTCTCTTACTGATCATAAAAGCAGAAATCTTAAATGTATTTATAAAGTCATGATTACTAATTATGAATTCTTCTTTTTATTTTACAGAAAAGGCGCTCCAAATGGTTTTCTTTCTTTAAAAATAAAACAAACTTACTTAAATATATCAAAAATAAAACAAATTCATTTCTTATATAAACAAAAAAGTACTTTTTATTGTGGTAGCTTTTAATATCTGCGAAATTGCTTCCTAAACTTGTCATAATGGTAATCATCTGTTGCCCGCTTGACACCATTTGGATTGGTTTGATGCTGGGCAGACTTGTTGCCCTCGCGCTCCTCTCTTTTACGTCTCCTCTGATCGCCATTATCCTCGATGTTGACTGGAAATGATTTAAAGATTTTAAAGAAAAGCGAAAATTAAATAAGCTACACACTCACATCTGTTGTGCTGCATAAAGTTCACCGCCATGTTGGTGGGCACAAACTGCGAAGGTCCGTCCTTTTTGTTCTTGGCATCTTGCAGCAGCTTCTGCTTGGCATCCTCCGTGGCCTCTATATTCCGAATCTTGGCCAGAATGCCCAGATCCACCTCGGGAATGCCGTTGAGCATTTGGTTCGACAACATCTCCTCGGATCTGTGCGAGGAAGATTGCCTCAGGTGGTCGGGCAGGGCGTACAGTGCCGCGTCCTCAGGGGTCAGGTACTTGTTTACATCGCCATCACCATCGTCTGCTGCCTCCGAGGCCCCACCCTTGCGCTTTTGCAGCTCCTGCTCTATGTACTTCATCATTTCCTCGTCCTCGTCCCTCTTGTTGGTCTCAGCCGAGAACTGTGTGCCAATGCCCACATCGTAGGCATCCTCCACCTCCTTCACCTTGCCGGACTTTAGCTGCTGCATATTGACCAGTCCGCCGGTCTTGACATTAAACGGATCCTTGATGGCCAGCTCCTCCTCGGGCGCAATTTTCTTGCCCAGGGCCAGTCCAACCAAGCTGACGCCATTGGGCCGTTGTCTCAGTCGCTGGCGCTCCTTGATTTCATCTAGGGTAAGCCTGTACACAGATACATAAATATTTTAATTTAATTTTTTATTTTTTATTAAAGTTACTCACTGTTCCTCCTTCTCCTCGTCATCTGAATTCTTGCGCTGTCGCAGGTTCTTTCGGCCGGATTTCTTGAAGACTATTTTCGAGGAACTCTCTGGCTTGGGCTCCTCAGTGTCGCTCATGTCAATAGTTTACTTATTTCTTTTAATTTCCTCAATTTCCGTAAATAAAACAAAATTTGTTTACGTTCGGCAGTAGTGTGACCGTGTGCATTCGAGGTGGACAGTTATCGATGTAAGCGGATATCGATATTCGATAGTAATCACGATGTTTGAATTTAAATGTTGTTTTTACAATTATAGTTAATTATTTTATTTTAATATTTATTCATTTTCATAAACTAAAACAGTAAATTAATTTTTAAAAATAAACCCAATGTTTTTTACCTTTTATTTTCACCAAACATCGCTTAAAAACATCGATAACATCCATGTTGGCATCGACGCTTATTCCCAGCTCTAATTCTTTTACAGGAATTTCGCACAACAAATTCCGAAAATTAGCATAAAATTTGACCGGAATCTAAGAAAACTAAGAAAACAAGTCTCCAGCGCCCAGCTTTCGGCGCTAAAGGAACGCTTAAAGGGTAAAAAACATAAACCTGCAGAAAGTGCATTTCCGTTTGCGCTGGCGATGCACCAAAAATCGATTTTACATCTTGGCGAAATTGCAGCGTTTAGCGGCCGCCAGGCATTAATGGTTTAGCGGCGTTACTTGGAGCACATCCCAGAAGCATCAGCATGTACAACGGCATCGGACTGACCACTCCCCGTGGCTCCGGCACCAATGGCCACGTGCAGCGCAACTGGGCGGCCGTGCGGCCGGGCAAGAAGGACAAGGATTACCGCGCCGAGGACGATACCAAGAAGCTGGACGCCCAACTGAATAGGCCGCCAAATAAGGAGATCCTGGACCATGACCGCAAGCGCAAGATCGAAGTCAAGTGTCTCGAGTTTGAGGAAATTCTCGAGAAGCAAGGGTGAGCGATATTTACAATTTCCCGGAAGTCGGGAGTTACGACAACGGGTTTACAGTGGATGTAATTGCAATCCTCGCAAGGGTTATGTAACGCCGGTCTGTTGCTGGTGTGTTGTTTATGTTTACATTGGCGCCTGGTAGCCTCGCCAAAAGAGCGAAAGAGCGGACGCACACGCGCCGAAATGAACAACCCCCCGGTGAAACTGAGGCACGAGCCACCCTTAGACGCACCCCCTTGTGCGTCGTCGTCACATGTGAGCACTCTTCCGGCGGCCCGGACTGGCCTAGCCAGGGCCCTGGGCCTGCGAGTGGTGAAAAAAGTGCATTTCAGTTGTAGAGACTATTTTGAGCGGAAGACATCGTCAAATCCGAGCACTCCCTAGACTAGTTTACACTCTAGTTAACTTATAAAGCTTTAAATAAATAATTAAATAAAGGCTGAAAGGTATTATTAAGAGGGGGAATTAATCCTTTTTTGATTATCCCACTAATTATTATTAATTATTTCTCTGTAAACAGACGCACACCGGAGGAGATCAAGACGCATGTGGACGCCTTCCGCCAGAAGTTGATGGGACAGGGCAAGACCGATGTGGCCAAGGATGAATTTGGACGTGTAGCGTGAGTACCAGCCACTTACTTAACCCTCAGCCTTATGTAATTTTAAAACAAAACGTTGACAAATCAATAAACGGTTAAACAAAACGAAGGCCTGCCTAAATCTCGGCCAGCACTTGACAGCTGTATGGCATGCCACACACGCAGGCAGCCAGCCAGTCAGGCGACATGCGCCGCCGCAGCGCCCAACGCCACCCCCTTCTGTTTCAGGCCAATCACAGGCGCCGAATGATAGAGAAAATGCTGCTGCAAAGATTTTTCCGGGATGCGTTCAGTCACTTCAAGTCTTCCAAAGCCAAAGCAACTCAGGAATCTCCGCGTAGCAACTAGATATATCCCATACATACAAATTAGAATCAATTAATGTCCACTAAAACGAGCGACTAAGTGTGTCCTTGGCCAGGATGTGGCGTGCGGGGGCAATGCCTTGGAGTTGGTTCGGCAGAGAGAACCGAAAAGCGGCCTAGAAGCGTCAGCAAAATCGTTCGAAAAATCAATAACAACCCCGAACAGGGGAGACAACAGGCCCGAAAATGCAACCAACTAATCAAAGGGAAATAAAAACAAAATAAAAGGCGTATTATATTCCACATGACTAAGAGGGATTGCTGAGGCAGACCTTCAAGTGTGGCCGAGGAGGAGGAGATGAACCCGCCGAAGGGAAACCCGGCTACAGTGGTGACTGCCAGCCCTTGGCCCACCCCTAAGTCATCATTTGCAACCCGCTGCCGAGAGCCCTAGTGGATTAAGCGCTCATGTCGCCTACTATATAGTAGTTATAGTGGTTGTTGCAAGTGCTACGAGTGGAGCCCCCTTTGCCATTAAGATGGCATCGAGGCGCAGAGAGAGACCAACACTTGATATCCAAGCCGAATGAATGCAACAAATCACTAAATAAGTCTTCCAATTCCTAGTCAGTAATTAAACGTAGTCCAAGTCGCGTACTGGAGTCAGCAAGTGCTCGAAGTTGTCGCAAGCGGAGTAAATCAAATAATGGGAGTAATGTCTCCTAGATCTCATCCAACGTCTTCCACAACGATAAGGATAACAACCAGAGATTAAAGTTCGCCTTATGTAGTGCGAAAGTGAAACAAAATAAATGCTAATCCATCGTCTTCCAATTAGTAATCGATGAAATATAAAAGAAAGTTCATACTTTTGTACACATAAAAAAGAATATAATCCAATGTCTTCCACAATATGTACTTGGATATGCAAAGTAATGAGTATATTTATAAAGAAAACATATATATAAAGTCGTTAATGAAATTAATAACCTAGAGAAATCCATTGTCTTCCCATTGCAAGGATTTATAAAGTTGAAAATATATATTTTTTACCTGAGAAAAATATAAAAACAGTGAATTTAAGAGAACAAACATATATAAATAAATAATACAAAATATAATTAAAGCAAAACTATTTCCTAAAATCTTTATTCAAGGTTAAAAAACCTTAATAAACCCTTAAAAACTAAATAAAAACTATATAAAACCTTTAAAAATCCACTGTATTCCAATTACATGGATTTATAAAGTTAAAATAATATTTTTTACTACAAACAAACAAATAAAAAAATATAAAAACAGTAAAATAAATAAATAAAAACCTTTTATTTAAGGTTATTTAACTTAAGAAATATAAAAAACCATATTAAAATCCACTGTCATCCAAATACATGGATTTATAAAGTTGAAAATATATTTTTTACCACAAACAAACTCCTGAGAAAAATATAATAACTGAATTTAAGAGAAAAAATATTGCAATTAATAAAATAAATACCAAATATACTCCCTAAAACCTCTATATAACTTGAAAATATATAAAAACCATATTAAAATCGTGAAATAAAACCCATCCACTGTCTTCCTTTTGTGGAGCTTAAATAAATAATATAAAAATCGCGGAAAAATCACTTAAATCATACATTGAACATGCTTTCCTCGGAGATCTACAGCAACATTACCGCTAACGCCACATCCACGGCTACGTCGGCAGTTGCGGATAGCACGGCAGCTGCCACCGCATCCACAACGACGGCCACCACAGTGCAGGTGGTGAAAACAAAGAAACGCCGCAAGCGACGCAAACGCGCAGGTCACGCGGTCACCTCCACCACCAGCATCAGCATTGCCACCCCTAGCACACCCGCACCCACACCCGGTAGCAATCCGAGCAGTCCCCGAGCCAAAGCCACCGCAAACGGGGGCAGGAAGTGCAAGGCACCCTACTTCCAGCACGACAACCGGGAGTACTTGGCCAAATACGAGGGCTTCCATCTCACCGCCACGGCTCACACGTGGAATTATGCAGCGGTGGCCAGGAAGTTCAAGCCCTTGCGGCCGGCGTTGGCAAGCGGCGCCAACAAGACCAGGCGACCAGCAGTCTCCAGACGCATGCAGCACGATTGCGCCTGCGCCTGCCAGCAGAAAGAGCCCGACCCGGAGACGGAGCCGGCAGCCATGTCTGTGGCAGCACTTGAGCCCGGTTCGCGAACAGCTGAGCTAGCTATCCAGCGGGAGATGCCTTTGTCCCACTCCTCGAAAATCAATATAGATGGAGGCATTTTACTTGAGCTGCTCAAGCAATCCTCGAGCAGCCTGCTGGAGACACTGCTGCTGGGTGCCGGCAGTGTGGTGGCCTCAAGGTAGACATTCGGGGGGATTTTTTATAATTAATATATATTTAGACTTTTAATTATAACAATTTTAAACTAAAAATTTAATAATTGTTTATGAATATTAAAAAAATTTGTATTCTTTAATACCTTTTCAGTGTTCGCGACACCCATCAGATAGCCGAGGCTCAGCAGCAGAAGAACGCCAGGCTGCGCGAGGCCTTCAATATATCCGAGTACTTTGTGGAGGGCAGCAGCTTCGACAGCGATCGCAAGGCAAAGGAGGATCTGGCCAAAAGCGTGGCTCTCCAAAAGGAACTGGACGCCCAGCGCGAGAGCCTGGCAGCAGCGGCGGCGGCCGCAGCGGCTGCAGCAGGCAAGGATAAGGAGACGGGCAAGCGGTATGCCCTGGTCCGTACTCCCTCGCGGGAACGGGAGGCAGACAACAACAGCGACAATGAGCGCGAACATGTCTCCAAGTCGGACAAGAAGAAGCGCAAGAAGCGCGCCAGAGAAAGGTACTGTCATTTTTGAAAGCTTCCTTAAGTCACCTCAACTGATATAATAACTATTTTCTTTACAGTTCGGCTAGTCCTGAGCGCAAAAAGGACAAGAAGAAAAAGTCCAAGAAGCACAAGAAAGAGAGGTAAGAGTCCTGGGGCCCCCGGAATCACAATCCTGCCGCCTTCAACCGTAGCTCTCTGTGTTTATGTTACCTTTTTGCTCTGTTTTTTATTTTGAGAACTTTACAGTTTCATGATTTTATGTTGTCCTTAATGGTTATCCTTCGGTTTCGTTATCGTACATAGTAAAACTTAGAGCGTGACGACAACAAAACCAATGATTTTTTTGTAAACTATCAATCAACTGCTTAATACATTTTGTTTTTCCGTCTCTACTCCTTCTTTTACATTGCATTTGAAACCACAAAAGGGACTCATATGAGAAAGAAAGTAAAAAGAAGCGAAAACTTACGTACAAATGACTCTCCCACTTAGTTTTAAACGCGTTAACACTATCCTACAAGCAATAAGAACCAAATCCAATCAAGTGAAAAACAAAAAAAAATGTTTCAAAAATGTTTGCCTTTCTGCAATATATATTATATATACTTTCGATATCCTAACACTTGCCCCAGGCAATCTTTTATTTAAATCCGTGTTTGCAGCGAGAGTGAGTAGATCTAGATCTAGATCAGGGATCTCTAAGTACGTATGGGTTGTACTTTACACTATACACACTCGACACTCAACTAACCATAACTCAACACAGATCTTTGCCCATACACATTTTCCCACCAAAAAAACTAAAATAATAAAAAAAAAAAACTCTGCCCGGCGGTAAGTAATAATTCGATTCTACAAACTATTAAAACCATAGACCACAAGCAAAAAAGAATTAAAAAAAAAAAAAAAACAGTAAAGAATTACTAGAAATAAAAAATAAAATACATTACAATAAAGTTTAAGAGGTCTTTTCTGTGAATTAAAAGCGAATTACTTTCTCATCTTTCTTTCTATTGTTATGATTACCTTCTTATAATGTTAAGACAAAGCAATTTGCGCTGTTTTCGATGAAGGTAAAGCACTGAACCACAAGTAAACCTATTTATACATAACGCTGCCAACCTCTAGGTTGTCCAAACTCTCACAGTCTTCAGTAGTGATCTCTGTACTCTCGGGATTAACTAATTCTAAAAGGTGGAACAACCATTCTACTTGCAGTAAGTCGAAGAAGAAAAAGTCACGCAAGCGACGGCACAGCGACAGTGATCATAGTGACAAGGACAGCGAGGACGAGGATGATGCAGCGGCGGCGGCGGGCAGCAGTGAGGACGAAGAGCGTCGCGAGTCCACGAAGAGCAGTGCCCGCAAGAAAGCCAAGAAGGACAAGGTATGACTGGGCAAAGGGTCAAAGGGAGAGACAGAGAGAGAGAGAAAGTGGGAGTCCAGTAGAGGGTCCAACTTTGGAGCTCTTTCTCACACACCACCCTGCCAAATATTGTAACATATATATATCTATATTCCTATATAATGTACTCATCAAATACAACCAACAAGTGGAAGTACTACTGCCTCTCTCTATATATATTATATGATATTATTACCTGTATATGATGATAACTCGTTTGACTTTTCCGTTTCGTTGTTTCAATTGATCACCGAATATTAAACATACGCCATTTCTTCTCTTGCTTATTTACTTCTTTTTCCACCAAATATGAAAACATTCAAATATAACAATTACTGAACCAAGTACTGAACTAACAATATCTATATAAATCCTGCATATCAATTAGTAAACAAATATCAAAACCAAACCAAAAAATATCAAAAAATATATCACCCACAAATATCGTAAAAGGTAAAAAGGCTTCAACCGCATTCACAATTTAGTATAAAAAACTTATGATTTTCCTCCTGAACTCTACTCTATAAACCTACTTTTTTATTTTTCAATAGATGCCTAGAAAGAAATATTAATATTAAATATTATATTATTATAATATTTATATTTTTAAATATTATTCGTAACAGTTTTTTGAGTTACACGTAGTTCTTTTTTCCAAAACAACCAAACAAACAAAAGCAATTAATTAGCTTAAGTAAAATCTGAAAAAAACGACAAAAGAAATTTACATTTTGTTTACGAAAAACCCTTGGCGCTTCATTGATATAGGATAGCTTTCAATGGCTCTCTTGTAGTTTTGTAAGTACTTTCATTTTGACTGTTTTCCTTTAAGCTACTAACTATTAACAGCCACGACCATAGAATATATTTATATCTAGTGCCGAAACTGAGCTAAAAAAAGAAAAGAAATATCTAGTACGAAATGTGAGACTGTTGCCAAAATTGAAAGCACCAAACTCGACTTCATATGTCTGTCATGCCATCCAGAATGAATTTTGTTTACTGCTAACAGTAGGACTCTTGGCAAGAGTCCTTCTTTGTCTTCTAGTTGTCGCTCCACTAACACTCATCACCCTTTTATTATGCAGAAAAAGCGCGACAAGAATCTGAAAAAGAAGACACGACCGCGTGCCAGTTCAACGGACTCGGAGCGCTCCAAGTAAGTGTTAATTTAAGGATTGGAATTTTAAAGTATCTAACTTAAAATCTCCTATAAATAGCTCTCCTTCTCGTAAGGAGAAGAAATCGGACAAGTCGCGTGGCTTAAAGTCTTCAAAGGCTGACAATCCCTTGCAGCAGCAGCAGGATAATGCCATGCGCAGCCGTTCACGAGAGCGTCGAAGGGATGCCAGGGATCGATCGGCCGGCACTCCTCCAAGAAAGGAGTCACTAACGCAAAGGGAACGCTCCAGGGAAAGGCAGCGCTCTAAGGAAAGACAGAGATCTAAGGAGAGACAACGATCCAAGGAAAGACAAAGATCTAAGGAAAGACAACGATCTAAGGAGAGGCTGCGCTCCAAGGAAAGGCAAAGATCTAGGGAAAGACAACGTTCCAAAGAGAGACAGCGCTCAAAGGAAAGACAAAGATCCAGGGAGAGGCTGAGATCAAAAGAAAGACAAAGATCCAGGGACAGGCCGAGATCAAAGGAGAGACAAAGATCAAAAGACAGGCACCAGTCCAGGGAGAGGCATAGGTCCAAGGATAAGAATTCATTGATGGATAAGAAACGTGACAGGTCCAAAGAACGCCAGAGATCTAGCGAGAGAAAGCGTTCTGTGGAGAAGGAGCGTGAAAGATCCAAAGTTAGACCTCGTTCAAAGGAGAGGCAGAGATCAAAGGAGAGGCAGAGATCCAAGGAGAGGCTGAGATCCAAGGAAAGGCAGCGCTCAAAAGAGAGACAACGCTCTAAAGAGAGGCAACGATCCAAGGATAGGCAGCGCTCTAAAGAGAGACAGCGTTCCAAGGAGAGACAACGATCCAAGGAGAGGCAACTATCCAAGGAAAGGCAGCGCTCTAAAGAAAGGCAACGCTCCAGGGAAAGGCACCGTTCGAAAGAGAGAATGCGCTCCAAGGATAGACAACGTCTAGCCAAGGAATCGTTGGCCACAAATTCCCCCAAGAATCGCAGTCCCAAAAAGAAAGACGAGCCCCGCCAGCGATCTCCCTTGAACGTGAGCAAAAGGCCAACCGATGTGCCGCCCAAGCAATCTCCACCAGCCCATTCCCCAGAGGCGCCGCCTAAAAAGTCCACGACGACACTGCTAGCCTTCAATCCCTTCAAGGCGGCCGAGGACACGGTCAACGATATTCTGGGCACCAAATCGGTGATGGTGGCCCTCGAGCAGACCAAACGACAGCGCGAGGCTTCCGCCAGTTCCAGCTCAGATTCCGATAGCTCCGGCAGCAGCAGTAGCTCTTCTGCCTCCCGGACGCCTTCGCCAAAGCCCACGCCCAAGAAGCAAAAGAAGACAAGCAGCACACCCGAGCCCAAGGAGGTGAAAAAAGAGGCCAGTCCGGCCAAGAGAGAGACGCGCCGCAGAAGCGTCAAGCGAGAGCGTTCCAACTCTCCGAAGACCAAGCCAAAGAGCAAGGCGGCAGCAGAGCCAAGTCCAAAGCCAGTGCGCCGTCGTTCCTCCCGGTCTACCAGCTCCTCGGAGCTGCGCTACTCGCCGGCAGAACGGCACCCGGAACGCTACCAGGACATCATTGGTATCCCAGATAAGAAGCGGCCATCCAAGGCCAGAGAAGCTCCTTCAACGAAGCCCGCTCCCGTGGTTCGCCTGCGGGCACAAAGTGACGATGAGACCGAAGCCGATGGCTCCTCCGCCCTGGAGGAGTTCCAGCAGAGCAAGCGGGAGCACGAGGAACAGCAGGAGCTGCGAATGCTGGAGCAGCTCAAGTCGGGAATAGCGGCCAAGGCCAAGCAAAAGATCAGGAGCACCATGGAGAAGGACCCGGCCAAAGAGGGCAGCGATGTAAGTGGAAGCGACTTGCTGGCAACTACCAAACGTAACTCGCTAAGCGAATTCCTTGTTGCTAACAATGTGACCGCCTTGATTAACCCACTGACCACGACCACGCCCCCGACCATGATAATGACAGCGACCACGCCACCGCCGCCCATGGTGGTGCCGCAGGAACAGCAGCGAAGGGAGGAACAGCAGCTGACAGCCGTGTCTGTGGAGGAGCCGAACAGTAAAAGGGACGCCAGCACTCCGCCCATCTGCAAGACGCCCCTCATGGCGGCAAATGGCGAGGCCAAGAGTCCGACAATGGGTCACAAGATCCAACTGCAACATCATAGGCCGCCTCCACAGCACCAGCAGCATCCACATCAGCATTACCAGCACTCGCATCCTCAGCATTTGCATCCCGGGAAGCGCATCTTTCACAACCGAACGCTGAACAATAACCCCAACAGTAGACATATTACTAACAATCCTCATGCATGCGCTGGTGGCGGTGTCCCTCATTCGAATCCCAACCACAGCAATAGTCACAGCAGCGGGGGCGGCGGCAACAACAGCAGCAGCAGTAGCAGCAACCCGCCCATGCTGCCCTTTCTGGCGGGCACGCCGGGCACCTACAACCGCACCACGAATCGCCTCAACCATGGCCCCCTACTGACCGCCACGCACTACAACATCTGCAAGAATCATCAGCAGAGCTTGCAGCAGCAGCAGGCCCACCATTTGGCCCGTGGTTTGGTCTACAACTCGGCGCTGTTTGGGAATGCACCGCGTCATCCCGGCCTCCTCTCGCTGACGGGGCCGGGTGCCCCGCTGCTGGGGCTACCGCCGCATGGCCGTGGTGGTGCTGGCGCCGGCGGCGCTGGTGGTGCCATTAGCTTCAGCGCAGCGGCAGCGGCGGCAGCCGTGGCCGCCAATAGTATAAGCTACCACCATCATCATCATCATCAACACCAACAGAAACCGAAAATCGTTATAAAACCCTTCAAAATTCACGATCCACAGCCCCTAGTCGCAGCGCTGGCGGACAGCTCGCTGGTGGATGCCATCGTCTCCAAGGTATCGACGGCCACGGTGGCGGCGGCGGAGAGTGCGGCGCGGAGGAGCCGGAGCAGGGAGCGTCGGAGCAGGAGTCGCAGCAAACGAAGGACCAGCGGTAGTCATCATCGACATCACTCCAGCAGTCGCTCAAGATCGTAAGTCATCGTAAATATATAGTAAAGTTATCAAACAGAATATTAATTTAATGCATAATATCGACTTATATATCCACATTCTGACCTTAATATTCAATCTCTCCATATCCCATTTATTTTCCCCACAGACGCTACAGCTCTTCGAGCAGTCGCAGCGGTTCTAGGAGCTCTAGATCCCGCTCTGGCTCGCACTCCTCCCGCTCCAGCTGCTCCTCACACAGCAGCACGGGCAGCTCCTCCTCCGGCGGCAGCGGTTCAGGATCATCGCAGTCGGGCTCACGTTCCCCCTCCATACCCAGGCGTCGTGGCTCACCAAGTTTCCTGGATAGACGTCGCATAACGAGGTAGCTAGAGAAGAAGACTACCTTCCTCAAAAACATCCTTGGTTCTTTACACTTTATATATTTTTTATTTCCCTAATTTCGTAGCCGTCGATCGCCGCGCAGCTCAAGGCACTAAGCTAGCTGGCCGAGATTATCCCACTATAGACGCTTGAGTTTGCATTGATTTTACACACACTTTATTCATTCTTTTACATTCTTTTAAATGATTTTTTTTCTTTCAGCCTCAGGAAATACCTTTAATTTGATTTAAAAAAGCAATTTTTGAATGGTTCTATAAAATTTCAGCTTTATTGCTCGTAAAATTGTATACTATATTTTATCATTTCGTAATTTAGCCAAGCCGCCAATAAATAATTGTCACTCTACCCGACTCTTTATGGTTTTATCTAGGACTTGTTTTCGTTTGTTTGATTTGTAGTCAACCATTTTTGTGTTCCCTTACGATTTTCAGTTGGTGAGTTTAATTTAAAATATATGTTTTTTGCTTTTTATTTAGTTTAATGAAAGTAAATTACATTTATTGATTAACTAATCCCTTGCAGTGCCCGCAAGCGTCCCATTCCGTATCATCACAAGACACCCACGGCCGAGGGCGAGGGTGCAGAGGAGGCAGCCTCCAGTTGCTGTTCCAGCTGCTTCAGCCGCACCAGCAGTCCCGCCACGCCGCTGCTTACGCCTTTGAGGAGCAGCCGGAGTCCCTCGATGGCCGCCTTCTGAGTGTTAACCGCGTCGCTGCGCAAAATGTGCGGCGAGCCCTGAGACAGGAAGCTCCTCCCATCCCATTCATCACCATCCTAGTCACTCCTAGTCCTCTAAGATAGTTGTTATACACGCATTGAACTTGTTTTGACACCAACATTCCGTAGTCTTAAGTTAGTTTCTTGAATTCAATAGCGAAATTATTATGTAGCCACGATATTAAGCCAATACTCGTTTGTAAGCCTCTCTGCTCTCGATTATTTGCTAGTCATAAGCTGCGTTTTAAAAGTAAATACACGCATTATTTGTTGCCCATCTCAAAAAGTTTGCTCTCTTTTACTGGGAACAGATTTTTACATTGATACTAATTCTTTGATTGATTCTTTGGGCTTCAGTCAATCATCAATTGGGTATTGAAAAAATAAATATTCAAAAATTTCAATTTTTAACATAAACCAGTGAGTATTTTTAATTTTTACGAGTGAAGGAGTCATTTCCGACCCCATAAAGCATGTATATTATTGATCAGCATCGACAGCCGAGTTTTTCTGGCAATGTGGGGAAGAAAAAATTTTTTTTGCATTTTTTTAAATTTTTGTAAGGGGTTACATCATTAAAATTCTTAAAAATTGAAATTTTTTTTAATATTTTAAAAAATTAAATTTTATATGCAGATTTGTTAACCTATAAAAAACTAGAACAGATATGCTTTCCAAGTTAAATTTGAGGCTTTTTTGACTAAGTTATGATATTTTTAAACTTTTATTTGTCAAACAAAATTATACAAAAATATTAACGATTTAAATTTTTGTGAATATTTCAGTTCTTCCAAAAGTCATATATATTCTGATTCATTATTAAACTCCTTGGTAATTAATATTAAAATATTGACAATATCCAAAGGTTGTTTCCTTTCCTTTATAATAAAAAGAAAACTAGTTTTCCTTATTAATTAGATTCTCTTTTCTAAAAATAAACCCAGCTCTTCTCTTTTGTATAAATACGTTTATTTTTATTACGAAAAAGATTACAAAAAATATTAAGGTATAACAACGAAGCAATCTGCATTTAGTTTTAGCTTATCTTAGGCCCTCCTCACACACTCTCAGGGAATTTTTGCAATTAGAGATTAGGAACCCCAGGCCGTAATCTACAAAGTAATCGGAATAAAACTACAACCGGTATAAAGTCTTTGTGACGGAATGTGCTTATTTGGTGGCATTCTTCTCGGCGGCCAGCTTCTCCTGGAAGCGACGTCGCCGCTTGGCAATGTACACCACCCAGATGAAGGAGATGATGGCCATGCTGATGGATCGGAACATGGGCGGCACGTACGCAAAGTTTAGGTAGACAAACACCGACAAGTACTGCCAGTTGGCCTTCAGCAGAGGCCAATACAGCTTCTCAACATTCTCCAGAGCGGTGGCGGGGGATTTGCCCTGGAAAAGATTGACATTGGTTAATAAAGAGAAATAAAAGGAATGTTCCAGCTAAAAAGCTTACCTCAAACAGGGCCAAGAAGAACAGGGAGAGCGCCTGATAGATGGGGGCATAGACCAAACGCTCCGAAAGGAACAGGAAGAATCGCCTGAAGCGAAGATCATGATTGAAGAGCCGCTCCACCGTTGTGTAGAAGTAGTGCGGCACACTGCCTCCAAAGATCAAGCCAAACAAACCATAGGCAAAGACGCTCTGCTGGTTCAGCGTCTTGGCGCCCGCCAAACGCTGTGAGGTCACATTCGCAGAGGTGGCCAAAACACAGCTACATGGGATTTGGGTTAATTAGGGGGCTTCCAGATAATGGGTTCACAGTACTCACGCCGTGATGGACTTGGTGCGGACCGGATGGTTGAAGAGTTGCTCCAGATAAGTGCCAAAGAGCGAGTACAGGGGCTTGGAGAGAACCATCGTGAACGGAGGTAACTGGAAGAGCGCGGGATGCAGGTTAAAGTGCAAAGTGCAACTGATAAGGGCCGGCAAAGTACATCCCTACCACCTTCTTTAAATATTTACCTGAGCAGTCCAAACGTCTTGGCCGTAGATTAACAACTGAGCAGGTGCACAGATACCGACACTTGTTGGTAGAAGTTTATTAACTTTAGTTTTGGTTTTTGACGGCTTTTAACAACTATCGCTGACTTTATGAGAGCTGGTTACTCTATTCCTGAACTATCGATAAGTCGATAGATAAGCTGCAGCTTTGGCCACACTGCTAGCGCTGTCATCAATTAGTTTCGGCAAAGTATTCGTTATTATTCCAGTAAAGTAGAAGAATCCTCAAAACCGAAGCTCCTTCTAGCCACAATGGAGTTTCCGCCCTGTCCACCCTCGCTGAAGTCCATCCAGCACTTCCTAAAGCTGGCCCAAGAGCACGACACAAGGGATTTGGTCATCGCCTACTGGGCCAGACTCTAGTGAGTATTGTTATTTTCTTGTTTAATAAAGGATGCAGTGACTGATATAGTGGTGTTTCCTCTCTAGTGCCCTTCAGGTGGGACTCAAAGCCTCCACCCAGACGGGCGAGGAGACCAAACTGCTGCTGGGTAAGCGAAAAATCAAATACGCATTTGGCTAGCCCATGACTCATCCGTGTTTTGTTTTGGTTTCGGTTTCCCCCACTTGCCATTGCAGCCATAATGGACTGCCTGGAGCAGGTGAAGAAGCAGCATGCGGATAACGAAGCGGTAACCAATGAGGTGGCTGCCCAGGCTCACATCGAGAACTATGCCTTAAAGCTGTTCCTGTACGCCGATAAGCAGGATCGCGAGGAGAACTTTGGCAAGTGAGTCACGACGAGTGCAGAAATCTCATAGTTTTCTAGACGATGTAATCCTGGAAGCTATAAGATTTCCTACTTATTGCAGTTTAAATCCTTGATAAATCATTAAATTCTCTACTTTTCTTTCCCAGAAATGTGGTCAAGGCCTTCTACTCCAGCGGTGTGCTCTACGATATACTCCAGACCTTCGGGGAGCTCAGCGAGGAGGCACTTCACAACAGGAAGTATGCCAAATGGAAGGCCGCCTACATCCACAACTGTTTGAAGAACGGCGAGACGCCCATTCCCGGACCTCTGCCCGACGACGATGAGACAGAGCTTGGGGGGGAGGAAAATGCTAACGCCTCAGCGGATGCATCTCCCGAGGATGCAGCCGGAGCGGCTGCTCCACCCCCCTTCCAGCCGGAGGAACCACAGGCCCCATCTTCGCCGCCCTCGAATGTCACACCGCCCACCGCCGAGGAGGTGCTGAACAATCCCAACAAATTGCCCAGTCCGCCAGAGGATGAGGAGAAGCCAGGCGGCTTTGAGCCGTATGTGCCCACAGGTCAGCCGCATCCAGCAACGGCGGCCACCATTTACCAGCCCATTGTGCCCGTGGCCGGGGTGCAAATCACACCGGACCAAATGATAACCGCCCAGAAGTATTGTAAGTATGCCGGCAGTGCCCTCAATTATGACGACGTGAAGACCGCTATAGAGAACCTGCAGAAGGCGCTAAAGCTGCTCAGCACTGGCTCCGAATAGGAGCGGACACACATACACATAAAACACATAAAAAATAAGAACTAACCCAAGCACGGTTATAGCTTAGAGAGCACCAGTGTATGCCCCATAATCTCCCGCTTCTTACACGCAATTAAATCGTACTGACGTTGGATAATTAACTTTAAATATATATATAAAAAATGTATGAGTTGTTCGAAATTTATTAAAATTGTTTCTAAAAGTCGTAATTTAGATGGTTTGCCCGTTACGAAGAGGATTTGATTACACATTTTGCTTGGTTTTAGGTTTGATCTCTGGTCATGTCTTTATGCCGTGGCTCTCTCTACGGTTTAGCTAATATTTCTAGCCATTACATACGTTACATATTATATTTAGGTTTCATTATACGATAATTATTTTGGCACCAAAGTGAAAACATGAATTTCGATTTGCTAGAGTGAATGTAAGTGATTTGGTTGTGAGTTTCTTCGTGATGATTGGTGACCCGCAGCAGTTCGCCTCCGAACCCAACTTAAGGTGCTAAAACAAAGCTGGATCAGTGAATGACTATGAGTATGGGGTGTGATGTTGCAAGGGCGCCTAGCAGCTGGCGCCTAATCCTGTTTGACGCCATTCGTTGGCGGCTGTGTGGCCGCTGCAGCCTCGTCCTGGAGGCGGGCAGTCTGATACCAGACCACGAGCCGGCCGCCTAGCATGAAGGTGAACACAAGCGCCGGTCCAGAGCGCTCGAAGGGATCGCTGACCATCCAGTGCTGGTAGATGCCCAGCAGCATCAGCACCAGCAGCGTCACATTTGCCGCATTCTTCACCTTGTCTGTGGGTAAATGTTTATAATTTAAATTATTAAATTCCCTTGAGGCTGTTTTTAAACTCCACTTACGGTAAGGAATCAGTGCCATGGCCAGGCCGCAGACAATCTCTAGGATGCCAACGGTGCGGCGATACCATTTCGAGGGGATCTTCACTCCAAAGAGGGCGGTCAGGGGAAATACTTTGGCATACTTCACGTACTCTGTGCGCTGCAATTCGTGGATTGGGAGCAAATCAAATATGTTAAAATTAATCATGCCCAGAAACAACACCCTCTCCTTCCCCCAGGAGAGCCATTTGCTCCGACCAGCGGAAGGCAGTGCAGTGCAGCCCATTTATTTTTAAATGAACACTAGCTTTTCTTTTTGTCAGAATTCATCGTATGTGTAATGTGCTTGCTGTTGGCACCGGTGGCCCCAAGTGTTTGGCGGTAATTACACCGTTGGGGCTGGGAACGGGGAGCCCCAAACAAAACAAATATTTCGAAATTAAAATGCCATGCCTCGGGGGGTAAAAGCTTGAAAAAAACATAATAAATGAGAGTAAAATGGCGCGTAACGAATGCAATGCCAATTTGAAAAAATCCACTGAATAAAGATCCAAAATATATATGTAAAATAGAGAACAATTCAATGTAATTCCTTACATTTTACAAAAAAATGATATATGAATTCCTGTAAATCTTTGATATTTTAAAATTGAACAAGTACTTATTTTCCTTATCGTTTCTCTTATAACTTTTCCAGTAAGCCGCCTCTACCCTATTGTTTATAAATAAAAGCCGATTCACCCTATTGTTTATAAATAATAGCCATGTTATACGTCATGTTGGCCTTTGTGTTAGCTATAGTATTTGCACAGGCATGCAAAATATTTATTTGGTAATGAAATCGACAACTTTTGGGCGTTGTTTTTACAAAAAGTAAACAAGAAATTCTGAACTAACAGCTGTTCTATAAATCTTTCGCTTTTTCCAATTTGTTTACAGGCTTTAGAAAACAATTTTTAAATCAAGGTGAATTTTAATTGATTGTTTTTCCATTTCCTGCGGTTTTAAATACACTTTTTTAGGGTATTTACTGCTTCTTTTTCATTCTAAAAATCTTCGTGTATAAATATTTTAAAGAAAATAATTCCAAATATTTGTCAAATTTTTTTCCGAAATCTCTCTAATTGGTTTTATGCTCGTTTCTTTGACAAAAGCCGCCAAGAGGCAACCGTTTCGCCTATTAAAATATATAATTTTCCTGAAATATCTCTGAAGATCATAGCCGGAGGCTCTCCTCGGCGTCCGAATGTCAGCGATTGGCATTGATGGGGTCGAGTTCAATGCCCAATTACTCAGTCATATTAAGGAGAGGCTATCCATCTATTTGGGGTGCACTGCAGGCCTATTTACATAAGAGATTTTCCATTTGAAAGCGGAGATTGCATTGCTGCTGGGCAGTAACTGGGAAAAATCGATGGGCTGTGCACCCGCCCCCCGCCCAACCGAGCGAAACTCTCCCACTTTATCGATTTTCCGACACACTCACCAGATCCTTGTAGAGGTCCTTGCTAATGTGCGGCGTCAGCTTCAAAGTGCCCACAAAGATAAAGAATAGGCCCAGGAGCACCGAGAGGCTCTTCAGCACAATCGTATTGGATGCGGGTGCGGGCATCTTGGCGGATTCCAATTTATGGGGTAAACACTCTCGGGACCGGACCTCCTACTCCGCCTTCTACACAACCTATACGGACACCCTACAATAACACACCGGTCGCTAAATTTAGACCAATCTCGCCAGCTTTCCGTGCGGAAAAGTACGCGGCGGCGACGGCGACCAGAGCAACAAATTCAAGCACACAATCCGAATGTTTGGCAAATCGTGCCCCGCTGGCGGTATGTATAATTTTATGAATTCTTATTCGGCGGCGTCCATTTGTTCCCTTTATATTTATCCGTTCACTTCATGTCCACCGCTTTTTCGCTTTTCCGCATTCAGTTTCGCGTTCGGAAAGAGACTGATTTTCGGACCAGTTGCAAAGTTTATTTCGGCAGCATCCCCACGTCGGAAAATCAATATATGCTCTCACAGGCCCGGTGCTGCCCTGCTCTACACTCTCTGCAATATGTGTGCGGTGTGCTCCGAGTAGGAAAGCCGAGAGGAGAGGATTCCCACCCCGTAGAGCACAACTGGCAGCTGGACTGAGACCGAGACCGGACTCTTCCTCGGGTGGTTAGCCACCCTTAAGGCTAACCACCCTTAAGGAGCCCCAGATAAACAATCATTAACAGAACTCGAGTAGTTCCTTGGCTGGACAAAATCTGACCCAAATGAGTAGTTTTGAGGCTCATTAACCCACATTGAAAGATCAGTATTTATGGGGGTAATTATGTATTTTTTAAAGGTTTTTAAAAAATATTTTTGAGCTGAATTTGAATATTATAAAAAACTATATAAAATACACATCTTTCTTTTCTTTCCTTAAATTTCTATGATTTTAAAACTCAGTCGTCCAACGTTTATACTTAAGTTAATATAATTTTTAAATCTCACTACCAGCCCATGGGACCTCCAGGCATTCCAGGTCCTCCCCTGCGATGGGAATGATCCTCCGGTGGCGTTTGCGGTGTGTGATAAATCCTTTTGGACTCGGCCATCCTCTGATTGTAGCTTAGGATCTGCTCCTGCAGCTGGGCATCTTCCTGCTGGGCCCGTGGCTCGTCGAACTCCAGACTGGCCACCCCGTCCAAACGATCCAAATCCACCCAGCCCCGGAAACGAACGCATACCCCGTTCATGATAAAGTTGGATCGTAGATGGACCTTGCCCCGCTCTCGCTCGAAGTCGCACTCCTGCTCCTGGGCATACGGATTGTGGTTGGCGTTGAAATACAGCTGCAGATTGGTGCCGGATGCCACGAAGGACATCTCAGCATAGCCCTTCCGGCAGTCGTTGACGAAACGCATTCGACGCTCCTCGGCAGCCCGTTCCCGGTAGCCAGTGTAGCGGACCTCGCTCTCCCGGCTGAGGCGGCGGAAGAGTTCGTCACTGTCGAATTTTGACCTCTGGTCGGGCACTACACGGGGCATCTTGAAGATGAAGCGCGGCTTGGGCTGCTCGTACATGGCCATGGCTTCGTAGGGAGGAGGAATCATGCCCGAGAGGGCTGCGGCTGCTTCTCCGAGATTCTGGTGATGATGCATGGCTGTAACTTGAACTTGAACTGAGTTCTCTGAAGAAAAGGTGTTGACTGATCTCTGGTCGGGAATGTTCTCTTATTTATATCAAATAGGAAACAGGTAAGCTCAGGTTTTTAGAAGGAGTTACCTGAAATATAACTTTACGATTTTATGATCCCATATGGCGTTATTTATCTCTTAATTTAAGCCACCTGGAGACAGGTAATAACCGTTTTTACTTTTAGGGTTTACTAGTCCAGGGGTGTCTAAAAAAAAGGTAGCATTTTAATTTTTTCAGGCAGAGAAACATGGTTAATATGATACTTTATAATTTAAAACTGGGTCTTAAATTTAAATTTGAAAAGTTCGTTATACCAGTGTTGAATAGCGACACAAGCTAGTAAAAGTAGATGGCAACCATGAAATAATAATTAGATGACAACTCTAGCCACATTAAACAGCTGAAAGGAATTGTTTTATTTACAAATTGTTAAAAAAAAGAAATGTCACTCGTCGCCTATGCCGCCAGTTCTGATGAAGATTCCGAGAACGAAGAGGAGGAAGAGAATTCCAAGCCACAGGTGGAGATAATTAAGTCGGAAGCCAAGCCGAACACAGGACCCACAACAAGTGTCACAGCCAGTGGTCACATCAGCGACGAGGATGACGACTTTGTGCCCCAAGAAGTATCCTTACAGGAGTTAAAACCCGTCGGCAGACTTACACTAGCCTTGCCCAAGCCAAAGGCAGCTGCACCCGCTGAGGAGGAGTCAATAGACGAGGATGTGGACGAGCTGATAGCCCCCGCTTTTGCCAAACTCCCAATGCCACGCACAGCAGTTGCCTCCGGCAAGGCAATTATAGAAGAAAAAGATGATGAGTTTCTGCACAAAAAAGCGCTGCCTGTTCAGATAGAGAAACCCCCACCGCCGCCGGTTAAGGGACGCGTCAAGATCAGCATACCATCGCTGAGAGACTTCTCCGATGTTGACCAGGAGAAGGCGGACAAGGCCAAGAACAAGGTGGACAAACCCGTGGCGCCCAAGGGATCTGGCTTGCTGAGCATGCTGCCCCAAGCCAAGTCAGAGCGAAACTTTGCCAAGACATCCACTTCGGAAGCAGCAGCAAGCAACACGACAACGCCGGCTCAAAAACCAGAAGCAAGTAATCTAGGACAGCCCCGGTCCTCTCCAGCTTTTGTGCCCGATACAGTGAAGCAGAGGAGAGCAGCGCACAACACCGAAGGAGTGGATGGCCCCAAGGCTTCTGGTCCCAAAAGGAGTACCCAAGGAAGCGAAGGCTCTAAGCCCACTCAAGCCAAGCCAGCAGTCAAGTTGGTGAGTGCCAGCGACAGCGAGGAGGATGACGATGAGGACGCTTCTGGCGACTTCTTCTCCCTCAATGCCGAACACAAGCTGCCCGAGGTGAGCAGCAACGAGATCAGCGCCTTGGTGGCCAAACGGGCAGCCAAAATGGTGGAGGCCAGCAGCAAATACCTCGAGGAGATCGCAGAAAGGGAAGCGGCCGAAGCCGAGGCCGCTCGCCTGGAGGAGGAGCAGGTACAGCAGGCACAGAAGCGCTACCACGAACAGCAACTAAACGCCGAGGCCATGGACGCATTGGTGGGCAAAAATGCCAAGCGGCGGCGAAAGGAGGCCAAGGAGATGCAGGTGATCGACATCTCCGGATCCCAGGTCCTGCCCGACCGTGACGAATGGATGCGAACGGCTCTGGCCTCGTCTACGACCTTCCAGCCCACTGGAGTCTTGACGGACGAGGAGCCGGTGGCGGGTACGCGGCGCAAGCACCAGATCACCTACCTGGCCCACAAGGCTAAGGCCAACGAGGCCGAGCTGCAGGCCATGTGGTCGGCCAACAGGCAGACGCGACGAGCCACACAGAGCAAATATGGTTTCTGAATTTCCGTTTTCATTTTATGTACGTCTCTTAATCCTACAATATAAACCTAATCCTAAACCTAGACTTATTATCTAGGGTTCACTGCAGCCAGCCCTCGCGCTTGCCCAGGTGGCTGCCCACGTAGAATATGGCGGTGCTGAGGAGTAGGATCAGCGGGGCAATGGTCACATAGATGGGAATTTGATGGGGGTACTCCAGTCGCAGGCAAATCATCACCTGGGAGGCAATGGTAAGCAGCACGCCGGCAATGTTCCATTTGTAGAGGAAGAGGAGGTCCGTGAGGCGACTTAGATTGCGCCACTTCCGTATAAACTTGATGATCACGTAGATGATGATTATAACGTCGAAGATCCAGAGCGGGGTAAAGGTGACAAACCAATTCCAGTTGGTCCGCGGCTCCAGGCGCAGGCACAGCAGGATGAAGAACACCAAGACTATGAACCACGTAAAGAGCGCTCGGTGAGCCAGAGTCATGTCGTTTGTCTGTTGTTTAGAACTTTTCCATCGTAGGGCAAAAAAATAAACAAAAACTAAGAACAATATTGGGCCAGTGTTGGAAAACAACTGATGGCACAGTGGCAGCTAGAAGAGAGTTTGGAATAAAGGTTTTCTCTTGAAGAATATGCTGTAAATAAAGCAAAGTTAAGTATTACTAATATGTAATTGAATTAAATTTTGTAAAATAAGGCTCAAGGTCTCGAAATAGAGAGCAAAGTTAACAATTTTAAAGCATTGAACGTGTTCCTTTTTTTATGGCAGCCACTGTGAAACAGCTGTTAATGGAACTCTCTCAACGGGTGGCAACTCTGCCTGCGTGTTCAACATCAGCGAGAAGAAGAAGCTAATTGACGTGTCACAATTTTCACAATTTGGTTGGTGTTTCTTCTAAAAATTAATTATAAGCAACGGCTACGTGTAATTCCTGGCAGCCACTAACTGGGCAATAATTCTATCCATCTCTCTTGCATGTTTTGATGCAGGCGCGTGCCCAATTAACCAGAACACGGGCTCCTGAAAGAAAAGCCGACACCCACAAGAAACTCGGGCAGGAAATTGTGAAAAAATAATAGTGCCAACATGTTGACCAACTTCGAGTCGAAGTCGGCGCGGGTTAAGGGCCTCTCGTTCCATCCGAAGCGGCCCTGGATTTTGGTCAGTCTGCACAGCGGCGTTATCCAGCTGTGGGACTACCGGATGCACACGCTCCTCGAGAAGTTTGACGAGCACGACGGACCGGTGCGTGGCGTGGCCTTCCATCAGCAGATGCCATTGTTTGTCTCCGGCGGCGATGACTACAAGATCAAGGTGTGGAACTACAAGCAAAGGCGCTGCATCTTCACTCTACTTGCCCACTTGGACTACGTGCGCACGGTGGCATTCCACCACGAATATCCTTGGATATTGAGCGCCTCCGACGATCAAACCATCCGCATCTGGAACTGGCAGTCGCGCAACTGCATCTGCGTGCTGACGGGCCACAACCACTATGTGATGTGCGCCCAGTTCCATCCCACGGAGGATCAGATCGTTTCCGCTTCGCTCGATCAGACGGTGCGCGTATGGGACATCTCGGGGCTGCGCAAGAAGAACGTGGCACCCGGCCCTGGGGGCCTCGACGATCACTTGAAGGGTCATCCGGGAGCCACTGATCTATTTGGACAGGCGGATGCTGTGGTCAAGCATGTGCTCGAGGGCCATGATCGCGGCGTTAACTGGGCCAGTTTCCATCCCACATTGCCGCTGATTGTTTCTGGAGCAGATGACAGGCTGGTGAAGCTGTGGCGCATGAACGAGTACAAAGCCTGGGAGGTGGACACCTGCCGTGGCCATTACAATAATGTGTCCAGCGTCCTGTTCCATCCGCGCCAGGATCTTATACTGTCGAACGGCGAGGATCGCAGCATTCGTGTTTGGGACATGACCAAGCGTCAGTGCTTGTTTACCTTCCGGCGAGACAACGAGCGCTTCTGGATTCTCACGGCGCATCCCACACTGAATTTGTTTGCTGCCGGACACGATGGAGGTGAGTTTCTCTCAGAGATCCTTTGGTAACTCGTCTAATCTTATGTTTTCCCTCCCAGGCATGGTGGTCTTTAAGTTGGAGCGCGAGCGTCCTGCCTACGCCGTTCATGGCAACATGCTCTACTATGTAAAGGAGCGTTTCCTGCGCAAACTGGACTTTACCACCACCAAGGACACGGTGGTAATGCAGCTACGTCCTGGCAAATCCCCAGTGTACAGCATGTCCTACAACCCAGCTCTAAACGCCGTGCTCATCTGCACGCGAACCAACAACCTGGAGAACAGCACCTACGATCTGTGCCAGATACCCAAGGACACGGAGAGCCAGAGCGAGTCGGACAGCAAGCGCAGCTCCGGCATCACAGCCATTTGGGTGGCACGCAACCGCTTCGCCGTGCTGGACCGCAACCAGCAGCTGGTGATCAAGAACTTCAAGAACGAGGTGACCAAGAAGCTGCCCACGTTCTGTGAGGAGATCTTCTACGCCGGCACTGGCATGCTGCTCATTCGGGATCCCGAATTTGTCACCCTGTACGAGGTGCAGCGACTCGTCTCCGTAGGCAGCATCAAGCTGGCCAAGTGCCGCTATGTGGTGTGGTCCTCGGACATGTCTCTGGTGGCGCTGCTCTGCAAGCATTCGGTGACCATCTGCGACCGAAGGCTCCAGTATTTGTGCACCGTGCAGGAGAACTGCCGCGTCAAGTCCGGCGCCTGGGACGAGTCGGGCGTGTTTATCTACACCACAAGCAACCACATCAAGTACGCCATCACCAATGGCGACCACGGCATCATCAGGACACTGGATCTGCCCATTTATCTGACCCGCGTCAAGGGCAATCAGGTCTTCTGCCTGGATCGCGAGTGCCGCACCCGGGTGCTCCACATCGACCCCACGGAGTACAAGTTCAAGCTGGCCCTGATCCAGCGCAAGTACGACGAGGTGCTGCACATGGTGAGGAACGCCCGTTTGGTGGGCCAGAGCATCATTGCCTACCTGCAGCAGAAGGGCTATCCGGAGGTGGCTCTGCACTTTGTCAAGGACGAGAAGACTCGCTTTGGACTGGCCTTGGAGTGCGGCAACATCGAGATCGCTCTGGAGGCAGCCAAGGCCTTGGACGACAAGGACTGCTGGGATCGTCTGGGCCAGAGTGCTCTACTTCAGGGCAACCATCAGGTGGTGGAGATGTGCTACCAGCGCACCAAGAACTTTGACAAGCTGAGCTTCCTCTACCTGATCACCGGCAACCTGGAGAAGCTGAAGAAGATGAACAAGATCGCCGAGATTCGCAAGGATGTATCCGCACAGTACCAGGGCGCCTTGCTCCTGGGCGACGTCAAGGAGAGGGTCAGCATCCTCAAGAATTGTGGACAGCATTCGTTGGCCTATCTCACGGCAGCCACCCATGGTTTCCAAGAGCTCACCGAATCCCTGGGTGAGTCGATCACCTCGCAGGGCAACACTCTGCCCGAGGTGAATCCCAATGCCCAGCTGCTGCAGCCTCCGGTGCCCATTCAGCAGCTGGAGACCAACTGGCCGCTGCTCTCCGTTTCCAAGGGCTTCTTTGAGGGCGCCATGGTCACCAGAGCAGGAAGCAGTGCCACCGCTCGCCAGGCGCTGAACATCAACGCCGATGCTGCCTTGTTGGATGAGCACAATGCCGGCGGCGATGGCTGGGGAGCCGACGCAGATCTGGGACTCGACGAAGACGGCGAGGATGGTGAGATGCACGATGCCCTCAGTAATGATGGCGAGGGCGGAGCTGGCGGAGAGGATGGCGCCGGCTGGGACGTGGGCGATGACGATCTAGTGGTGCCCGAGGAGCTGGCCTCCAAGATTAAGGCTTCCGCCTTGGACAGCAATTATTATGCGGCCCCCAACAAGGGTCTGTCGCCGGCACAGCAGTGGGCCAACAACTCGCCCCTGGTGCTGGACCACGTCAAGGCCGGATCCTTTGAGAGTGCCTTCCGTTTGTTGAACGACCAGTTGGGCGTGGTGAACTTCAAGCCTTTTAAGCCGCTGTTCCTACAGAACTATGCCTGCTCCCGAACCAGCTACACGGCCAATCCGAATCTGCAGTCCCTCAGTGGCTATCCCCTAAGAAACTACTCGGAGGCCAATGCCAAACTGCATCGTCCGGCTTTGGGCATTAAGCTGAATGATTTGGTGGCGCGCTTGCAGGCTGGCTACCAGCTCACCACCTCCGGCAAGTTCTCCGAGGCCGTGGAGAAGTTCCACTCTATTCTGATCAGCATTCCGCTGCTCGTGGTGGACACCAAGGTGGATGCGGCGGAGGCCCAGCAGCTTCTAAGGATCTGTGCCGAATACATTGTCGGTTTGAAGATGGAGACGGTGCGCAAGGGCATGCCCAAGTCCACGCTGGAGGAGCAGAAGCGACTGTGCGAAATGGCCGCCTACTTCACGCACTGCAAACTGCAGCCTGTCCATCAGATCCTCACCCTGCGCACCGCCCTCAATATGTTCTTCAAGCTGAAGAACTACAAGACAGCGGCCTCCTTTGCCCGGCGACTCTTGGAGCTGGCACCGCGGCCGGATGTGGCGCAGCAGGTGCGCAAAATCCTGCAGGCCTGCGAGGTGAATCCAGTGGACGAGCATCAGCTGCAGTACGAGGAGTTCAATCCGTTCACCATCTGCGGCATCAGCTGGAAGCCGCTGTATAGGGGCAAGCCAGAGGTAACCTGTCCCTTCTGCGGCTCCTCCTTTGACCCGCAATTCAAGGGCAACCTTTGCACAGTATGCGAGGTGAGCCAGATTGGCAAGGAGAGCATTGGGCTGCGCATATCCAGCCTGCAATTCCGCTAGAGACATCTGCCTTTTAATTGCTCTTTAACCGCCGAGCGAAGGAGACCCAGCTTAGTTTAGTTTTACACGATCATTGCTTATGTATGAAATATAAAGTTCAGTATCTGTATATTATAATCAAGAGGTGCCTGTGTTTTCGTTAAAGCGGAAATAGGAGGGGCTCTTGAGATATATCTATCCACTTGAATTGTAGATTCCCGTGGTATTTCCAGAGGAGTCAGTCGTCACGCTGCGTCACCTGCGGAAAGCCCCCCACAAACAACAAGATCTCGATTAGTAATGATGTATTTTTTAGTTAAAGATACGACACTAATTCCACGCTAAGTTTGTAAGTATAATACCGTAAAAGCATACGTAAAGTAAGCATTAATTAGAGCTAAAACTAAGTCTAGGAGCATATTTATTCGAGCGTTTTCTAATCTCGCACATTGGGGGGATGCCCGTTAGCGGGCTTTGGAGCATTCTCAGTTGTCCATGAAGTAATGAGTATTCGCGAATTGAGTCTCTTGCTGCTGCTGCTGCTGCTGGTTCAGCGGCGGTGGCGGCAGCGGCGGCTGCTGTTGAAGCTGGTGCGACGGCGGCGGCGCCGTCCACAGGTCCAACTAACGTCTCCACATGCTGGCGCCGACACCAATGCCCCCGGAGGCCACACCTCGTCGCACCGCCTCCATTTCGTCCTGCCTATTGTCGCGGTAGGCGCGCTTGGTGTCCTCAAACTCGCGCAATCGCTGGTTGTACCTATCGATCTGGTCCCGCAGAATAGCATCCTCATGCATTGCCCGCCGCTCATCGTACTCCAAACAGCCGACGCCGTCGAGACGCTCCAGGTCCAGCCAGCCGCGGAAGCGAACGCACACACCGTTCATGATAAAATAGGACTTGATGTGCACCTTGCCGTGCTCCTTGTCAAAGTCGCACTCCTTGTCGTGCAGGTAGGGGTTCTGATTGGCATTGAACACCAGCTGCAGGTTGGTGCCCGAGGCCACGAAGCTGGTCTCCGTGTGGCCCTCGCGGCAGCCGTTCATGAAGCGCACCTGCCGCTCCTCGATGCTGCGCTCCCGGTAGCCCGTGTACCGGATCTCGCTCTCCCGGCTAAGTCGCCGGAACAGCTCGTCGCTCTCAAACTTGGACTTCTGGTCGGGCACCACACGGGGCATCTTGAAGATGAAGCGCGGCTTGGGCTGCTCGTACAGCCCAATGGTGTCGTAGGGTATCATGTTGGCCAGAGCAGCTTCGTTCATCATCTTGTCTGTTGGGATTTCCGATCGCTGCCGCTGCTGCTAGACTTCCAATCGCTGGGCGGTTTTATACAATTATTAATTGTATTATTAATATTATCCAAGAAAACAACGCACAATACAACAAAAAGGCTGGTTTGCGGTTTTGATATACACAATTAGAGCTGCAAAATTATCGATGTCACTATCGATACATCGATGGTGGATGTTTTAAAAAGTGCGATACATCGCCTGCAACTACTAAGTTTATGCGTCGCCAGATTTATGAATTTACATTTCCTTTTTAATATTAATTATAAATTAATTGAAAAGGAGCAAGCAGCTGGGATGGCAGAGCTCAAGCGAATGGCAGTGGTCCGATCTTGGCTCCGGGCTAGCTGAAGCCCAGCAGGCGTAAGGTATTGGAATATTTATAACTACATTTTAAATGTGTAAATGTAATTGATGGAACAAACAAATTAGAATCGAAAAAAAAGGGAAATCAATGTGAAATTGTGTGGTTTAAGCGGCGTTTATTTGGGGGCCTTGGGATTGTTTGGGGAAAAATCGTTTGAAAGCCAAATGTAATTTTTTTTAAATTATTAACATAATATTCTGAAATTTTAAATTTTGTTTCTACATTTTTAAAAGTTTTCCTGGATTTTAAAAAAGTTTTCATCTAATATTTTAACTTTTTTTTAGATTAATAAAATTATTTTTTTATTTTTAAATTTTTTTAAAAATATTTTACCTGCCAAATTTGAATTTAACTGCCAAATTTGAATTTGAATTTAACGACGATCAGTTTCAGTGTGCCCAGGTGCAGTTGTAAAATAACACCTAAATTTGGATTCAAAAGGTTTGAGTCTCCGCTTACTTGCGCCGGCTATTAAATGGTTCGAAACTTGGACTTTTTATAACAGTTTATACCAGTTTTCAGTTGCTTGCTGCTGATTTCTGTTCGCCTGTTACCCCAATTTGGGAAACGGGCAATTTGCATGGAAATGTTCGGAAATTTGGATGGGCTGCTGTAGGGATGTTGTTGTAATAAGGTTGTTGTTGCCATCAAGCTGTTATTGTCGGCAACAAATAGGTATAAATGCATAAAATGTAATATAACAGTTTATACCAATTATTATTTTTGCCCAAAAGTTTTTATAACAGTTTATACCAGTTTTCAGTTGCTTGCTGCTGGTTTCTGTTCGCCTGTTACCCCAGTTTGGATAGCGGCCAAATCGAATGAAAAAATTTGCTCACTTGCATCAGTGATGCTCATCTCCATCAGTGATGCTCACTTCCATCAGTGATGCTCACTTCCAACAGTGATGCTCACTTCCATCAGTGATGCTCACTTCCATCAGTGATGCTCACTTCCATCAGTGATGCTCACTTCCATCAGTGATGCTCACTTCCATCAGTGATGCTCACTTCCATCAGTGATGCTCACTTCCATCAGTGATGCTCACTTCCATCAGTGATGCTCACTTCCATCAGTGATGCTCACTTCCGTCAGTGATGCTCACTTCCATCAGTGATGCTCACTTCCATCAGTGATGCTCACTTCCATCAGTGATGCTCACTTCCATCAGTGATGCTCACTTCCATCAGTGATGCTCACTTCCATCAGTGATGCTCACTTCCATCAGTGATGCTCACTTCCATCAGTGATGCTCACTTCCATCAGTGATGCTCATCTGCGTCAGTGATGCTCATCTGCGTCAGTGATGCTCATCTGCGTCAGTGATGCTCATCTGCATCAGTGATGCTCTATTGGGACAAAATGCTTAACAAGCTATTTTGCATTACTGGGACAAAATGGCAACTCTCTAACTGCCAGTGATGCTCATCTAGCTATTTTGCATTATTGGGACAAAATGGCATCTCACTAACTACCAGTGATGCTCATCTAGCTATTTTGCATTATTGGGACAAAATGGAATCTCACTAACTGCCAGTGCTGCTCATTTCATTGTTCTTATATAGGAAAAATAAAATAAAACAAAATAATATAAAATAATGTATTTCATTGTTTTTATTTAGGTTCATTAACAAAGAATAAAATAAAGTATTTTAAAATTAAAATGTTGCTTGTTGTGTTTTTTTGCTGTTGTTGTAAAAGTAGCCGGCAGACCTGACTGGCGATGCTCTCTCCTTATCCCTGATTCCTGATCCCTATTCCTCCATTCCCATCCCTTATCCACCATCCTTTTGCGTGTGTCGTTGGTCCTTTCCCTTGGTTCTTGTCCAGGGTGGGTGTCAGGTCTACTGATACTGATGACTAGGAGCGATGGCGATGGCAATGACAATGGAAAGTCTGTAATTGAACAGAGCAAAATAGCAAATTAAAAACTAAAAAAGCCATAACTCTGTCAAAAATGCCTTAATTTGCATTCGGAAAGCGGTGTTATGTTAGTTTTTATAAGGTTAACAAATCTGCATACTTAGTTAGAAATTGAAAATTTTATCAAATTTTGAGAATTTTAATGATGTAACCCCTTATAAAATTTTGAAAAAATCACCAAAAATTTTTTTCTTCTCAAAATGGCCAGAAAGATTCGGCAGTTGATGCTGAACAAGAATATATATGATTTATGGGGTCGGAAATGACTCCTTCACTGATAAAAATGAGAAAACCCTTCAATAAGACCAGAAAATTTGAATTCTTGAAATCGATATATTTAGTATGACCTGTCGCCGGAAAGGCGAAAATACTGACGTGCCATGTGGTTGGACTGCAGCCCATCAGCGTGTTTACAAAATACAATTTATACTTTTGAAACAACAGGTAGAAAAACCCCCTGGTTAAAGATCTTGCGATGACTGACACACCTGCGGCGGAGAACGACAAGCGTCCCCAGTTTGGAACCCGCCTGCTCACCGACGACGCGGACGTCTTCAAGCACAATGCTTGGTAAATATGGAAGGCACATTTGGCGGGGATTGGCCAGCAAGACTTGGGAACACACTCGCCATCGTCGGAAGCCGGCGGGTGCAGGCGGCCGCCTGCTCACCGATGGCCGCGAGGTGTTCGAGTTTAACGCGTGGTAATGCCTTGGTACTGTGCTCACGGAAAATTCTCTAATTCTTGATTTGCAGGGACCACGTTGAGTGGGACGCGGAGCAGGAACTGGCCGCCCAGGCGGCGGTGGCCAAGAACTCGGCCAACAAAATGGACGATGAGCAGAAAGATCGCTTCCAGACGGACGCTCCAAAGTTTTGGGACTCTTTCTACGGCATCCACGACAATCGTTTCTTCAAGGATCGCCACTGGCTGTTCACAGAGTTTCCCGAACTGGCTCCACTGGAGGCGGAAACAGCAAAAGAGACGGCGCCACCTCGCAGCATCTTTGAGCTGGGCTGTGGTGTTGGGAACACCATCCTGCCGCTGCTGCAGCACAGCTCGGAACCGCAACTGAAGGTCTTCGGCTGCGACTTTTCCGCCCGTGCCGTGGATATCCTCCGGAGTCAGCCGCAGTTCGATAAGAAGCGCTGCGAGGTGTTCGTCATGGACGCCACTCTGGATCAGTGGCAGGTGCCCTTCGAGGAGAACTCGCAGGATATCATTGTGATGATCTTTGTTCTCTCCGCCATTGAGCCAAAGAAGATGCAGCGAGTGCTGGACAACTGCTATCGTTATCTGCGACCCGGTGGTCTTCTCCTGTTCCGAGATTACGGCCGGTATGACCTGGCGCAGCTGCGTTTCAAAAGCGGCAAGTGCTTGGATGACAACTTCTATGTGCGCGGCGATGGCACAATGGTTTACTTTTTCACGGAAGACGAGCTGCGAGGCATGCTCACCCAGGCGGGGTTCAAGGAGGAGCAGCTTATTGTAGACCGCCGGCTGCAGGTTAACCGCGGTCGGGGCTTGAAAATGTATAGGGTTTGGATTCAGACAAAGTTCCGAAAGCCTCTATAGTGCAATTAAATTAAATTAAAAATTTAATTAATAGATAGAAACTGTCCTTTTATAAAATAAAAAATAAAGTTATGAATGTAAAATTGAATAATCATTATTTAAAAGCCTTCTCTTTTATCCCGGCTTGCGGCTTGCCATTCGCCAGTTTGCCCTCTCGTCAAGGAAAAGCTTCTCGCTGGGAAACCAATTCGTTTTCCGTTTCTGGAGCTTTTTCCCCAAATACACATAACAGTTAGGAAAGCTGCAAGTTTTCGCAGTTGGCTAAAAACGTCGTAAGTGAAAATTTTCCTTGTGCTGCGTGAAAATAATTCTAAGATTATTATTTAAGCAAACATTTTATGTAAATCATAACCGCCCAAGCCAAGTTCAAGTGGGCTTCATGCCGTTGTCCTTTCGTTTGTAACGGTTAAAGAGAGAGACTTTCTTAAGAAAATATCAAGCCAAAATGTCACATCAAATGCAACCGAATCCTGTGTGCCGTGCAGAATTTCATTGATTTTTTCCACACTGTCCCCGAGAGTCAAGTACTTGAGACTATTTTAAAAACAGAAAATCAGCACGCAAAGGATTAGTATATGCAAGGACTTTCCCTTTTTTGTTGTGTCAGCGAAAGCCAAGAAGCCATTTTTGTAGGCCTCTAACAGTGCTCCGCCCCTTTGAATTAGTTTTACAAAAAAAAATAAAAAATAGGCAAGCTAGCAATTAACCTTGTTGTACTAAAAATAGTTGCAACTATTTTCGCACTCTATCCAGCAGTTTCAGCAGCGCTGAGCCAGAAAATTCCTCAGAAGGGCTGTCGTGGCAAGTGTTACCCGCACACACACATACACATACTCATCCAGGTCCAGCCAATACCCCCGTGGAGTGCTCCAAGTGAATTTTCATTGACGATTCGGGGGCGCAAAAAGCTCTGGCGGAAGAGCGAAAGAGAGAGAGCAGAACAGAGAGAGAGAGAGCGCAACTGAGAGACAACAAAAACAACGAAGCACGGTTCAGCTGCACCCACTAGTGACCACCAGCCATCCTCGACCTGCGGCAGTGAAAGACTTTGCTGGTCACAGTCCTGCACACATCATCCTAATCATCGCCAGAGCCCAGGCACTCCAAGCTAACAACCAACAGCCAACAGAGCAATGTAAGTGAAAGGACATTGTTATTGATTTCGCGTTTGATAGGCACGCATTAAGTATACGCAGCATGGGTTTCGGCCATTTTCACTTGCCACTTGCCACTTGCCATTTTATTTCCAGTCCAAGTGTCTGGGCATCGTAAAAAGAAAAGAAAAGAAAAACGAAACCAAATGGAGAACAGCTGCAACTGCAGTTTTTACAGCTCGGTGTTGTGGGAATGAATCACTTGGTGGACGACGATGACGATGACGTTGTCGTGGCATCACATGGCTCAGTCTCTCACACCGCAAAATCAATAAAAGAATACGTTTCTTAGCCAATGAGTCAGGACAACATGCAAAGTACCTTAATTGCAACTAAAAAAACCTGAAGTTTAGCTTGAATTATAAATATTTAGAACCAGGAACGAGGAAGTATTTTACTAGCCGGTTGTCAAATTTATCGATTTGTTTTCCAAACAAAGAGAAATAGGGATTGTATGTAGACATTTCCATACAGACAATGACCTTATACCCTTTAAATATATTATGGTTTAAGGGAAGTTAAGAAATTAGGAACAATATTTTATGTCTTAGTTCTATTATTTATTATTAATTATACTTTTTCAGCAAAGTTAAGAAATATAAAATTTGATAAAGTTATTAACAATGTCTTAGTCCTAATATTAATCGGTTATTATTTATTATTAATTATTTATTAGCCAAGCCAAGGTCTCAGTTTTTTAAGGGGTCTTGAGATGGGCAAGAAAGACAAGAACAAGGAACCGTAAGTGAGAAGCTTTTTAAACCCAGAGGGTAGCGGTAGCCGGCTAGAAGTACTCGTATCTAAGTATATATTCCAGCACTGTCTATATAGCCCACACGTACTGTAACGGCGAGAGATGTAACCGATTAAAGCTAGCCACTCTAGACGAAACCCGAACCCAACTCACACCCACACTCCTCCCAGTGTAACCCAAGTACTGTATTTAATTTGAGCGAACCCCCCGTTGGGAGTTGATTAGTCTTGGCTCCATGCTATTTCTGTGCGCTTTTCTCGATGACTAATGAGGATATTTTCTGCTCATCATACTCCTTACAACGCAGGGCGGACGCTGCACCAGCTGGCGATGCACCACCAAATGCCGGAGCCCCGGCAGGAGAGGGCGGCGATGGTGAGATTGTGGGCGGGCCACACAATCCGCAGCAGATTGCGGCACAGAAGCGTCTGCAGCAGACGCAGGCGCAGGTCGATGAGGTGAGTTATAAGGGAGAAGAAAGGTTTAAGAGATCCTTGAGAAATATCTCTTTAAGGAGAAAGATTTAAACTATATCATATATCCTTTTATTTTGATTTTAGGTCGTGGACATTATGCGCACCAATGTGGAGAAGGTCCTGGAGCGTGACAGCAAGCTATCGGAGCTGGATGATCGCGCTGATGCCTTGCAGCAGGGAGCCTCGCAGTTCGAGCAGCAGGCGGGCAAGCTCAAGAGGAAATTCTGGCTGCAGAACTTGAAGGTGGGTTCTAAATCAAGCTTATAAATACACCCTGACTTTAACGTCTTCTTCCCGCAGATGATGATCATTATGGGCGTGATTGGCCTGGTTGTCGTGGGCATCATTGCAAGTAAGTTGATCGATCCTAGCTCATTACCTGGACACTTACACACAACATACATACATGACCCCGACTCAGACACCGAACCGAAACCGAAGAAACTCCAAGAAAACTCCTCGCTCCTCAACCAAATTGTGTTTTGTCTTTTGAGTTCACCTTGGTTTAGCGCTAATTTCGTTTTATTTTCTCAACACACACTCTCCGAATCTAAATTGCGTTTTTAATTCCACTTTGCCACCCTTTTTTTCTCTAGGTAACTTTATGTAGATTGCTAAGCAACTTGTCTTATCCATAAGAACATAGTAACCTAGCCGCAATGCAATGCAAATCGAAACCAAATCAAAAGTCAATCAATCAACCCAATCGAAACCAAAATTCAGACTCACTAAAGCAGCTATTACGAGTAGCGCTCCGCCGAACTCACAGTCCAACTGATCGTTCGCTGATTCGACCTAGATGCCTTGCGAAATTATAAAAAATAAAAAACCAAGCCATATACCATATCATGCGCCTCAACAGCCATTAGAACAATAACCATATATATATATATATACATGGTATATATTTGTATTGTTTGAATATCCAAGCCCAACATCATCTGGTTCCATAACGAGCATACGCACAGGTTCGGTAATGATTTGATCGTGTGTCGTTAAAGTGTCTTGTTATCGTTCCGTTACGCCTTAACACCCGTAATCAGAGGATATACCTTCGTTTTGTACCTTGTACCTTGTTAGCTTTCGTAACCGTAGGACCTTAAGTTCCTAGCTGAAAGTAACTCTCCCGTAAGCCGTAATCGTAAAGTTTTGTGGTTTGTTCAGTGTTTCGTAACCGTTTCCGTAACCGTTTTTCGTTTGTTTCGTTCTGAAGATTGGCAGCCGCCACAGACACACAATTATTGTGCCGAGTCCTTTGTAAAATAATTATTAAAATACAACTCGAATCCCAACAGCTATCCCAGTAAATGTAGAAAAAGTAGACCCCCCTTCTCTTGATACTCGAAAACTCTCAACTCTGAACTCTCAACCTCGAACTCTGAACTCAAAACGCAACGGCTTTCGCCCTATTAAATCAAAGAGCTAGCTATATACTTGAACCACAGCAAAAGCATAAAGTACTGCCGTTCCTTTTTATTATTATTATTATATTTGTTAAATGTTTTCCACCTATGTTCGACACACTGTCACACTGAACAATATATTTTTTCGAACAATTACAGAGAAAGACGAAGAGTAACTGAGACACACTGAAAGCTTTGTACAATATTTGTTTACCATAAGAATATATGACTCTCGATCAACACCATTTACCCCCGACAAACACACACTGTCTGATGTGTGAGGTAAAAAGACGCGGCAACGAGAGTCACTTTTGTTTATTTTTAATCATATATCGCTAGGTGCACTCGTTTGAAGCAAAAATAATAATCATTTAACTCGAATTTGTATCGTGTTTTCATATTTATGGTTTCCTTTGTTTTTATATCGTTGAAATCTGCTCGCTTCGCAACCGAAATTTTTAAATTCTAAAAAATTCATCGAAACAAACAAAAATTTCTCGTAGAACCGTACATGTCGGATGACAATGCTGCTCCGCAGCAGCAGCAGCAGCAGGCTGCTCTGGCTCAGGCCCAGGCATCTGCAGCAGATTCGGCACCACCACCATCACCACCACAACAACAAGTACAGCTACAACACCACCATACACAAAAATCCGAACCACCGACACTTGAGAAGCCATTGGCCGAGAAATTGACCGACAACCCACAGAGTCCGTCGGATGAAGTGGCGACTGGACAATAGAACGATCTCAGCTCAGCTCTCTCAATCAGAAATCAGAAATAAAAATAAAAAAAAACAACCAACCAACCGAACAGCAACAACATCCATCGATTAGCCACGATTAACCACCACCAGCTGCATCCGTAGAACCATTTAACCAAAATTAAACAAAACAAAAATTGAGAACAAAACACATTTTCTTAGTACCATTGAAAAAAATACGATCTTTTTCAAAACACTGTAAGCAAAAAACGAACCAAAAAAAAGCCCATGTAATTTGACACCTGCGCTTCTTTCCGTTTCCGTTTCCGTTACCGTTTGTGTTTCCATTTCCGTTTCCGCTGTTTCCCTTGTTTCTATATCATTTTAGCCGCATGTGTGTGAGTTAATCGATGTGCTGCCTGTGTGCCAAGTTCCTCCTTCTTATATTTTCTATAATTTCTCCATTCAATGTTGTTGGAATATGCGTTCTGTTCTGAAAACAAAATTGGCCTTAATTTTAATGCACCAACTAAGCAAAGTCAGGGGGAGATTATATGGCGGGTAAATGGAGGGAAACAGCTTTCTGTGACTGCCTTAATGTACATATATATGCGTTGGATGCCCCTGCCCATCCATAATCCACATCCCACGTCCACTTGCTACTATATATATATATTATATTCCATCATGAGTGAAGCTTTTAACCATTGAAAGTGTAATATTTTTGGCGTATACCCGTGTGTATCGATGTGATTGTCATTCGACCGAGATTTGGCGGCAGCTAACCAAAAGAAGTGCACCCTGTTAATGCCTCCTACTAACCCTGATTATGTGTATTCCCGCACAGATAAACTCGGCCTCATAGGCGGGGAGCAGCCGCCGCAGTACCAGTATCCCCCGCAGTACATGCAGCCACCGCCGCCGCCGCCGCAGCAGCAGCCCGCCGGCCAGTCGTCGCTGGTGGATGATGGAGGAGCAGGCGCCGGCGCAGCAGCAGGCGGCGATCATGGAGGCGTATAAGTGACCCATATCCTGGCCGCATTGATGAACGTTTCTCGATGATAAATAATGCCACCACCCCTCATCCCAGTGGCGGCGGCGAAACAACAACAACAAAACCCGAATCCCCATAAAAAAAGGAAATCTCAGTTAAACTAGAAAATCTCGAGAATTGCAAGGAACTCAGTAATAATTTCCACTTAAACGATGAGCACGAGTTGGTGTGTGGAGAGGTTTTAAGTACTTACGTCATAATATTAATACTAAATCTAAAAGGGAAGACGACGCTCCGGACAAATTAAAGTTGTTGCTAATTTGTTTATGGTTACATTATTTCATGCATAAAAAAAGCGGTATATATATATAAATATAACATAAAAGAATATAAATATAAATATAAATATATGGAACTTGAATATTACGAGTAACCCCGAAAACCAAACCGAAACCGAAACCAAACCAAAACAAATCACATACTAATACTATACGGAACTGGGATCTCTGCGCTGCACTGGCAACAAGGAGCGCCAGTGGCAGCAGGAGGGCCAGGCGCCAGGTCGCTTTCCAATGTTCGCAGCTCTTTGAACTCAGTTTCCTTAGCAAAAAACAAGACAAGTAAAGAACGGAACGGCAAAAAACCAAAGAAATCTAAGCTTTTGTTCCTAAGTAAAGTTACGCAGATATGTGCGAGTATTCGAAAATGTATAATCCAAAAAAGAAAGAAAGAAATAACAGCAATTAAACATATAGATAATTGACATTGACTATTAAATGTATTCATGGAACTTTACTGTGCAACAAACTTATATAGAAAGAAGGGCATATAAAACCAAAGAACTCTTGAGATCTAGTGAAAATATACAATGCAATTTAATTTGCCATTTCATTTGTTTATGTGCAATCATTATAACGGTATTTACGCGATTGAAATTGAAGATGCAAGATGAAACCGGACAGTTCAACGATTAAATTAAGCGCTAGACACACAATACGTTACGTTATCCAAAGGAAGTTGTTTATTTAACCGAGCAAGGCAGAGGCAGTTACCAATATGTATGTATATTTCAATGTTACGAGTAATAGAGGAGTCGGATTCGTAGAGCCTATATAAACATAAATGTACGTACGTGTAACGATATGATGATATTTAGATCTCACACACTCCACGCCACAGTTCACACACAAACACACTCCACCAAAGCCCATCCGGACGGACGCATAGAGAAATACATAAAACTTTGCCGCACATATTGTACTTATACCTTGTTCTAAAAATACAAAAAACTATACTACAATTAAAGTGTATTATTACTAATTGATTCAACAAGCGCCTGCCCAAAGTGCTACTTTGCCTACTAAAAAAAACACAAAACACATTTTGGGGCACAAACAAATCGACGAGAATAAATATGTTAAATTACGAAAATAAAACAAAAAAAGGATATAGACGATGAGAGGTGGGTTCAATCGAAAATCCAATTCCAAATGCAGGTATTTTTAGCAATATTCGTAGCGTGTACAATATGTCGCTCCCCTTAAAGCTTATTAGTAAATCTCGTTCAATGTCCATTTCGTACTCACCCAGACGACACTTCACATGCATATAACCATTATCAGATATAAAAATCCAATATATGTATGTAATAACCAGCAAAATGACAAGTGTTTAGAAAAGCGTTTCGATTTTTGTTTCGATTTTAACCGAAAAGAGAAAAAAAACCAAAAACACAAAATGTATACACAACCAAAAACCACAAAGACACCTATGAGAGTCCCCGAAGATTGAAATAAGAGACAGGACTTCTGGAATTTCGGTTCACGGAGGGAAGACGGGCAGAGGAGTTAAGGGAAAGATGTAAGAAAACCAGAAGACAAGACAAAACAGACGGAAATGAGAGTATATATATATATATATGAACCGTATATAAACAATAATATTACTAATTAATTTAATGATTAATTGCACCCCGAAAATACATAATTATTTAAATAAATAAATAAAAATAAAATGTATGTCTTTTAATAGGGGAAAGGGTTTGGATTTAGACTATGATTAGTGTAAAAAAAATAAAATAAAATAGTAATAAAAAAGATTGTGGCTGAAAAATTCAAATGAAAGAGGTTTCAGGTGGTAAGACATCTTCTGAACAATTTTTGGTAATTTTTTAAGCTTTTAACGGTTAATGTAGGATACAAATTCCTCCTAGGATACATTCCTCTAATGATTACAATGCAAATTCAGCTGCAAATACACCTTTAAATGAAATAAAACCAAAAATAAAACTATTAATAGTCGACCACAAAAAGTGTAGCATACTATTCAGAGCTGGGCCGGATGTCTGCCAAACTGCGCACTTGACTCCCGGTAAAAGGGATGCAGGACCCACGTGGGTGCATATATAAATAACAATTGGTGCGGAGACAGCAACCAAACAGGATAATGAAAATAATAGCCAGTCTGTGGGCCAGATTTAAATAGGGAGGAAAGGGTCTAAGGAGGCGCCTCTGTTTACCAAGCTTGCCACACCTGATTAAAATCTATTGACAATGCAGGCGCCGGGGAAAAATTGGAGCAACGCTAACAAGGACCCACAAAGGAAGCGGAAAAGCCCCCGCCTCCCTTGCTGTCCCCTAATGAAACCCAATTACCGAAGGTGTCCGCCCGCCGAGCGAATCCTGGAGGCGGCTGATGGCAAACAATAACAGCTGCCGAGAGTCGGAACAGGGAGCAAGGGAGCTGAAGAGGCAACGGGGTGGAGAGCCGCAGAGTCATCGAGGGCGAAGGCCCAACACCTGCAAATTTTATTTGCATTTTTGCTGCCAGGTTTGGTACCCATTAAATGTCAAGATAATGGGTATATTTATTCGAAATATATTTTAAATAAATAGCAAGTTTGAAAACAGAAGAGTTTATATGTTTATTTTTACCTTAATTGTTTAATATTATTAAGAAAATATTTTATTGATATTAATTTATTTTTTAATATAAAAAACTTTATAAACTAGCAAGAGTAGCTCCTAGGAATCTGATGTTCGCATCGCTTTTGACAATAACAAATTTACTTGTTTATTATTATTAACTTTGTCGCCATTTAACGGCAAGGACATGCGCAAACACCCCCCGTCCATCGCCCACAGATCTCTCCCACTCGACAGCCATCATCCCCCTCTCCCGGCTGCACTGATTCCGGACTCTGGAGCACGGAAAGCGGACACGGGCACATCTCTGCGTGGTGCCGCGTATAAATACGGCGCAGCTTGTGCGCACAGCCTCAGTTTGGCGGAGCGTGTTGTTCGCGTGTCCCTTTTCCCAGTTCGCTGCATCCGCGAGGTGCGAGTGTTTGTCCGTGGAAACGGCCAACTGTTGCAAGTGGCGGCAGGAGCAGGAAGGCAAGTGTCAGGTGTCGGGTGCCAGGATAACGGCTTCAATTACAGGTGCAGCGATAAAGTGCAGCAAACTGCAGGTGTGTAATTGAATTACGACGTTGTAAGCCAGTTTTATGGCCAGCGAAGGGGATTGTGTTTCGAGGACATCTTTTGTAAAGAGTTTATTTCAATTTTAAGAGGTAAGAAGGATTATTTTGAAAGTGTTTGTTACTGTTTTGATTTTGATGATGAATAAAATATTTATAGAAATTAATAATTATAAAATATATATAGAAATAAACCTAACTAAGAATTTGCAAGTACTGGAAAACTTTATCCTAAATTTGTATATTATTCTTTTTATCATGATCTTTAATATTGGAATTATGATTGAACTTTTCAAGACCTTTTTAAGGCATTAAATGTTTAATTTAATATCGTTTTGGACGTTCATAAATTATTGAAAATGTTTAAATAAATGTTTCTGTGAAATGTTAATTTTTTCTGTAGAAAAAGGATGGGTTTGAACTGTGATAATTATATAAAGATATCCGAATCTCAGTGTAAAAAACTAGTTAAAGGACTGTTGAGGATGAGAGTCTTTATTGATAGATAGATAGTACGATATACATTTTAAAAGCCATAAACGATTAAAACATGTTATATGTGGGTAAAAGTGAGCTTTTTTATCAGAAACAAATCGTTCAAAAATCCTTTATTTCAAAACTTTTGGCTCCTTCCAACTTTCCAACACTGGACCTCAAAATCGGACGTGTACAAAGCCTCAATCCAACAGAAAACAGGGTGGGTGCAAATCAAATAAAAAAAACTGGTTGCCAGCCGACAACGCAAATCATATGGCGAGAATAGTGGTTAAAACCACCCCCGACGTGGCCTGGCAGCTTTCGCAGGGGTTGCTGCTCCGCCTCGGACTCGGATCCGGCACAGTCATTCTGCAAACTTCGGAGCGTTCGGTTGTCAAGTTTCCCGTTGTTCCCGTCGTTCTCTTTTCCTCGATTTCAGCTCTTCGCTCTTCTCGCACACACACACACGTACGCGCACACACACTCAGGCAGGAAGGCAAAGAGAGGGTGGAGCAGCGAGAGGAGGCGACTTTTCGGTCGAATTTCCCTGCATTTGTTATTGTTGCTGTAGCTGTGGCCCAGCTGTATGTACCCAGTGTGCGTCAGTGTGTGTGTGTTTTTTCTGGACGTTCAAAGCGAATTCCCTTTTCCGTCTGCGGCGCACGTCAGCCAGTTCGAGGAAAAACAGTTAGAATCCATTTGGAGGAACTGAAATCCAAGAGAAACCAGCGTAACCCAGAGGAGCTAGCCACGTCCACCAGCGACGACTACTAATCATGGCCGACAACAACTGCCCAAAGTGCAAAAAATCGATCGTCGCCAAGGAGGCGGCCACCACGAGCATCGCCTGCAGCGGTGAGGAGTGCCGCCGGCGCTTCCACCGCACGTGCGTCAACATAGATGACGCGGTGTTCGAAGCCATCCAGAAAAACTCGATGGTCTCGTTCCACTGCGACGAGTGCAAAAATCAATCGCCTCGCAGCTTCGCCTCCAAGCTGCAGACCATCGAGGAGAAGGTGAACAAGGTGTCCAATGGCGTCAATCAGATCCAGGGCCGGATGTACCAGCAGTACTTCCAGTTTGGCAATCAGCCACTCCAGGCTCTGGGCGCTGGTTCCGGCGGCATGGGTCCCGGCGTTGGCCCTGGCGGTCCCGGCGGTCTCGATGGGAAGAAGCATCCGCAGCAGAACAACCTCATCGTGGTCGGCAACAACTGCAACTCGGACCGGCTGCAGGTCGTCTGCGACTATGGCCGCTGGGTGCAGGTGGGCAAGTTTGCCACCAATACCAGCGAGGAGGACGTGATCGATCATCTGGCCGAGGAGCTGAAGATCAACAAGAACCTGGTCAAGTGCACCAAGCTGGTGAAGAACGACGCCAACCTGTCGCAGCTATCGTACTGCAAGTTCAAGATCTCCATTCCGGACTACCGCTTCAATGAGCTGTTCAACGAGGCGATCTGGCCCAGCGGCGTCATGGTCAGCCCCTTCACGCCGCGCTCCCAGCTTAACCAGAATCGCCTCTAGAGGGACGGGCCCGGCGGCCGGGAGAGCGGTGACCGGGCCAGGGTGAAGCAGTGAGGAGCAGCTGGACCAGGGGAGCGGAGCGGTAGCACAGAGGAGCAGGAGAGCGCATGCGCGGGGAGCAGGGTGGAAGGGGGAGGAACTGCATCGTAGCCTGGCAAGTTGCCCGAGGGTTGCTAGCCACCACTGCTGCAGTCGGCAAACAATACAGGAGAGGCACCCAACACCCAATACACCGCCAATAGAACCCCGCTCTCGCTGGAGGAGCAGGAGCCGGAGCAGGACTGGGCGACCGCTTCGTAGGCACCCATTTTTTGCTAATTTTCGACACTCGAAAACAATGTCTAGATCTTTAAAAGCTTACAGAACCTATCTAATGGAAAAGCAAACAGCGTATTTATTGAATTAACTTTGAAAATGCATTTTAAAATGTTTTAGCGTTGCGTAAATAACAACAAATCGAATCGAATCGAGTCGATATTGTGTAATGAGATCGATAAGGAAAACCAAAAGTATTTTAATGGCAAAACTCACAAGTAAAATAGATGTGAAAAGCAAACAAAATATTAGTCATTTATGCATAACTGTCGTACTTAAATTAAAGTAAACCAAAAAGCAAACAAAAACAAAGATCAAATCCAAGCTAAGCGTATTTAAAAACCACAGACACACCGCGAACGATGATTATTCCGATTATATTCCCATTTGATTTTTTCCAAAAAACACACACTTCCAGAGTTCGTTATACTATACTTTCCCCGAACAAAAAGTCTGTAGACATTTTATTACCACGTATGCAGGTGCGATATTTCTAGCACATTATGTACTTAATCGTAACCAATATCAAAAGTATATTCAACCAGACGACAACGGCTTATATTGTATTCGTAAATGTATGTAGTTTGAGGCATTTTCAAAGCTTGTTCCTGTTCCCAAAAAGTTTGGACATTTTGCGAACCACTGCACAGGACAGGACAGGACACACTGGACACTGGCCAGCAGCTAGACCCATTCAAATTCAGACCGGAATATACATATATGTGTTTGCGTTTCCAAGGGGCGTGTATTCAGACCGAGAGGAGTTACCACAATGCACGTTCCACCCGACGCGGTCTCCCCGCTGTCGAAACGAAGCTGGGAAAATCTGTTGCAATAATAACTCAATGATCGAGTATAATGGATGTACATTTCGTAACTGATATATTTTTTTACGCGACCCGCGTCGCTCCACACCAATCCGACAGCAATATTCCGTGGGCTCCACGCCAAGCGATCCGAACAGAACCGTAGATATTTACGCAAGAGTCAGCAGACGAAATGTAAAACACACATATATTATATATTTAGTATACAACAATATGCATGCATGTATTTATGTCAACTTTTTCAAATAAATTCTACAACAAAAAAATTATGTATCGAAACGAGGAGATAACTATAAATGGGTGGGCATATAAGATGTATTATGATCAACGGGATGCTTTTATACCCTTGCGGGGTGTGATATGGATACAAAAGTTTATAGGAAAATATGGAAAATATTCATTTGAAAAATTCAAAAATTTTGGGTCTTCTGGAAGGGTATTATGATTTTAATCAGTGAAGGGGTCATTTTTGACCCTATAAATCATATATATTATTGATCGGCATCAATAGGAGAGTCTTTCTAGCCATGTCCGGAAGAAAATTTAATTTTTGAATTTTTTTCAAAATTTTATAAGGGGTTACATCATTAAAATTCTCAAAAATTTGAATTCTTTAAAGTTTTTAGTTAAGTATGCAGATTAATAAACATTATAAAAACTAAGATAAAACCGCTTTCCGAATTGAATTTAATGCATTTTTGGCCTAGTTATGGTTATTTTAAACTTTGATTTCACCAACAAAAAAATATATATATCTTTAAAAAAGAAGGGTAAACAAATAACAGCTTCCCCAAGTTAGTTTTCTATCTTGTTATTTATTGATTTAGATTTATATTCTTTTCTTTACCAGTTGCTATAAAAATTAACATGTACCTCAACTTAATGATTTATTTAAATTCTCCAGAATTTGTTCTCTATTTAATTCTGCTTTCAACTAAATTCAGCAAGCAGTGAAATTTCCCCTCAAACTCCTTAGTTTGTTGAAAGTGCAGTACTGGGCGAGCAGAAATAAAAGCTGGTTGACTTCTGGGTTTTAATTTAAACTTGAGATAGGTTCCCCTTCCCCTGCCTGTGATATAAAACCTAAAAACAGCGAAAATCCCATTAAAAAAATAATACAGTACAAGGAAATTATCTTCCTATCCCTCAATGCAAACTCCTACTCTTCAGAATTATTTTCAGAATGGCCAACTCCAAACGAAAATTGCCCACAAAAGCTACTTCTCCGGAGAGCGCCACGGCGGCTAAGGATATGCACAGTCAGGCAGACAAATCTTCAACCGAAAAGGTTCCTCCCGCACCAAGGGAAACCTCAGTCCTTGGGCAATTCTTTCGCGAATGCCTCGGCCATGAGCTGAGCAACTTCACCAGTTTGTCCCATTTCACCACCTGGCTGCAAAGACCTGTGGATGGAGCCGCTTTGGGCATCTTCCGGATGCTGTACGGCGCTGCCATGCTGATCGACATAGCCGAGGAGCGTGGCGGTGGTCAGCTGGATGTGCGGTTTGGCGAGCCCCATCATTGCCACTTTCCGCTCTTCAGTGGGATGCGGGCACTGCCATATCCGTGGATGGGCTGCGCTTACCTGTGCATGTGGCTGGGGGCCTGGGGCATCACGCTGGGATTTCGGTTCCGGGTGAGCTGTATAGCTTTCTTGGTGCCCTACTGGTACATCTTCCTGCTGGACAAGCCGACGTGGAACAATCACAGTTATTTATTTGGGCTGACGGGTACCTTAATGCTCTTTACCCAGGCGGAGTCTTATTGGTATGAAAAAAGGAATACTTGGTAATTGTTCAAATAATTATTTTATTTTAACCTCCAGTTCCCTGGACAGCTGGCTGCATCCGCGGCGGAGGAGTCGCTGTATACCCTACTGGAACTACTTTCTCATCAAGTTCCAGTTCTTTGTGCTTTACTTGTACGCGGGGCTGAAGAAGTTCTCCCTGGAGTGGCTCTCGGGCTATGCCATGTCCAATCTCAGCCATCACTGGCTGTTCACTCCATTCCGCCAGATGCTGGACTCGGAGATGATCGACCTGCTGATTGTACACTGGTTCACCGCTGTCTTTGATCTGTCCATTGCCTTTTTTATGACTGTGGAGAAGACCCGCGTGCTGGTCACTCCCTTTATGCTAAGTTTCCACCTGATGAACTCCCGGCTTTTTGTGATTGGTGAGTGTATATTCAAGGAGCAGGAATCCTTTCTAATCATTTGAAATCCTTTTTCAGGCATGTTTCCCTGGGTGTGCCTGGCCGAGGTGCCGCTATTCTTTAGCCCCGACTGGCCAAGGAGGATATGCGGTGGCCTATCAAAGCCACCTCTACCCTGTCACCCCTCAACAGAGGCTAGCAAGCAGCCAGGAATCCTGGCCAGGCTGCGCACCTGCCTCATCCTAGGATACTGCTTTCTGCAGCTCTTCCTGCCCTACTCCCACTTCATTACCAAAGGCTACAACAACTGGACCAATGGTCTGTACGGCTACTCCTGGGACATGATGGTGCACTCGTACGACACCCTGCAGACCTCCATCCAGGTGGTGGACAATGAGAGCCGGCAGGTGCACAACCTCAACCCATACGCCTTCACGGAGTACGATCGCTGGACCAAGTATGCCGACATGGCTGTGCAGTATGCCAAATGCATTGAGGAGAATCTCCGGGTGGGTCAGCCGGCGGCTATTGGTAGCAACATCTCTGTCTACTTTGACATCTGGTGCTCCATGAACGGCCGCTTCCAGCAGCGCTCCTTTGATCCGCGTGTGGATCTCCTCCAGGCCAAGTGGTCACCCTTTGAGAGCACCTCCTGGTCGCTGCCTTTGCTCACCGAACTGAATCACATGAGGCCCAAGCTAAGGACAATTGAGACTGAGGTTCTAGCTTGGAATAACTACTCCGATGTGATCTTTGTGGCCGATTTTCCTGGCCTAACATTGACCAACTTTATCTCGCCGGATTTGATTAATTGCACACTGACCATCCTAGAGGGCAATGTGCGCTACAGGAACGAGAAGGATCCAGAAGAGTACTTCCTCACAGCCGGCAAGAGCATTGGTCTGGAGAGCAACATTACCCACCTGGTGACCACAATAGGTCAGCGGCCAGCTTCCTATTTGTTCACCTACACCAACAAGACCATGATGGAGCAGGGCCTCACGATAGAGGACCCCGAGGCTTTGGCAGAGGATCGACCTGTGCTGCCCCTGTGGCAGGAGTTTCAGCAAAGGGTGAGCAACTACCAACAGTTCCTGGGCCACATGGCCAACTGCCTGCTGTACTTGCTCTACGATGTGCCCATTCCGCTGGCCGTGAGGGAGAGAGATTGAGATTTGAGACGGGAATGTCTCCGATATAGGTGATAGAACTGATAATAAATGTTCCATGTGGTACCACAGCATCCAGTTCGAGTTTCGCTTATCTACAACTGTATTTACAAACGCCACAATGGTACTTAAAGGGTTAAGGGTGTAAGGGTTTGGGTGGGGGACAAGTCAGGGACGAAAGAATGGGCCAGGATTAACATGGAAACAAACATACATATAGGAGGTAGGGTAACCAAGCCTACGCTGCACCAGCCACCGTCTCTTCCTTGGGCTCTTTGCTGGGATCAAACTGCTGCGTCTGTGTCTCCCAGAGGCGGGCATACAGGCCGTTCTGGGTCAGCAGCTGGGCATGGGTGCCACGCTCGCCCACGCGTCCGTTTTCCAGAACCAGGATCTCGTCGGCATCCTTGACTGTGGATAGGCGGTGGGCAATGCAAATGCTAGTGCGACCAGAGGTGGCGCGGCTCAAAGCCTGCAGTATATTCTGTGGAAACAGGAAAATAAAAAGTTTTGTACTCCTCCCAACCCCTTAATCCTCTAGAGATGCTACTCACATGTTCTGTGATAGAGTCCAGACTGCTGGTAGCCTCGTCAAAGATCAGAATGGGCGTGTTCTTGAGTATGGCTCGGGCAATGGCCACGCGCTGCTTCTCGCCACCAGAGAGCTTCAAGCCTCGCTCGCCCACCTGGGTGCCATACTGAGCCGGCCAGGACATAATGGAGTCATGCAGGTCGGCCATGCGGGCAGCATTTTCCACCTCAGCATGCGATTTGGTCAGGTTGCCATAGTGGATGTTGTGCTCAATGGTATTGTGAAACAGCACCGAGTCCTGTGGCACCACAGCAATAGCCTTGCGCAGACTCTCCAGGTCCACGGCGCTGATGTCCTGCCCACCAATCAGAACCTTGCCAGAGTTGGGCTCAAAAAACCGGAAGAGCAGACGAACCATTGAGGATTTCCCTGAGCCAGAGCCTCCGACAATAGCCACGTTCTTGCCAGCTGGAATCGTAAACGAGAGATCCCGGAAGATGGGCTTTCCCGGCTCATACTCAAAGCTCACATTGCGGAACTCAATCGAGGAGTTGCTGTTGTCCACAAACAAAGGCTGGGCATTGGCCGCCGTCTGGATGCGACTGTCCACGTTCATTAGCGTGAACATGGCCTGCATGTCCAGCAAAGCCTGCCGCACCTCGCGATACACACTGCCCAGAAATCCCAGCGGGATCGAAAGCTGGAAGAGCAGGCCATTGACCATGACCAGATCGCCCACTGTCATGTTACCCTGGGCTATCTCCTTGGCGGCCAGCACCATAATCAAACTAAGAGCGCTGCTGAAGATGGCATTCTGGCCAAAGTTAAGCAACGCCAAGCTAGAGCTGGTCTTGAGGCTGGCCGTCTCGTACTTCTTCAGCACCTCATTGTAGCAGCCCGCCTCGTACTTTTCGTTGTTGAAGTACTTCACCGTCTCGTAGTTGATCAGCGAATCCACCGCCTTGTTGCCGGCCTCGTTCTCCGCCTGATTCATGTACACCCGGAACTGGGTCCTCCACTGGGTCACGCTGAGCGTGTACAAGGCGTAGATGCCCACGCAGCCCATGCTTACGCCGGCAAAGGCCAGGCCGCATTTCACACCCAAAATGCTGGACACGAGAGCCAGCTCGAAGATGGTGGGCACAATGTTGAAGACCATGGCGGAGAGCACAAAGTTAATGCCCCTCGAGCCTCGGTCTATGGTCTTCGACAAGGCGCCGGTTTGCTTGTTTAGATGGAAGGCCAAATCCAGGTTGTGCAGGTGGAGGAACACATTGCTGGCAATCTTACGGATAGAGTGGTGGGCCACCTTGGCGAACACGGCATTGCGCAGCTCATTGAAGCCCGCGGCACTGGCTCGGGCAATGCCATCTAGAGGGGATTCATTTTTATATATTCTAGGTAATATTTAAGTCTTCATCTTACATCCCAGCAGCAGGGCAGTGGCTGCCGAGAGCACTGCATCTGGAGCGGTGTCCATGTTCAGGGTTGTCATGGTGTCTATTGCTCCTTTGAACATGAAGGGAACGCAGACAGTCAAGAGCTTGGAGCCAGCCAGCAGGCCTAGGGAAATGCCCACTCTACAAAATAGAGAATAGGTTTTATTTGCTTCTCAAATCTATATTTCTTCTTAAACCACCTTTTTCTCACAAGGGGATCCTCCTTGGGCCAAATGTACGCCATCATAGCGCGCAGCATATCCTTGGAGGTGACCTCTGGTGCATCCAGCTTTCCCAGTCCCGAGCTGCCATCGCCACTGCCACTGCCTATATGAACGTGACATAGTCGTAATTGTTGTCGTTGTGGGTGCTGCCGCTGTAGCGTTGCTGCCGTTGCTGTTGTTTCTGGAGGGGCTCCACCTGCATTGAATCCACTTGGATGCAGCCAAATTCAGACAGGCGCTCAACACACAACAAGCGCACAAACAAACGAACAAACAACTTTTTGGGGGGGTAAGGGAACTCAATACAATTCAATTCTTTGGGGTTAGTCAATCGTAAAAAGCGTGAGAAGCAAATACTAAACAATAAATTGTATCGATTTCAAGTGGGGTAGTGGGTTAATTATGCCTAGTCCGACATTGGTTAATCCTCTGTGAACACTGGAGATTGGAGGGACACCTTACCTTTGGCTTTTTTGCCGAAGACACCTCCTAGGAGCTTGCTGCCCGGCGTGGGGGTAAAGGGAGTGATCTTCTTCCGCTTGCCATCGCTGCTGGCAGTCTGGTCATCAGCCTTGGCCAGCGAGGAGTACAGCTGGAAAGGGCAGACAATTTTGGGTGGAATGAAAACGGAATGGAGTATTATAACTTGGTGGGGATTTATTCGTTTCTTCTTAGATTTATTTCATGTATAAAAAATTTTTAAAAAAGAAAATTAAGTTCTAGTCAATTCTATGCTTCATTCTTAACTAAATAAGAAGTTATTTTAAGCTTTCAATCATTAATAATGATAGCATTTCAATTCTTTTTAAAGTAAAAAAATATCCCTGAAGAAGTTACACTTCATTCCTCTCCAAATCTAAACTCTTTGTACCTCCTGATTCCTGGTTTTACTGATCAAAATCAGGAAAATGCCTAGCTTCAAAGTCGCCCAGGTAACGGACACATTCTTCCAAATAAGATCGCGCAGTAGATCCACTCTCCGTCAGCTCGGGTAGTTTATCCAGCTCTCCCATAAAAATCTGATACTCCTGCACCTTGTACCTGACAAGATACGCCAACTCCGGCTGCACATCCTCGAACTGTTCGGCATCGCCAAAGGCTATTTGGTTGAGGATGTTGGGAAAGTAGGCCTGCTGCTTGAAGATCAGGTGTAAAACCACCCGTAAATTGTGGGAGCAGCCGTCTCCCAGGTGTACGAACATCTGGTCAGATAGATTATGCTCCCTTATGAACTTAAAGATGTTACGGTGGTAGATCTGGGAGTACAGCTCCTTGCGGTGCTTGATCATGTGTTCGATGTCCAGCAAGGAGAACTCAAAATAGTCGTGGAGATTACCCTTCAGCCAAAACCCGTACTCAGTCAGAAGCTTGAAGTTGGGCAGAGCGCCGTAGCTGATGAACAGCTGCTCATAAGGTTTGGTTTCAGCCAAAGGCAGGGACTTCAGGGTGACCACATAATCCTTAGACTGTATCTCAGCGGTGGTCTGGACCGAATCCGAGTGGTTGAAGAGGTCCAGGAAGGGAGCCAAGGCCAAGTTGGTGTCTCCGCTGAGCAGGCCTTGAAAGTGGCTGCTTTGTTTCTTTAAAAAACGGGCACTGAGGTACACGCTGCGGGTATTTACGGCAAAGTAAGCCAACCGATAATCGGCCAGGGTCCAAATATCCAGGCAGTAGCTTTGTCCACAACACTGGCAGCTCAAGGAACCCACCAGACTCTTGATTATTCCGTAATAATCCTTTATCTGCCGGTTCTGGGCCACAGTTCGCTCCAGCAGCGCCTCAGGTAGGCACTGTAGCTCCGGTATAGAGCAAAAGTAGGGGGTAGAGTAGCTTTTGGGTAATGTATCCAGGTAGGCGGCGTATACCGAGCTATTTGAACAGTCTTGCAGGTGTTTCTGGTACATTATGTAGCAGGCTATCAAAGCCTGAAAGGAGATCCTGGCATCCTTGTCGAAGAACTCCTTGTTGAAGAGCTCTTTAAAAGCCTCGTCGGATTCCAGGGTAGCTATACTTAGTAGGCACTCCACGGGCAGCCGTATTAGCTCATCCTCTGGAGCAAACGTGGCCCGCTTGGAGCACAGTCCTCTGCCCGTCTGGAGAAAGTTGCAGGCTGAGAGGCCTGTGGAGTTCTGCCAACCCCGCGAGTGGAGGTCCACGTAGAGAGCATGCAAGGAGCTGGAATCCTTGGTGTTCCTGTGGCTGCGACGACGCTGAGTGCGACCCATTGTGCCTGATCCCTGACCTGGCTGCGTGTGTGCTGTTTTGGCTGTCCTGTCTAGTTCTTCGGTCTACGCTTGCTGCAAGTAAAGAAGCAAGGATTTTGGTGGTGCATTAATTCGGATTTAAGCTTGGAAATTGGGCCAAAACAACACACACGCAGAAGCTGACGCTGCCTGACCATCAATTATTAAACCGCCAATTCATCCGGCATTTACGCGTAATTACGAAATCGCAATCTAGTCTAGATAAGTGACTCTGCGCTCGGCGCGTGGCCTTGAAAACGGGTAGGAAAGCTACTCACCACTCTAGCCTGCACGTGGGCTCCCTTAGCAGCGGTGTAGCATTTCAGGCGACCGTACTGAACGGGTAGATGGAGGCTGCACTGTTTGGTCAGGTGAAGGAGTCCGGCCATTACTCAATTTGGCCAACGAAATCAAAATAAAAGTCCCTCTTCTTTCGTCCCTTCTTCCCGTGTTTTTGTGACGGATTCTTTTGCTACGCCGCCAGCTGTTTCGTGTTTGTGCCTGTGTGTGTGGCAGTGTTGCGAAGAATTTTCAGGCGGAAAAAATAGCTAGATTAAATTTTAGGAGAGAATTGAAAAAAAATCTAAAAGAGTTTATTAATTTGTATATTTAAATAAATTGTATGTAAAAAAATAATTTCAAAATGTATACAATTAATAATCTGAAAATCAATAAGGGAATAAACAAAAAATCAAACGGAAAAGTAAAATAAAGTTTTTTTACTTCGAAAACAAAAACCCAGATTTGACGGGTAAATAAGCTAGATTGGCAGCACTGACACGGTAAGTGTGTTTCTAGTATGACCGTTCCGTAAATACTCGAATATTCTAGTATTTTCCTTTAAAAGGTGATAAAACAATAACGAGGATGTCGCTCTTTGGCCTGATTATCTCAGGACGTCTGCCTCAATCGGATTTCGTGGCCGTGGACCCTTCTAAGCTGCTGATCAATGTCCCAGACATCGACACCGTCAACTACCTGGTAGTGTTCCTCACCGGCGTCTCTCCGCTGCCCCTGGGCACCGCTGCCGCCATATACTTTAGCTGGCCGGACGCGAATGCGGCACCCACATGGCAGTATCTGGGTCACATCAACAACAACAAGCCCTCCGCCATCTTCAAGATTGCCCAGCTGAAGAAGAGCCACGAGCTGGAGGCCCAGGCCCATGGGATGGTCTTTGGCAGCCAAGAAATCTCGCACATTGCCCAGATCGGCGTCTCCCTCGAGCCGGAGCTGACGGTGGCGCAACAGACACCAGCGGTGGTGAGTGGGAGTACCCAAGCAGAAAACAGAATTTGGATCATATTAACTAATATTTGTATTTTCACAGTCCAGTGCCAACGACAACAAACAATTTGGCCAACGGATGCTGGAGAACTTCTTCAACTACGCCTCCAGCTTTGGTGTATCCGCCAGAGACATACCGCCCACCACAAGCGAAACCTTTGTGCCCTTTGCCGTTGTCCAGAATTGGTATACGAACTTCCAGCGGCGCATGGAACAAAATCCAAACTTTTGGAAGTATTGAGTGCACTGGGAGTGGCAGGAGGCTGGTGGTGCCTTCTCCTCCCAGAATTGTTTATCTTAAGAGTACATTTTTATATATATATGTTCTTTTCTTATATATTTTTCTATTCTCTTTTATTTGTGGGATCAATCGAACGAATCAACGCGAAGGATGGGGTTTTATTCTATACCTTGGATTTCCTTAGTGTTTTAGAGTCATTGGTTCGATTCTTCTGGCTTACGTTTGGGCCAGGACATGGCAGCTTGCTCTTGATAATGCATTCAAGGCACGTCCTATTCTCCTGGGTTAGCTCGCTAAAGATCCTAGCCATAAAGGCCTTCTATTCCTTAAAGTGCTAAGCTTGTCGCCAGTCCTCAGCCAGAAGCTGGGAGCCACCTCCATGGTAAGACACTCAGCATCTGTAAAGAGAGAAAAAGTGGAATTCAAACGCAGTTTAGACACCCATTATCTGCGCGCGACATATACCCATCACCCAGATATCAGGCAACGGCGCTGGCATGGTCTTTGGTCTATTTAAACAATAGCATTGGCGACACGAACTGATTTTTATCCGTTCTCTCTCCCGCCTATCGCTCTTGCGTTTTTTTTCGGCCTGCAAAAAAGCAATTTGGCAAGCTGACATATTTATTCAGTCTATATAGTGGCAGGTATAGTATATAAACCTATAGATATAGACCGTCTACACGAGGGCTTCGCTCCTCTGTCTCTGTCTGCGTGGCATCCGAAACACGCGCAACCTCTCCTGACCATGTCGCGGTTTCTATTGTTCTTACACGATCTATAAACAATTGATATTCCCTACAGATAATCGAAAGGGGGTTTCTTGGGGTATTTATTTAGGCCCTATAGACTTGTAATGGTTTTATTTAACATAGTATTTGGCGGAAAAGATTTCCCCTTTTAATAATATCCCATAAATTCAGGAATTCTACAAAGATTTGGCTCACTTATTTTATTGTCAGACAATATGTATATATAACTGCTGGCAGGCCTTGCCGCTCATAATGAAAAGTATTTTAATTAACAAATGGGTTTTCGTTGGGCAAACATCTTCTATAAAGGGATTTTGATTAAATTTGCATATTTTATGAAGCTAATAACTTTTACAGGGCATCCCTGCTTCGTTTTGAAATCCTCCCCAGACACTACATAATTCACTTGCAATTACATAGATTGCTGACTGATCAATGATCGGATTCTGTGCATGTGCCAGCGAGGCGCAGCCCCCAGGGAAACTGGTGCTAGTGATGGCTCTGCCCGATTTGCCGACAGATTGCGCCAGTTTCGCTTGCAACGTGTTGAGTGCAACATAGCCAAAGCGTAGAGGCTGCGAATCGGTTGAAAATTGGCGACCGCGACCACTAAGATAGGTCAACAGGAGAGCACTGCCCACAACATGACAGAAAGGCAGCCAGAGAGGGGGACGGGCGAGGAGCAGCGGACCCAGCAGACGCAATCAATGTCGCAGGCAGCAGCTAATAATACTAATAATTCGCAGCGCCACGTAAATCAAGAGCCTGAGTCAGCGGTGTTTTGCTTGGCGTCGACGCCGGAAGTGCTCGGTATGTCAGGGCAATTTCCGGTTGGCCGAGGGATCACCTGGGGAGGCAGCCAACCCATGAATCACCAACACTCGCCGGTACAGCGTGAACATGGAAGCAGGAACTCTCAAATACATCTACTACAAGCGGGAAAATTTCCTTTGCTTAAAGTTTTAAGGGAAAATCAAGGTTTTCCGGCGAGCAAATTTCCTTTACTTCAAGATCGGACGGAAAATCAAGGATTTCACTTAAATACAATAGGATATGCAAGCTTTCCTTTAAGTCTAGTGAAGGTATACACCACTAACAACCAAGTACCTTTGAAAGCAACAACTCCACATCAAGTATACGCCCCATGTGGCACACCCAGCTTCCCCTTATATCACGTATACGCCCCTTTGCACCTTGGATTTCCACAAATGATACAGCTAGGAAACCGCAAAAATTCCGGTGATGCAGTCCCGCACATAAGCATCACAATGACCAGGCGCAACCCAGCGCTGGCCAGCTCATCACCCGTGGCGATGGCTACTCAGGAATTTCCCATAATTAAAAAGCAATTTGTTAGCTTTCCCAATTATCGAACGGTGGCGAATGAAGATGGGCCAAAGACAACGCCCGCAACAACAACTGTGACGCAGCGGGGAACCGCCAGAGACACTGAAATAGACGGAGGAGGAGGCAGTGTACATAAGGTGTTTGATAATGAACCCGAGGCCGAGAGGAGGGCAACGACGACGAAGGCGGCAGCATTAAACTTGAACGTGGTGGAGGCGGTGGCGAAGGAAATCGAGCATCAACAGGCGGAAAATCTTAATGACGCCTTCGGCCAGCGACACGACCACAAAGGCAGAGTCAGCGACGACGCCATGGATGTGGATGTGGCCAAAAATAAACGCGAAATATGCGAGCAAAGCAAATTAGAGAAGGCCGAAGATCATAATGAGCTAAATATGACTGAGAACTTGGCGGATCAAGAGCAGCAGCAACAGCAGCAGCAGCGGCGGCAGAGGCAGTCAATATGCTTGGCCAGGGAGCAGACAATAGATGGGGATGGGTATGGGTATGGGTATGGGAATGGCAACCACCAGTGGCAGCTATCCGGCGATCTCTCAGCCACAGACGCGCGCGAATCGTCGCCAGAGCAAGTGGACGTGAATAATCTCGGTCGGCAGCAACTGACCCGCGAGCGGAATCGGACTCAGAATCGCTATCGGAATCCGTGTCCAAATATAGAATTACTGAAGAGTTCCGTGCGCGCCTTTCTCGCGGACAGCTCTCCGATCGACTGGGATTGGGACTGCGATTGGGAGCTGCTTGAACTTTTGACCAACGCCATCGAGCTGCTCTGCGCCGCGCCTGCGGACACGGGTAACTTTTGGAGCGAGGAGGCGGTCCAGGCCGAAGCGGACATGACCGTCAGCAAGGTCAGCGAGGAGCGGGAGACAGAAACCGTCGACGTTTATCCCGCCGCCGTTGAGCAACTCGAACAGCCCCTAGACTTGGAGTCGGAGCTGGATAACAATAACAATAATAGCAGCAGTAGCAGCATCCCCGTCATCATCACAGAGCCCATCGATATGAAGTATTCAACGAGTACTGCCAGTAGGATTCCCAGGGCGGAGCTATCCCAGCCCGTGATTCAACCCAGTAGCAGGCCAAGTGCCACGAGTCGTGTACGCGATGTAACGGATGTACAGCCTACCAGCCGGACTACGACAACTCCTCTGCTGGGCGAACTTAAGCGCAGCTCCACCGAAGCCTCCTCCATCGACACGGACTCAGTGCTGCCGGAGAGGACGCGTCTCCGGCGACAGCGACGTATGCGCTCGCAGGATTCCGTAGAGGAGAAGCCAGAGGATGTGATCGAGCGCATAAACAAGCTGAAGGCCCGCATTTCGGGAGCCCTCAGCGAGGTGAAGGGTGTGCTCAAGCAGTACAGCACGGAGAGCGAGGCGGAGGCTGGTTCTCAGGAGCTGCCTAAGCCATCAACAAAGCCACCACTAGCTGCTGCGGAACCAGCTCCAGTGGCCTTTCGCTTTGTGACAAAAGTGCGGCGACGCAGCTACTTCGACGAGGCCGAGGAGGAGAAGGAGCAGGCAGCATCCGCCAAGGATAATGAAAATCAGAGCAATCAGGGCCATCTTTCTGTGCCACAAAGGGATACCAAAGTTAAGAGAGAGCAGACGCCCTTTGCCTTTCCTGATAAAAAGGAAGCAAGTCCTAATTTGGAAACTAAAGGAAAAGAAAGCCAAAATATAAGGGTGAAAGTTGGACTTCAGGAGAAAGATTGTCAAGGATCTAAAGAGCATCAGGAGTCCGAGACCACGGTCGATGGTCAAGTAAAATCAAAAGAATTTAAAGAGGTTAAAAAAGATTCAGCTGAATCCTTCGAGAGAATCAAGGAAGAAAAATATCCTGAAAAAGATGAAAAAGAAATACTAAAATCTAATCTGCAGGAGGAGCCACCAAAGGTTAATGGTGAGCTACCCAGGACAGATCTGGATATGGGCAAACTCCCCGAAAAGAGCAAAAGCCAGACTAAGATTGAGTTCCTTGCCAAGGTGCAAAGTGAGCTAAAGTCCAAGTCAGTGAGGGAAGCAAGTCGTAGAGACGCATCACCCAAAGAAACAATAACCAAGGAACGAACTCGAGAGGATTCAGTTTCCAAGGATGTAGTAACCAAGGAACTGAAACCCAATGAAGTAAAATCTAGGGAAGCATCGCCAAAGGAAACAACACCAAAGGAAGCAGCATCTAAGGAAGCAGCAACTCCAAAAAAAGCAGAATTAAAGGATGTTGCTTCCAAGAAATTAGCTTCAAAAGAAGCATCGCCCAAGGAAAAATCTCCAAAGGAAGAGACCCCCAAGGAAGCCACTTCCCATAAACCTGCGAAAATTAAACCCGAACTAGTAGTCACCCCCGCCAATGATGCTGGGCCGCAGCCAGATGAGTCATCCGTAGAGCAGCCCATGCCCAAGATCAAGAAGAAAGTCATCGTGAAGGCAAAGAACCCGAGGCGAGCCTCAATAGCCGCTGTGGAGCCATCCAAGATCAAGGTGGAGCCGGCCGTCGAGCAGATCGATGCTCTCATCATTCAGCGGAGGCCCTCCGACTCGGAGGCGATTGTCAAGCGCAAGAAGAAGCTGAAATTAATGAGTGCAGCCGCATCCCCAACCGAATCCCCGCCAGCAGCAGCAGCCGTAAAATCAACAACAACTTCCGGCAATCAGAGGGAGGCGACGCCTTCAATAGCCGAAGAACAATTGGCAACGCCAGAGGTCACATCAGTGGCAGCCAAGTCGGCCAGTGCCAAGAGTGATCAAGGAGAGGCGACAACGGAGGTAGTGACAACTACAGCATCCACGCCAACGGAGGCAATCGATGTTGATCCGGCGATCAATGGCAATCTAGCGCCAGCAGGCAATCGAAGCAGACGCGCCAGCCTGAAACTAGCGGAGTTGGTTGGTGAAACGGTGCTGGTGGTGCCGGCAGCACCCCATCCAGTCCCAGCCACAGAGGCATTGCCTCCAACCGAGTCCAAAGAACCCATTAATCAGGAGACGCAGCTGCAGGTGCAAGCAGCGCCTCAACAGGTGGCCATCGCCGCTGACATTGCGCCGCAAATAGCGACGACATTGAGGCAGGAAGAGTCATCGCCAGAGCAGCAGCAGCCAGCGGAGGCGGTCGAAGCAACAAAAGTCGGAGAACAGGCGCCTCCCGGCGACAGTCTAGCCACCATGCCGGAGCTGAAAGTACTCGCGGGTCCGGTGCAGCCCGTCAAGATCGAGACGGTTGAGCAGCCCCACGATGAGGCCAAGGGACAGGAGCCGCTGGTCAAGAAGAAGGCACCTACGCACCTCAAGAAACTGGTGCGCAAGAATTCCATAGACAAGAAGGATGAGGCCAAGCAGGACCAGAAGCAGCAGGACTCCAACAAGCTGAGCAACATACTGCGGGACAAGAACAAGATCAACGAGCTGTCCTCCAGGATCAACAAGCTAACGCCGCCCAAGAAGCAGGCCGTTAAGCCCAAGGAGGAGGAAAAGAAAATAGCAAACGAAGAGCAGAAAGAGGAGCAGCAGCTAACGGAAGAAGCCCCAGCGGAGGAGGCTCCACTAGAAATAGAGGAACCCGAAACGGAACCTGCGCCGGAGCCGGAGCCCGCGCCCAAGCCCAAGAAGCCGCGCAAAATCAAAAAGAAGGTGATCATCAAGCGACAGAAGCGACGCCTCTCCATTGGCGACACATTCTTCCTGCAGCCAGAGCCCGAGGAGCCCACGATTCCCGAGATCGAGACCATTGAAAAGGCCATTGCCTACGTGACCGATGACGAGGAGGAGGAGGAGGAGCAGCCACCCCAAGAGGAGCCCAGCAAAGCCCTCAAATCCTGCATGCATGTCCGGGAGTACAAGATCGGGGATCTGGTGCTCTACGCCGAACGCTTTCGCAAGACCCAAGTGCGCTGGAAACGCGGCCGAGTGCTGGAGCAGATCACCAGCATCTCGTACAAGCTGGAAATCGAGGGCAAGGAGGTGCCCGCCCACGTCAGCTACATTAAGAAGTACACCGGACGGAAGGTGCGCTTCGGGGGCAAGGAGTACCTGGAGATTGACTACGAGCAGGTGGCCGAGGAGGAGCGCCGGGCGGCCAGCTACAGCATATGGAACATGGTGTAGGTGCAGGACCAAACCAAAAACCAAAACCAACCCAAAACCCCAGTGGCGTCCAGTGTCCGGTTACCTTTGAGTGGAATTAAAAGACTCCCTGGCCCGGGCTCAGGGGGATTTTTGAAGGATCTCAACTCGACATTCAGTAATGTTTAGTGTTCAGTCTAGAGCTTAGTGTTATCCTAGTGTTTAGTGTAACTTATTCCAGGATTCCAGGATCGCTGTGGATGTGGCCCCGCGATGCGGCCTTTCGTTTACATTTTAAGTACTCTGTATGTGTAAATATAAAAACAAGCAATTTAATGTTAAATAAAGCGGAAAATATTTCAGTTATGCGAGGGCGAGTTCTATTTTGGGGTTTTCCAAAGCCAATTACTCATAAAAACATTTATGAATCTGTTTATTCCGATGCTTCCCATTCTACGCCGATTGATGCTTCCTTCCCCCCCGACTCTGGCCGAGATTTTGCTTGTTTTCGCCTTTCGGTTTATTTATAAAGCTGCCGTTGATCGGGGCAAATCGGGCGATGAATGAACACAATAAAACAAAGGCCAGAGGCGCTACACAAAAACAAAAAAATTACAGAGCATTTAAAAGAAGAAGATACAGATACATTTTACATTGTTTGAAGATCAACCATATTATACTGTTACCCTTACAAGGTATTATCATTTCAGTCAGAAGCTTGTAAATCATTGAAGGAGTCATTTCCGACCCCATAAATCATATATATTATTGATCAGCATCAACAGACGAATCTTTCTAGCTATGTAGGGAAGAAAAAAAATTTGGACCCATTTTTTTAAAATTTGATAAGGGGTTACATCATTGAAATTCTGAAAAATTGACCCAAAATTTTGATATCTTAAAAAATTAAATTTTGTATGCAGATTTGTTAACCTAAAAAAACTAGAACATAAATGTTTACCGTTTTAAATTTGGTGCTTTTTTGACCTAACTATGGATATTTTAAAATTTGATTTTTCAAAAAAATAATCAATAAAAATCGATTTTGAAAAGTACGAATATTTCAAGTCTTTTTGCCATAAGTTTTCTAAAAACTCAGTGATTGCCTCCTTTTTCACATCACCATTTTGTTCAGTGTACAAACTCATTGGATGGATTCTGACGCCTTCTCGTTTGGACCATGTTAGCATTCCATGGTCATGGGGCCATAAAATGTGCCAGGCAAACCTCTCAATCGGCAAACAGAACGATATTCCAACGCCCACTCCATCAACGTCCTAAATACTATATCCCATATATCTACTATATAGGATATAGCCACGATCCCAGAAAATTTGGACAACAGAGAAATGCGTGCCATTAATAAAACTTTGGTTTGGCTTTTGCTGTGCATTGGCCTGCATTGCCAGCGAAATAGGAGCGAAAAATCAAATATATAGAAACGGAAAATCGGAAAACCCGAGAAAACAAAAAGAAAAACATTCCGCTAAAGATCGTCGGACATTTCTCATAATTGATTGTCAAGGCGTTTTGGCGCTTTCGGAATTCAGAGGGAAATCTCTCGCAATTATCGCCGCGCTTCGTACAAGAGACTTTAATTCGCGCCGACAAAAAGCACAAAGAAATTGTGAAAACAAAATGCAGAGCACACACATGCCAGCCATAAACATAACATCATGCCAGGGTGGGTAGGCAGAAGGCAGGAGATGGGTTCAGATCAGATGGGGCGTACCATCATAATATAGTAGACCTGCGAATATGCTACATTCCTGGGGGCCGCTGGCCGGCGGGATTTTCATTCAATTCTCGGGGCTGGCAACCGCAGTATTATCTATATATACATATATAGATATATATCTATGAGCGATCTAGACATTATGTACGTCTGGTAACGAGTACACGGAACAAAATTTGATATTTTTATGAGCTATTGTCACAGGTCTGTCAGGAGTATTCAGATTTAAATTAAATTAACAACAAAAGGCATCCAGGTAAATAAGGTAATCAATCAGGGAGGCAGTAATTTTTCTCCTCAATTTTAAAATAAATTATTTTTATGAAGAAAATATATGAAAAGGCTGGTTAGTATCTTAAGAGCACAACGAAAGTATTTCTTTGTATTTTTATTTTATGAAAAATATTTAATATAATTTATAGAATGATATAATTCAGCTATTGATCAGATATATCTCCCCCTAAAAATTATTTCCTAGTATTTCCTACATTTTCTATACCCCTTTTTTCATAGTTCCTCCCCCTTTTTCTTTGTGTACCGACATATTTGCTCAAAAGCAATTGAAGCAAAATAAGAAAACAAACACATTTCATTCTATATGTTCGGAATTTCGAGTGCGAGCGATAGTTGGGAACACTTATGAAGAGCAAAAAAACAAAACATCAACATCAAAGATTTCAAGTGCAGAGAAGAGATGAGTCCTCGCTGTGGGTTACACGCTAAACCATATATACGTATCTTTCTCTCAGCATATGCTTATATTATTTTCATTTTCCCCCCAGAAATCTTTATGTGCTTTCCATAAATCAGAGCAGAAATCTAGCGGAGCATTAGCCACCATTAGTGGTCAGCAGAGAAAGAGGAGCAGCGGATCATTGTTGGAGAGAGCGGAGCAGCACTTGGCTAACGAAACTGTGCCAAGTTCCTTGCTCGTAAAATACAATGCGATGTTCAACATCAATGTGGCTGTCCGCTGTCCACGAGGCCGTTTGATTGGGACCGGGTCGGACCCCATTACTAACAACGCAATTGCCAAAATACAACAAATTATTACAATTAATTGTATTAAAACAATAGCAAGGCAGTGTCCATGAACCCACACGCTTATTGTTTATCCTAGGAGATACCATAAATTCCATGGTGAAACTATGTATCTTTAGCTCTGAACTCTGGCAAGGCCATTGTAAATTTACCTCCCACAAACTATAAATCATTGGGGCAAGGAAACCTCCTCACATTCGCTTGGCACACGCTTGTGTCCAATAAAAAAATAAGAAAAGTCAACAAGTGACAATGATTAGATGCTAGAAAGTATAAGTAATTGCAAGAGATTTGTAGATGACTCAAGAGAATTAATTAGAAAATTTCAATTGAATTAAGAAACAAATTTTTACAAGTTCAAAGTCTAGCAGAAATATTTTGCTTTACATTTAAATCAAAAGATTTCTGCTAGAAATGAGCTAAACTATTCAATATACAATGTTTGTTTTACATTTCCTGAATCTCAAAACTTAATTAAACACCTTAGTCCTTCCTTAGATTTTCTCAAAAAATTAAAAAAGTTAAAACAAATATCCCCTTCCCATCTTCGCAGCAAAAACAATTAAATAGAAAACCGCAAACAAAAAAAAAAACCACACATTCAGTGGCTGTTGGCATGCCTTTGGTTTGGGTGTCACCATCTCGCCATAGCCATCGCCATCGGCATCACCGTGAACGCCAAAGATGGCGTCACACGGCGTCGCCGCCCACCATCTCTTGCCATTTCTTGGGGCAGATCTTAGATGCTTTCGCGGAGTACTCTTCGTCGTCGTCGTCACGCACACCTCGATTGACACTTTGAAGGCGCGTCGACGATAATCGCACCTGAATTGAATCACCCAAAGAGGGAGTAGTCCAAGGTCCAGCCTTGGCATTTAGAGACTTACGTTCGTTTTCGCTCTGCAGCAAAGTAGTGTCCAATTGTGAATTCACGTAGAATCAAGCTCCGTTGTCCAAGCGTTCCAAGCTCTCCAGAATCTCCTTGCAGACTATAGAGTCATGTGATTCTTCTCTTTAGGAATCCCTCAAAGGCAGCGAGGGGTTCCAATTGTCATCCAGTTGGGACTTCTTGGTGGCCTCTAGTTGGGGTTTCTTTGTGGCTTCCAGTTGGGGCTTCTTGTTGGTGATATGGCAAGGTGTAGATTGCTGCCTCTCAGTGAGATTCTCGGGCTCAGGTCCTGCAGCCTCACTTGCTTTATCCTCATTGATCCGTTCGGACTTGGATCTCTTCTTGGACTTGAAGCTCTTTTCCGACTTGGAGCTCTTCTCAGACTTGTAGCTCTTCTCCGTATGATCTATCATTGCTTTTGGTAAATCCGTAAAAGATTTCATATCTGAAGGCATTTTTAAAAGTTTTGAAGCCTCGTCGCCGTTCCGAAGTTGCACTTTTTTCACTCCCTCTTGGTGGATCGGATCGGAAAGAGCCATATTAATGGTGTCCTTATCCAGATCTTGGATTATAGCCTCCAGACTTTCAAATCTATGCATTGGTGGCTTTTGCATTGGATAGGAAACCTCTTCCCCTAAATGACTTGATGGTAGCTTCAAATCGGGCTGCTCAGGCAATTTATTTTCCTTTGAGATGTCCTTGACGCCATCGGGTTTCCGCTTTAATTGCTTAGCTTTCTCTTTATTCAGTTTCTCTTCGTAGAAACTCTTGAAGTGCTCGGTGTTGTTTTTCCTGGAATCGTCCTTGGATCGCCATTTACGGCTGTTTTTCGAACCAGGAATTCGTTGCGCCCTATGGAGGCTTTGGTCAGTCTTCTTGGAGGTCGATTCTTGCTTTCGGAACTTGGCAAATTTATGATATAATTTTAACTTCGGAGTCCTGCGCTTGCGGAGTGGAGCCTTACGCTCATCCATGGCTGCTTTTTCCGGCTCCTCTGGTGGCTTTTGATGGGTCATCTTCTCTGGAATTTTAATTGCCGATACTGAACCCACCTTGGGCTGGGTCTCCGTCTCCTGTTGTCCAAGAGGAATCATCTTTGAATCATCCCTGCCACTGGTAGTGTTACTGGCACTGGCAAGAGGATCGTTCTCCAAAAGGTCCTGGAAGAATCGTTGCCAGGTCTGCAATAATAAATCGTATTATTCAAGATATTCTTTTTACACTTCGTTTCCCATACCGCATGAATGGAGTTTTGGTCCTGCAGCCACTTGGAAAACAGAATCTCCATATACGAGCCCTTCGAGGCACTTGGAAACCCTTCCATATTGAGCTTTGTGCCCGTTTCGGACTCAAGGGTTCCAATTGGTCCAAGTCTCTGCCCGCTGGTGCCATCGGATGTTGCCGAGGCCAGGCTCTGGCGTTGGACTCGCTGCAAGGATAGCTGTAGCTTTAGGAGTATGCGACCAGTGGTCCATGCCATATTAATAAAGAACCCTCAATTTAGCAAATATTATGACAAATGAATAATTTAGATGATAGACTCGAAAGGGCGATTTTTCTCTCTAAAGACAATGTTTGCCTGGCTATATTTTTATTGTAATTAAATGATTTTATTATATATTATTTTTGTTTTATGTGCTCGTTTTATATTAACTCCTAAAATATAACTAAAAAACATAAACAGACAACTTAGAATTTGAATTTAAAAAGAAAATAACGGGAAAATAACCGCTTTCGCGGCTTCTGGGCACACTAACTCCCTGAAACCCTTAGGAACGCGCGGTCTGGTAACCCTGAATGCACGGCAACTGGCTGCTTCCAGTGTTGAAAACCGCAAAATGTGCTCTGCCTTGCCTAATATTTTTCAACTGCCACAATACGGTCACACAAGTCTACAAACTAATATAATAATTAATAAATTTGTATAGTTTTCCTTTGTAAATAACCCCTGGAGATTTGCTGGAGGCGCCACCATGAACCAGTTTCATGCGCCATCCTTCGGAGACGAGGTCTTCGAGCTAAATGACACGCCGGCAGAGGGTCCCAACCAAGCAGTAAGTACGACTGCTCCGGCAGACACCGAAGGAAGCCAACAAATCCCATCCGATCCGATCCAGCTCGGGAAACAGTTTTCACAGCCGACCGACCGCTCGCCCTAATTGACGCGCATCGATGGCCGTAATGGTTTTATAATGAACAAGAGATCCGAATCGCCCAGCACTCGCGTTTGTTTTGGCGACCAGCTGGACGGATGGACTCCCCCCCAGCTGCATGTACGCACGCACACAACAGCAAGTGGAGCACACAATCATCCCCTCTCCGCCCCCCCTTTGGGCGGGGGTTATCGTTTGGAGAGCGGCCGCGTCAGCTTCTTATCAGCAAACGGCACGCACACGCTCACACAGCAGCGGCAGAGGCAGAGACGACGGGCAGGTTACCACACAGCACTGAGAACTCTCCTCCTCCCCCGCTAGCTCGGCTCCATACAAGTGGCTTGTGCTTGGGCGAACGATTTGTACATTAGTTTAGTTGTTCACTCTGCGAGTGGGATTGCGCGTCAGATGAAGAAGTTTCTAGTGAGCTCCCGGATCCATCGGATGGGCAAAAGGCACCCATAACTAACCATGTCCTTGTTTTCTCTCTGCAGTCGCGGAGAATGCTTAGCCTGGATCACTCCACGTTGAACGATGACGATGAGGATGAGTACGACACATATGGCGGTGCCCAGGGCTTGGCGGCACAGCAGCAACAGCAGCCCCAGCAGCAGCAGCAGCAACAGGAGGTGATGATTCCCCAGCAGCAGGCACAGACTCCTCCCAAGCCGCTGGCCCCATTTGCTTTGTTCTTTCGCGACACTGTGACGGCCATCAAGCAGCAGAATCCCGCCTGCTCGCTGGAGCAGATGCAGGTGATTGTACAGACCATGTGGGACTCCCTGGATGAGACGCAGAAGAGCGTGTATAGTCAGCGGCACGAGCAGGATAAGCGGGAATATCTGCGCCTCATACGCGACTATCGCCACCACATGTCCGAAACGGAGGCCTTGTTGGAGCTAGAAAATCCAGTTGTTTCCTATGTGGTTCCCAAGGTTGAGGTGTGTAAGGTGGAGCCAGTAGAACAGCCACAACCACAACAGCCGCCCGAGCAGATCCAGCTACTTAGCGAGGCGGCCAGGGTGCAAAAGTGTACGCGAGAGCAGTGCAACAAGCCGGCCATCATTAATCCCGACTGGGAGGACGAGTACTGCAGCAACGAGTGCGTCGTCATCCATTGCCGCAACGTGTTCAACGAGTGGGCGCTGTCCCTAAAAAGCTCGCCCTCGTAGCACCTCGCCTCCGTTCCGCCTCCGACTGAACCCGCGCCTAGGCTAAGTCTAGACTCTAGATTCCATATGTAACCTAGCTTTTCGTATATCGCTCGGGTATATACACACACGAAGATATGATAATTAGTGTAGAAGTCCGTCAGTTTCGGGCGTAATTAGCAAATGTGCGGAAACGGAATGAACGCAAGCCAAGCTTTTTATATTTTAATTATTAATAGATCAACACATAAAGATAATGTTTACTGAAGAGAAGGCACAATAAAAGAGGCCAACGATGAATTTCACTGCAAGCGGTGCTCCTCTCTGTTTCTCTCTTTGTTCTTATCAGTGTTTTCCAATGACCACAAATCTAGCCAGATCCCTTTTATGAAAGCGGAGAGCAGCTTTGGACTCAACCACTTGCTCTCACAGAACAACCATTAAGAAACTTAAGAGAGCTGGATCTAAGTCGTTCTAAGACTTCTCTTTGATAACTTTTAGTAAAACGCAAAACAAACTTTACGAGCTCTGAAATAAACGTTTAACCATGCGCTACAGTAAAAACCCTTTTGTTTTATATGGTAAATTCCTTTCCCTTTGGTCTTATCAGTTTTCAATGACCAGATTTCCAGCCAGATCCCTTCTACAAGGGCAGAGAACAGCTATAGAAATAAGAGAGAGCTCGTAAGATGGACTCAAGATCAACTGAAAAGAAACCTAAGAGAGCCGGAGAGAGTCATAGCTTCAACATCAAGTTAAAAGAAAAGAGCTGATCCAGGACGCCTCTTTAAGAACTCTTAGTAAAACGCCAAACGAATTTTTCAAGCTCTGAAATAAATTCTTAATTAACGCACAGTAAAACCCCTTTCGTTTTATATGGTAACTTTTAATAAATACACACATTTATTACTTCTTGCACTTCATTATCAATATATCAATTTATCAATGCCGTTGCTTACAAAAAACACTCTTTCGTGTGCTTCGTTCTAAGTATATAATAACCGAAACTAATTAAAATGTATAAATTAATTGTATCAAATAATATTAATTATGTGTAAAAGAGACGTTTTCTTGGTTGCCTTGCTGAAGTAATGCGCCATTGTTGTTAAGAGTACGAATACAAGTTAAATAAACAACAGTATAAAAAGGAGTTCAAGAGATCCCTCTTCTATATAGTATATATAGCATATCAAGCGGGGGGTAAGGAGAGAGCTTAGAGGAGTCTCTAAATGCAGCCTGCAAAGCGCCATCGCTGGTTCGTACTTTGAGTAGAGAGCTGGTTTATGGGTTTATATAATATAAGCACATATTGCTGCTAGCATTTAAATGTAAACATAAAGCGCACTCTAAATAATATCACCAAATACTTGTTTTCATTCATCAGTTTTGTTTTCTTTTTCGTTTAGCTGTTTTCCATTCTATCCTCGCCATAAGCTAATATATATAGTTATATCTTTAAGTGGGGCTGGCTTAGGGTTCAACGGCTATATAACTTGATTCCGCGGGGACTTTTGGAATATATTTTATTCATATATATATTTTTGTCCGTTGGTAGTAGTAACATCTTCGGTTCAGTATGCTTTATCCTTTAAATATCATTCCTGCGGCAGCTGCCTATGCTAGATTATTGACTAGTGTTGCCTTATGGGACGTTTACGGTTCTGGGTTCGGGTTGTTGGATTCTCTCTTCCTTTCGGGAGTCATATTTAATACAACCTGAAAGGATAGAGAAAAGCTAGTTAGTTACGATTGTTATACATCCTCTGCAGCTCACACTCACCCCATTATCCTATTGATTTTGTAGCTCCTCTTCCTTTTTTACTCCACAATCTGCAGCTCGCTCATGTCCAAATCCGCGCTGTCCTTACAAAAAGTACTCGAACGCTCCAGCTTGGACTCTACTCGCTCCTTGGGCGCCGGCGCCACGCCCTCCATCTGGGCATCGATGAGCAGATCCAGCTTCTGTTTAACCGCATGGGCCGACTTGTAGGATCCATTCGTGAGCCCATTGGTGGTGCCCACTCCATTGGTCACCGTGGCTGTGGTCTTCTTCAGATGCAAAGTGTTAGGACGCCGGGTGGGTATGCTGGAGGGCAGACTGTTGCGCAGGTTATGCTGCTGTAGCATGCTGGTCACCGCGGAATGTGAGGAGGAGCGCAGGGGTCCAGCGGAAGAGCGTAGTTGCACTTGCTCTTCCCCTGGAGCTTCGGTTTGCTTCTGTTGCTGCTGCTGCTGTTGCAGCTTGTTCTTCTCCGCTCGCTTGGCCAGTATCTCGCGGGATTTGGCCGAAAGAAAGCTGTGGCGTCCCTTGTTCGGTCCTCCTCCGGTGGCATCTGTTCCACCCGCCGGCACTGAAATGGAGCGCTGCTTGAACAGCTCTCTTGTGGAGAGCGTGCTGCTCACCGAGGACAGGCGACTGGCTGCCGACTTGGTGGTGTGCACGGAACTGGGACTGGATCCATTGGAGGCCACCACTGCATTGTGCTGCTGCTTCAGCTGCCGCGTTGACTTGTTGCCCACTGTAGAGCCTCGCTGCGTGGCCTTCAACTTGCCTGGGGTATTGACTTTTCCATGACCATTCAGCTGCTGAATCTTGGCCAGCTTTGAGCTGCTGGAGAGCGACTCGTGTGAGATCGTTTTGTTGGTAATTACAGAGCTCTTCATGCTCTCCGCCAGGGAGTTTTGGTCGGAGGAGTACCTGTCCTGCGGTCCTCGCGAGTTGCTCTTGGCTCGACGCGCCGGCGAAGCCAAGCTGTCCATGGAGAGATTGCTGGACTTGTTCCCCAGCCGTGCTCCATTTTGCTGCACTCGACGAGCCGCTGGACTCGAGTTTCTTGAGCTATCGCTGGAGGAGATGTGCAGGTTCTTAGCTGGCGCTTTTCTCCCCCCATTGGCGGGAATACTGGAGCTGGTGGCACTGCGAACTGGTCCAGACCCATGGCCATTGGTGGCTGCAGCCCTGGGCTTGCGGGGTTCCAGGTAACGAGGTCGGACTTCGGCTAGTTTGGTGGTGGCGGTTATAGGCTTTGCTGGAGCAGCAGCAGCAGCAGCAGCCTTGGTTTCCGTCGCTACTGGAATTAGTTTCTTGTTCGTCACCGGCGGAGCCTCTGACTGGGTGCGTCTATGCATATTCAAGCTGTGGCGTTCCGAGGCCACCTGAGAGCTGGCGCGATGTGGGACATAGGCCCGGGAGTTGGACTTGAGGATTTTGCCTGGAAAGGATGAGGAGGAGAAAGGTGAATCTACAAAAAGTTAAAGGAACTCCAAAACTATACTTACTTCCTCCGTCTCGGGACTCATGATTCGCCTGCACTCCCCTATCCGCGGTCTGAACATGACCAGTCACTGCCTCCTGCGTCTGGGTGGCCTTGTACAGCTGCGCCTCCTGGGCATGGGCTCGCTTGGTCTGCGCTTGGATGGCCAGCTTGATCTGCACCAGATCCTGGCTTCTTGAGCTGCCTCCGAAAGAGAAGGCCTTGCCCACTGGCTTGCCATTCTGCCGCTTCATGTCCAGCGGCTCGGTGAGACGGGCCAAAGTCTGAATCTTTTTGCGCAGCTCCAAATCCATGCGCTGCCAGGCTGTGACCCGCATGGCCCGTGAGCACTGCCGTATGAGGCACTGTTCCACGGCATAGACAAGGGCACCCACCAAACGTATGTATTCCGGCTGCCAGTCCAGCTGCTCCTCCTGCAGGCCCTGCAGCTCCCGAGCCAGCTCAGACTGACCCAGGCTGGCAGGCATGTGTATAAGCTTGGCTTGGAGCACAGTGTTCAAGCGGGTTACACGCTGATAGCTTCTGCAGGCCTGCTCTGGGGTTAGTTCGGCGGCGGTGTGCAGCAGAAGCGTCTCCAGGCGGGGAATATGCCGGCTGCGATCGTGTCCTAAAGACAAGAAGGCATCGCTGGCTATGAGGCTGGCAAAGTGGTCACCCACATAGGCATAGGCAGCATCCAGGATGTCGCGTACTAGCTGCTCGCAGACATGGCCCCAGCGGTAGGCTGAAAGCTGGGCCAGCAAGTGGTCGCAGTCGAGCACCGTGTCCAGCACGGTCTCGGATGTCTGGAGGAAAAGTAAATCAGCAAGGATTGGGGATAAAGGGAATTATCCAGGATAATACTCACCAAATAAGCCACGATTTGCTGACGACACCTTCCCAGGATATCCGGTGGAAGCTGGGCAAACTGTCGAGTGGGCCACACCTTCAGATAGTGGCGACAAGTCCAGCGCAGGCATTTCCTGTACAAATCATCCAGAGCATGGTTCAAGGCCACGGGCAGGACCTGAAGAATCCCATCAGTGCACCCAGAGCAGGGCTTGTGGAAGTTGTGGCAGTAGTTCGTCTTCAAAGCATGCGAGGTGACCTCCTTGAGACCCTCCAAGCCCAGCAGATCAGCCAATGCTGCCAGCTCCATCAAACTAATCCCATCTGGCGGGTGCGAAGCCCCCGAGTAAATGTGGCATAGCGCAAAGTGCACAGCCGCATAGGAGTAACCTTGCAAGGAGACCACGCTCTGGGCTCCATGACCCGCCAGCATGGCGGCAAAGTACTGACACCTGGAGCGCAAGATGCACTTGTGTGCGCGTATCCTACGTCCATGCACCTCCACCAGCATATCCGTGGCTATCTCCTGCAGAAACATCTTGAGCAAGTCTTCACCCAAGCGGCGGGGCTGCCGGCAGCTCAGCGAGGACTCATCCATGCCCGATCTGCTAAAGCTGGAGGCCAGACTTGAGTCCGCACTGAGATCCGTTTGGATGTAGTCCACCTGCTGCTGCTGTGCCTGAACCTGATCCAAGGTCATATCGTTGGGCAGGGAGTTGGAGAACTCCTTGGAGAAGTTGGGAAACAGGCGGGAAAGGCTCCTAATGTTGTCCACCGAGTTGGTAAAGTTCTGCAGGGTATTTCCCGTGGATCGGGTCATGGCCCACGAGTGAGGACGAGCCCGGTTCTCGTCCCGATAGAGCCTCTGCCCCAGCTGAGAGCTGCGGTGGTTATTGCCCACACTCTTGCTCATGGAATCCGGCGATTGGAGATCATGCTTCACCGGCTTGTCCATGTCCGAGAGCTTCACAAAGCTGGAGGGGATCTGTGAGGGCTGCTGTTGAGCCTGCTGGGAAGCCTGTGGCTCGCCATGTTCGTTGACTGTCTCCAGCAGCTGCTTCTGCTTCTCGATGGTGGCCTGCAGGGATTCCATGGTGTGGCCATTGCTTAGGGTAACCTGCTTTTTGGGCGAGGCCGTCTCCTTGGCCTCGATTATGGTCTCCATCACGCTGCTGGTGCGATTGGAACTGCTGCTGGTGAGCTGTATGGACACGGGGAGTGCCACCAGTTCTGCTGCCTGCTCCTTGGCCAGCTGCTCGTCCTGCTGGAAGGTGAGATCATCCGTGTCCGTGTTGGAGGCAGGCGACATGTCCTTGGAGAGCACTCCCTCGGTGACCGAGGCCAGACTCGACTTGTCATAGGTCTCATTGAGCTGCACATCTTTCCGCCGCTTCTTAATCCTGCCCTGCTGGGCCTGGGCCTGCTCCTCCTCCGAGCAGCTGCTCAGGCCGGGATTGGAGCCACTAAAGTCATCGTAAGGGGACACGGAACTATCGATGGACAAAGAGGATGCCTTTGAAATAATGGGCAGCTTGTCTATGATGCTCATCAGGCCCGAGGAAGAGGACTCTGCTCCCCCATTGGCCGTGAGGCTAATGGATCGCTTGCACTCGCTGCCAGTTCCTGGTCCTGATCCATTGTTGCTGCCCCAGCTGTGCCGCTTGGCAGGATCGCTTTGCTGGCGCTGTTGCTGGGATAGACGACGCAAAGCAGCCACCGTCAGTGGCGGCTCCAGATTGCATCTATAATCCAGGGATTTGCTTTCGCCTGAAGAGAGTTCCTTCTGGTTGGCACTCTTGGCCATTAGGGTCTCCGTGGAACTAGCGCTTGACTTCATCACCTCAACCTCGCCATTTCCCCTTCGCTGGGGTGTAGAGGAACTCAGGGAACTGGACAGACGCTGGGCAAGACTCAGCGGCTCCTTGCGCCCATTGGAGCGCGGCGTTTTCTGTTCTCCAAAGTCTATAAACATGCTGAATATATTCTTCGGTTCCGGCTTGGGTTCCTCCCTAGCCTGGGCTAAATCCCGTTCCTTCTGAGCCTGCTCCTCATCCCTGCCGCTCTGCGAGAGATCCACAAAGAAACCCGCCGACTTGGGAGCTGTATAAGACTTGCTTAGCTGCGAGGGAGCAGGACTTGCTCCAGCAGCTGGCTTTGCCAATGGTTGCTCTTGCGGCTTCCTGTCCATGTCATCCAGGGACACGTAGAAGCCACATCCGCTCTTGTGCGAGCTGTTAGAGTCGGAGCGTTCTCGGAAGCTGGAGGTGGTGCTGCTGGTGCTGCGTCGCCGTTCCGGGCGGCAGTCGCTCATGTCCACCACCCAGGAAGCTATACCAGACACGGGCTTACGCTTCACGCGCATCTCCACACCGGCAATCTCTGGATCCTCGCCCAAGTCCTCTTCATCATCATCCTCATCAGCCAGCGGGCGAGTGGGCGCAAAGTCCAGGGACACAAAGCCCCCGGAAACAATTGGACAAGTATCCGTGCGCCTCTTGATGCTGGGACTCTCGCACTGCTTTTCCCTGAAATCCTCAATGGAGGCACCACCCGAAACTATGGGATTGGCCTCGTCGAACTTGGAGCTCCGCTTGGGAGTACGGGGCAGGGGCAGCGGCGAGTCGGTGGCATCGCTGCAGTATGCACCCGAGTCCCGGTGGTGAGAGAGAGAGGAAGACAGCGTGTAATCCCGGTGGATCGACGAGTTGTTGCTCCCCACGGACGCCGGCTCAATGTGCACCATGGAGTTGTGCGGCGTGGAGGCCGAGGCGGATACAGAGGCTCCTTGGTGACTCCTGCCCTGCTCCGACCACACCAGACTTGGAGCTGGACTGCTGGAGGAGTAGTCCGTGGTGTAGCTGAGATCGGGATGGTGCTGGCTCTGGTGGTGCTGCGTGAACTTCGGACTGCTGCCCAACGGATGCACGCTGAAATGCTGGGCATTGTGCTGGAAGCTGTAGGGCACGGACATGGGCGCTGCCGGTCGCTCCTCGGCGGTCTCCTCATGCTCAGGCTGCTCCTCTTGCTCCTGGCTCTGTCGGCTGGCTTTGCACCTGGCAAAGGCCTTGTGGAACTGCTCCAGCTGCTGTGTGGGCGAGGGCTCTGCCTCCTCTTGCTGCTCATCGTCCTCCTGTTGCGGCTGCTGTGGTTCTGGTTCCTCCTGAGCATGACCATCTAGGCTGGGAAAAGACAGCACTTCGTCCTCATCCCTCAAGGAGGAGGCATCTATGAAGCAAGCACTGGTGCCGGAGGTGGACAGCGGCTGATCCCGCTTCTCCAGATCCCTTAGCAAGCAGCTGGCGGTGATGCCCTTGAAAACGGAAGGCGTGGTGTTCTCTGTGTTCTCCTCTGGCTCCTCCTCGGGTGCTAGTACTGTGTTAGCTGCCGGATACATGGACTCCCAGGATCCTGTCTCCGTTGACACTGTGGACGTCTCCATGCACACAATCTCCTCGTTCTGGCGCTGCTTCTCCTCCTTGGAGGGTGGCTTCACCTTGCTAGCACTGGCACCCTCATATATCTTGTTGTCCACGTTGGAGCCACTGCCCGAGGGCAGCACATCTGTGGCGGAGACCGCAGCTCCATTGCAGTCGGGACTGGAGACGGGCGAAAAGGTGTCACGCTCCTCACCCAAGTCTAGTTCGCAGGTCTTGGCTGAGCCTGAACCCGAGCCTGAACCAGAAGTCGAGCCAGGCTGCGGTGCTCCTCCTGGAGTAGGACGCACAGCAGCCGCCGCGCGACGTATATCCTCGCTGTACTGCGGCGCCGAGGAAGACGAGGACGAGGAGGAGCAGGCAGAGGGACTACAGGCGCTGCTGCCACTGCTGCTGTTGGTGAGATTCGAGTAGTTCGAGTGATTTGGTGAACTGGCGTCCACCTGCTGGTCCAGCGAGCGGCCAGTAACCAGGACGGGTGCCTGTTCCGGCGACAAGGGCGATGCATCCATTGCGGGGGGAGGAAGGGATTCGAGGAGTGTGGGAGAGTGGAGTGAGTGGAGAGTGGTATGAGTGGCTTCACTCAACTCATCGACGCTTTCCGGTCTGGGCCCAACCAAGCCTGGTTATGCTTCGCTGCCTGTTGAATGCCAAGTGGTTCTCCTCCTCCTTTTTCTCTCCTTTTATTTTATTTTGTTTTCTTTTTTCTTTTAGCTGTCTTTGCTGTTTTTTTGTTGCTGTTTTTTGTCTAGGGCCACATACTGATGATGGCCCCACCCCCTGCCCCGCTGCAGCTGCCAACTGTCAAATTGTCAACTGTCAGCGCGTGTTGGCAACTGGGAACAACAGCGCCAGGCTGTGAAATCGATACTCAAGAGTCAAGTGTGCGGAAGGCTTGATCTCTCTTGAGCCTACTGTTTTTAAACCTGCTCTCTCTTGAGTCAATCCTTGCTGCTGCTTACACTGCTTTGCACATTTCCCTTAGGATTAATCCTCGATCCTGGCTTGCCTTAAACTGCTTACTTTCTCTTGGAAGAACTTTATGCAGATTCTTTAGTTCTCTTGAGCTTATTCTTGACTTAACTGCTCTCTCCGGCTTATCACTACACCTGCATTTCACTCTCTTCCATTAGCTTGCACTTCTTTTGCTCTTGAATGCCTGAGAATGCTAATGAGGGCCAGATCTGCTATCTTACTCCAGCTCGTTGTTTTCGTTGTTAGTAGATTTATTCGTTTTCCCTTTCTTCATGTGCAACGTCGCTATTATTTCGTTTTTTGTTTGTGTTTTTTTTCTGCTGCGCCTGCTAAAGTTCACACTGACTTCTTCTGTAGCTTTGCTATCTTGGCGTTTGTTGTTGTTTTTATTGTGTTACTGCTGCTGCTGCTGCTGATTTATCGCCAATTGTGCCAATTGTTGAGACTCCACTGTTGCTGTTGTTGTTGCACAATTAAGCTGCAAAAAAAATAAGAGAGAGAGAAAACATGAATTACTTCACACGGAACCGAGGCAACAACTACAAATAAATATACACAATTACACACACATACACACACATACACACACACTTGGCAACCGAGGAAAAAATTATTGCATTTACTTTTATTTTATTGCAGTGCCTTTAACTGCAGTTAACTTCTTATTAAATTTTGTGTGCTTGCAATTATTTTAAACTTAAGTCTCATTAAGCATCAAGTCGAGGCATGCGAGACAGGAAACGAATATAATTCAATGATAAATTACTGCCGTGTGTCTTTTTAACCATCATTTTTTGGCAAGTGAGAAGAATCGTTTGGGAAAGGGTATCATAAGAAGATTATAGATATGTTTATACCCTTGCAGGGTATTATAATTTTAGTCAGAAGCTTGAAAAGCAGTGAAGAAGTCATTTCCGAACCTATAAATCATATATATTCTTGATCAGCATCAACAGGCGAATCTTTCTAGCTATGTAGGGAAGAAACAAATTTTGGACCCATTTTTTCAAAATTTTATAAGGGGTTACATCGTTAAAATTTAACAAAAATTTGAATTTTTTTAATTTAAAAATTTAGTAAGCTGATTTGTTAACCTGGAAAAAACTAGCACAGAAAAGCTTTCCGAATTGAAATGTATACCTTTTTGGCTAAGTTATGATTGATTTTTGATTCGATGCCATGATCCTATGGCAACCTCCAAGGGTATACAAATTTCGGCTTCCCGAAGTTTGCTTCCTTTCTTGTTACAATTTGAAAACATCGAAAAAGTCCACCTCTAGCGAATATTTCAGGAAATAAATTGCCCAAAAAGCCAAAGAGTGTCATAAGTATTCTTAATTATTAAATTATAAATTAATTAGAAAATAATTGTTTCTTAATTTCCAATTACATATTCGAATAATCCATTAAACTCTGGCTTTAAATGATGATTGACAGATCATAAAAAGAATACATTAAATTACATCCATTCCAATTGAACTCAAATATCAAATTACATTTACGATCCTCAACCTTATCTAGAGATTTTCGAAAAGACGCCTCTCTGCACCCCAGAAATTCAGGAACTTTAAACCATAAAAAACATTTATCTGCCAGGCACTATCAATTATAGAGAAATAAACAACAATTTCATTAAATTAAGTTATTTATTTCCCTACAAGACAAGATGAACAATCGCTGCTCGCTGAAATATACAAAAACCCAGATGACGTCAATACGTGGCACCCCCCGGAATTAAAATCGTTGCCAGCTTTACCCCATTGGATATGGCACCTCCTCTACACCCATCTATAGACATACATATATGTATATAGTATAAACCACCCACCTCCCATTTGCAACACCCGAAACCAACCCTCAGAAACCGCATTCTACAATAGCAAAAGCTTGACCCTCGGCTTTGTTGCTTGCTTCCCCTTTTCGGGTCGCTCCCGGCAAACATATAGAATTTCAATTCCATTCCAATTTGTTATCTCGGAAGCAAGTGCACATGCAAACGCGATGGCGCTGCGTTTGAAATTCGATACTGGGAAGCGGGAGAATATGCTGAGGCCAAGTGGAATTAGTTGTAAAAACTTGGGAACTCTGAAGGCTCCTCTCGTTGTTTACACAGTTTGGGGAAAATGCCTTGAGTTAAGGATTTCAGCGAACTTACGCACAAACAATAAATATAATATACAATGTTTACTTAGTAAATATTGGCACAGTTCAACGAGAGAGTTGACAGAAAGGTGAGGTTTATTTATGGGAAATAAAACAGGCCTTATATGACACCTCTTAAGAGTTTAAGTTAGGCATGGGAAGTTATTAATATTTAAAATTATTTTTAAAATGCAATAACTCTTGGGAAGTAACTTTATAAAGAAGTTAAGGGACTTAACCGCTGACAAGTGCTCAGAAATTAATAGTTCTTTACGTAACTTAGCTTCCCAATAGAACTGTCTTGCATTGAGTCTTACAATCTCCTTATGACACCTTTCTCAAGTGTCAAAGAAATATTCAAGATTATAGTAAACAAGGAAAATCTCTTAGGCACGAGCAAATTGCAATTTATTTTGTATTTATTATATATTATATTCCCCAGCTATACCCGTAATATTCTCGGATCGAATTTGCATACAAAGGCAAGAAACAAATCGCTGAACATGAAAAGTAATAAGCTACGTACTCTATCTGGTATCTCTCCACCTCTATCGAGTGGTTAATCATGCAAATCGTGTGTCTGTCTGGTAAACAAACAAAGAGACTTGACTCTCGCATATAGAAGAATATATAGTAAATCAATCTGCGGACAAAGATCGATCGCTCGCTTGGTCTGTTACACTTTGCCAGAGGAGATCGTATCTTCAGCAAACTCCCGACTCCAAAACAAAGACATTATTTGCCAAACGAACTGGAAACAAAGGCCAGGCCATCGCCATCGAGATTGTGTCCCCGCCGAGAGCAAACAGTTGCAATATCCAGCGGATAAACACCCGGCAATTATGTAATTTATGGCTCACTCCGCCGATATGCAGTGGCAGCAATAAGAAACCAGCACCATAATCAGCCGAAGGAAAACGGAAAAATAAAAATAAATTCACTTGTAACTCGATAATTGCACGTTCTGTGGCCGGCCTCTCAGGTATGACTTCATATTCAAGCTGGAGGAATCCATGCATAATATTCCATATATGGCAAATGCTGATTTACTTAATATTCCACACGAAATTTATGTAATTAAATGGTTAATAGTACACTTTAAACAATAAACGATAGCCATTGAGGTATGACTTTAAAATCATAGTTTTTACAATGCGGAAATCTAAAAACGATTTTCTTTTATGAAGGAGAAACGTTTTGATAATAAAGCTAAAAGTAGGCAGAGATTTAATGGCATTTAAACAATGATTAATAATATTTTGAAGTATACAATAATATTTTTTTTTCCTATATCAAACCCTTTAGTAATAATTTCAATCTATTCAAAAATCTATTATAGAAACCTATTTTTTATGGCAAGTGTTTATTGTGATTTAATAATCTCATCAATGTATGCCCAAAACATTTATGCAATACCCTTTATTGTAAAATTATAAAGAATCGCCCCCGCACATACATAACAACAACCTGGTGTTACTTGGCACCCTGAAACACTCTCGTTTCCATAGGCGATTTCCATACCATAAACCCATTTATCGCTGGCAGATACCAAACAAAGGTCGGCATGAGTAATCCAAGGCCCAGAACAACGCCAACCAGCCACTAGACAGACAGACCAAGTCCAAACAAGATATAAGCTGTCGATAGAGCGAATAAAATAAAATAAAACGATCAAGAGGCGTAGCTCCTCGCTGATTTGAATCTCTTGCCAAATATGGGCGCAACAAGTTGACGATGACGACAAGTTTCACGATGATGACGACCCGACTGAGAGGCAGAGCCAAAAGCCACAGCATTAAGGAGAAATCTGAAGTCAATGTAAATTTATAGATTGTATAAGAGAGGTTCTGCTGGAAATGGAAAATGTACGAAAGCCAAACAATGCCTCGTCGCACCAGGAAGTGTGGGCAGAATTTCTGAAGTTTAAAGTCAAAACACAAGAAGATTGTTGGATTTAATTGGCACCCGGGGCCAAGAGCTCACGGGTAGAGCTTTGGATATTTTTATAAGCGAAAGTTGGGAGGTAAGAAGTCTAGGGGGTAATTGGTTTCATTTCGGAATAAATTAAATCTTAAAAAAATATATATCTTTTAAATAAGAATGCCAAAAAGGTTTTTATAAAATAATCTAAATTTCTATATATTCTTATAGATCAGTTTGTACTATTTTTTATTAAATATTTTTCTTTATAGATTTCGCCTTAATTTGCTTAAATTTAAATGACATCCATCAATTTATTCTAAGATCTTGGCTTCTTAATTATTTTATCTCATTTATTAGGGTCAAATATTCTAGGTTTAAAAACTCGTTTTGTCTAGCAAGTTGAAGATATCTTGATTTATTTTGCAGACAAACGACTCTCCTCTCAACTTATAGAAAATTAAATTATTTCCTTTATATCTCTCCCTATAGAAATATTCTTTTCTGTTTTGTTTTTAGTTTATTTAATAGAAACAAAGCGACAAACCCGGGGAGTGTGTGCCGTGAATGTCAATGGCTCTGACTCTGCGTCCATTCAAGCCAACCACCCGAAACCAGTCGCCGTTGCCGAAGTGGATCCCATGGAGGAGGAGTGGAGCGTGGCGTTGGGGAATAGAGATACCAGAGATAGATAGAGACAAGTGACAAACGATAAGTTTATAAATGCGGCTACATTGTTGCCAGCAAACTCTTTTGATAGAAAAAAATAATATATATAAAAATAAATAGAAAAAAAAAACGATAGAGGAGAAAAAAAGAAAGAAATAATAATCATAATGGCCTGTATTTATAGGAGGAGGCACAAAGCGTTTTGTTGGGCGGGGACCCAGGGGTTCGACGATCGCACCATGATGGAGCGCAAATCGATGGAGCTCTCTGAGCTCTCCGCCATAAAAGCCAATAATAGCTACAAGTATCCAGCCAACGAGCACTCACAAATTGCCGAGCAAATTGTCCGCCAAATGATGAGAGCCTGCGGCACAGGCAAAGGCGCACATGTGTGGGGCTAGAGATGGTAGTCACTGTTTGGCATATCAATTCATTCCCATTCAAAATCAATGATATATACGGGAGTATAAAGACCAGCTATGCACATTAATCGGTAACTAAATATGGGGAAAGGTAGAGTCTCCAAGACAAGCATTAGTTTGTAATCAAAAACCAAAGAGAATTGAGGTTTCCCAGCAAACATTAATCAGTTTAAATATTTAAAACAGGTTTCAGTCTGAAGTAAATGAAATATGTATGCCTTAAATGGTAACCAAATACTTTAACTGCCATAAAGATAAGATTAAAACACTAAATAGTAGCCAACTACCTATAAAAGCTAGCCAAAAAACCAACAAAAAGATTTAAAATATAAGCAAATCGATAAGTTAAACCAGAAATATTCCATTTACTTAAGGGGTTAGTAATTAGCAAAAACAATTGACCATGACATGGCTTAAAATCAAACCCTAATCGAAAAATCAATAGGGCACTTAAAGAGACAACAGAGAATGCCTTAAATATAGGCTGACACCCCATTTAATGGCTTTAATGCAAGCTTTATTGGGTATAAGAAATGGGATCCTTAATCGAAAGCCACCATCGAGCCATTATCCTTTACACCTTTTAGCCAGTAAACTGTTCCAAGGAAACTGCCATAAACCCCAAGGTGTTTACCTCGAAGGGATTACCAGTCGTCACGCTAGCACATCTCTAGCCATAACATGGAGCCTCCTCCTCCACCATCTCCAATCCACCTCCATAGCTGTGCCTTTGAGTATTTGGTGTTTGGGGCAATTATATGCGCCATGCATGGACAATCGCTGGCGCGTTGAATAGCATTTGATGAGCGCCAAATAAACCTTGCGTGCGGCTACAGCTAGAAGAGGAAACCAGAATTCACTTTCGTCTGCGGCCCAGAAACCAAGAAACCAACAAACCGAATTGAGGCAATGTCTGAGAGTCCAACTCTTGGCTGGTGGCTCTGACCAGTGGCCACGAATGTGTTTTATGGGCGGTTTGCGGGTGCTTTGGGTGATTCGTTGTTGTTGGCAACTAAAAACCACTTTAAGCGCCGCACTCTGTCATGTGGGTCTTCCTTTGGCCACTTACTGCTGCACTTACAGCCAAGTCAAAGAGCCAAGAAGCTAGCCGAAAAGCGAGGTTGCGAGGTCAGTAATGGCAGTGATTTAAAAGGCCACCCTCTTTTGGGAGACTTCACACGGAGAAAAGCATTTAACAAATGGGTTTTTAAGTAGAAAAATTAAGGGAAATGGTAGCTATGGGTCAGTGGTAGGGCATCTTTCTTTTTGGGAATAGTTTTTGTCACAACAAATATGTTTTTGAGTTATAAAACTAAAGGAAAATGTTATCTATAGCAGGAAAAACAAGTACTTATATTTCCAAGTGCATCTCCCACGTTTTAGGGTCATTCCGAAGGACACTGCACGCCATTATTGCCCATCTCTATCGGAGTCCCGACAGGCCAAGTCAGTGCCAAGTCAAGTTGCCAAAGGGAGTGGGCTTAAACAGAGAATGAGGCGCAGTGGAGCTTCGTCTTGGAAGTGAGGCATAGTCGAGCTTAAACAGGGAACGAGGCAGAGTGTATAGAGTGTATTGTTGACCCTGACTGCAAGTGAACGTGTTAATAAATCAAAAATTAAATTAGCATCGCTGACGTCTCCATGACTCGATGTCGATCAGGCGGAAGGGCAATTAAAAAAAACAAATAAAGTGCAATTACAGTGTACATTTAGTGGCGCCTCCTCGTCAGCACTGCAGCGCTAATTAGCGGACTCGCCAGCAGCGTCTTGGCATTGACTTGAGAGCCTGACCTTTCCCGGCGACTCGAGAGACTCAAGGAAGTGAACTGGAATGGAATGAATCCCCCACCCCGCGACATGCAAATCATTTCCATGCATACGATAATTGTGAGAGCCCAGCCACCAACCACGCAGCTGGGCTTAATTCATAATTAAAGATCACGCAGAGTGCAAAGAGGCCGACGTTGTCGTCGGTTGGGGTGTAATATCACGGCTGGAACGAACAGTATTCAATGGGGACAATGCCACAGTAAACTAAAGCCATAAAATACACAGGAAATTAGTAAAAGCCCAGCTTAAAACCCATATCTATTATACAAAATTATATATATAAAAAATGTATCTATAAGATACATGGAAATTATTGTAAGATTTTTAAAATTTTCAACGTTATATATATACCTCTTTATATATGCTTACAAATTTGTACAATTTAAATTGTATTAAAGTACCTTCCAGCCAAGTCTACCTGTAAATTGGCATAAACTTCAAGTACAACAAAGTCGACTCTTACAAAAAATTGATTTACGAGCGGTGGGGCGCCGTTTGTAACTCAATCAGGCGTCAAAATGTGTGTGCGGCCCTTGAAATCAAATGAGAGGAGACCGAAGCGAAACAAACCGAAAAATCGAGACCAGTCCGTCATCAGATCCGTCAAAGTGTCGAGCCCCAAGTCGGCCAAAAGCTGAACCAGAGGCTGGAGCTGGGAGCTGGGGCTAAAACCGAAAACCGAATCCAAAGCTGAAGCTTAAGCCAAGCCAACTGTGAAAACATCAAGAGCACAGCTGTTCTCCGATATGTTTGTTTGAATATATAGAGAAGTATGTGGGGAATGTAGATATTGTGAAAGGTATGACGGCGATAAGTACTATCTAAAATTCCAGAACAACGTGTTTTGTTTATTGAAATCTGAACCATCTTTAAAATATAAAAGAAATTTCAGACTCGCCACCTACTGTTTAAACAAAGAAATTGATTCTTTAAATAATAGTAATAGAAATTGATTTAACTTTTATATTTTAAAGCGCTCTTGTAAATCATTTAACATTTATAAATGTTTCGAGATTAAAATCCGTGGTACAGTACAGTTTACATTTCAGAATTTATTATTAATTTGTATATTATATTTAATTTAGAAATTCTATTAAATATAAAGATAGTTTTCACTTTACCACCATATTTTCTCATAAATACACTTGTTAATTATTTAAAAAACAACATTCTCCACTATATCATTAACAAACTTCATTATTTCAATACTTATACCCATTGTTCATGGTATTGACTGTTCGTCTAAAGATTTGATTCCATTGGAATCTGTTCACACGATTATATATTGTATTTTATTATAAGCCACATCCCACACACTGAGGAAACTTACAGAATATATTTGCATACACGTTCGTTACACATTAGCACTGAGCTTTGGCTTTGGTTTTGGTTTTGCTTTTGGATTTCGATTTAATTATTTTATTATTATGATTGCCTTTTAAGGTGACAAACGGAAGTTTTTTTCGGGGGCCTTCAGATTCTCTTTCGATTTATAGATTTCGCCCAATTATTGGAAACACCGAACACTGAATTTTTGCTGATTAAATGCCAACACACGTCGAAGCGCGAAAAATACAATTTGGACTTTTTTGATAGCGCTGCTAATCAAATTTGCTTGCCGCCGTGTCTCGGAGATTCGTTGGGACGCGCAGACACCCAACGGAACCGGAGAGAGCGACAAAAGAAATTAATTTACGGTTTATTTTTTATATTATGGCAATGCGCGCGGCAACAACGACGACGCTTGTGAATGTTTAAACTAAAAACATTTAAACAATCTTTTCGTTTTCGGTGTGTAACGCTCGCGAGCACCGCTCAAAACACAATGAGCAGGCGGCGGGCTCCACATTCTGAGTGAGCGAGCCAAGGCAGCCCCAAAAGCACGCGAGGCGGAAAGAGGGAGAGCAGCTGCGGTGGGGCCGGCTCTCAGGAGAGTGCTGCACAGTGGTTAATTACCAACAAGTTTTGTTAAAATTTTTTTTACGTTTTTAAAGGAATAAAACAAGGGACGTGGAAAAATGGTCAGCAATTTATAGCCTGTAATATCCTTCTCACAGCTCTGATGAAGCAGGTTTGGTAGAGCTTTATATAAATTCTAGAAAAAATATTTGTTTCATTATATTACATATTTAAAAACAAATTGCTATATAAAATTATTACTAAACTGTTCCAAGATTTTTACATATTTATAAGTTATGATTTTTAACAACAAAAATAATGGGTCATAACACAGCTTTAATTTTTACTACCAAACTTTTATAAAACACCCCACTGTGCGCTGGCTAATGAGCAGAAAACAGAAGAGAGTGTCAAAGCCGCTGCACTTTGAGTGACTGCTGCAAGTGAGTGAGAGTGTTGGGTGAGTGTGAGTGGGGGGGAGGGGGCCGGCGTGTGAAACTTTATGCAAATTTGCAATTTTTTTTTAATATAAGTGCGGAAAATAAAGCATTGGTGTCTCGTACAAATAGTAAACAAAAAGCCACTGAGCTATCCATCCGCCAAATATTTTTGCACAGAGCAAAATTATGAAGAAAGTCAAATAATAAATTTTTAACCAATTTCTAATCATTTTCTCATCTAAAATTGATATTTCTCATAATTTTATATAAATGTTTTTTACTATTTACTTACAAAATATTTCGGCTTTAATCAAACAAACTTAAAGACTTTAAACATATATCGAATATTTTAAGAAACCATTTTGTTAAATCATTAACTAAACATTTAAGTATCATTTACAAACTGCAAATGTTAAAAGGGTGTGAACTTTCTCATCTACAAAATATATGCGAAACTTAAAACAAAACATAAACATGTTTGAAATGGAAACAAACATTTCACAAACGTGTGGCAAAAGCAATTTGAAATATTTCCAAGCAAAAACATATCAAATATCTTTTTTACAACCGTCAAATGTAAATAAACATTTTGTTAAGATAACAAATTTACATTTTTCATAAGCCAAAGGACTGGATAAGCAAATGTTAATTTTTAGTAGATATTTATTTTGTATATTTTAACTATAATTTAAAACAAAAAGATTATTTAGATGTTTTGAATAATAATTTGACAAGCTTTTAAATAACATGTATCAAAATTTATAAGTTTTTCACATTTACACTCTGAGCATGGAACCCACATATAATTTAGCTTGGAATAATCATTAAAATCATCAACAGAATCATTCTAACTCAAGAATTATATTTCCACTCTTTGTAAACAATAAGAAATTATATGTTAAATGGAAACATGAACAACATGGGATGTTTATAAATGAATTTCTGTTTCCCCAAGCGATTGTATGTCGTTTTTTTTTTTTTTATTTCCAACTGATATGAAAGGCAAATTTGTTTTTTGGCCTTACCAGGAGGTGAACCTGCCTCAATTTCAGATTCGTAGGCCCGACGCGATATAAACAAAGCGAAGGCGGCGATGATGTGCGAAAGTTCAATGCACGTTGATTACACAAAATATCAGGAAATCAGAAAATCTGAAAAAGAGGCAGCAATTGCTGGCGGCAGTTGTGGGACAGAACAAAGCATTCCGCAACCGCTTTTGTTGTAAGAATAAATCACAATTTTATGGCATTTCCACGCAACTTGGCCAACAGCGGCAGCCAATAGTTGGCTGTTTTTTTCTGTTTTTTTTTTTTTTGTACGTGCTTTTCAACCTGACATCAACATTTTTCATTAACATTTGAACATGAAGTTACAACAACATTTAAGGGACCAAAACTTCATCTCTATGAACCATAGACACATGTCGCGCAGTGTCTTTGGGCCAGGCCAAAAACTCACTCACTCACTCTGTTCATATGCAAATTTTAGCCCAGCAACAGCAAAAAAAAAATTCCCCGAACAAAGAGTCTGACAAAAAGTTTATTTTGCAGAAGTACATTTTGTTTTTCTTCTTTTCTTTTTTAACGAAAACGAAATATTTATGACCTCGAGGCGACAAAGCAAAAAAAGACACTATGCATATGCACATCCACACATGCTCAGCTACCAAAAATACAGCAGCAGAAAATAAAAATATACAAAAAATAATAAAAACCAGAAGATGCACAAATGTGCAAGCTGCTGCCACTTTTTCCACGCAAAATATTCCCTTTCCCAGGCAGGGGAATATGAATACGTAATTCAATTTGTTTTCAATGCAAATTTTGAGGAATAAAAAGTGAAGGAGTGCAAAAATAAAATCTAATATTCTTTTGACTGCATGAAAAAGTAATAACCAGGACCCTAATGATGAAGCTCGTGTGGTCTTTATAAGCTTAAAAATTATGTGAGATCCTTTGACATTTGGGAACTTTTAATAAATTGGAATGAGATTTAATAAATATAAGATATTTAGATAAAAAACAAAGCTTTGATTTCTCTACAATTATTTTAAACATTTCCAAAACAAATATTCTGAAAAGATATTGTATCTTATCCCACTTTGAGTCTCATTTAAATTATATTTCATTAAAAATAAATATAAACAAAATGAAATAGCCTTAGTAAGGTAATTCCCTATTCTTTATACAATAAAATTAAATTTCCCTTTTGCATTTCATGCTAGCCGGCCATCATTTCTGACATTGTCGGCTGCGAAAATGTTTAATGTCAGGATCGACGACAAATGAGATGTGTGTGCTAGTGCATATAATGGCTCCGTGACTGCCATTGCCTTTGAATTTCGTTGGGGTGTCTGTGCCACATGTGCGTGCCAAAAAAGTAAAACAAAATATATATATATATTTGGGGTAATGGGAAAGTGCGTGCCGCAAGCGAATAATTTACGATCCAACTGCAGTTGCGGTCAGTGCAAGTGAATGCGTTTTCAGGCGACGCGACACGATCATCGTCGTCTGGCATTATTTTATAAACCCCCACAAGACCGTCAAGGTCAGCGCTCGATACCAATCGAGTGGAAATACTTTTGGCAGCCCGCTCGGCAGATTAATTAAGGCAGATACATAAGATATAGAGACAGACAGACAGACAGAGAGAGAGAAGCCAAAAAAGCCCGAAAAGTATCTGCTAATGTCCAAACAGCGGGCCGCTGAAAAAGTAATTATTATAAATAATTATTAGAGCGCAGTGGCAGTTAGGCAGCGCCAGCGGATCCAAACGTTGAATAGCTATTGTTGTACAGAAACAACACAATTCTGCTCTATCTGAATCTGGCTCTCAATCTGAATCGGTGGCTGACTGCTGCTGCCTGCCGGTTTACTTTCGAGAGGGGATACAGTGAGAAAATAAGGTTAAGATACCTTTAGTTGGATTTTTGAAAGGTAAAAATAATAATATAAATTAAACCTACACAGGTTGGGGATTTTAGAGAAAATCATGCTGTAGTTTTTTAGAATTATTTGAAGACCCATAACATCAAAAAAGTTGAATATTTGAATATCAAATTGTATATTAAGTGACTTTTATTCTGTGTTTGGATTTATTTTGACTTGTATATCTCGCTTAAATACAGTAACTGATAAATACAAGCATGAATACCTTATAATGACTGATTTGAATATAAAAATATTCAAAATATTATTCATTAAAAACAGTTTTACCAGTAAGAAAGTACAAAGAAGTACTCAAACACTTTTATTTATTCATCTCATTGAAAAAATTACTTCTAATAAGATATTTATTAACCACTAGAAATATCTTTTAACCTACACAATACCTAACTTCTTGGTACCCCAATTTTTCTCCCTCTGCTGTTTGGTCTGAGTGCTTTTAGCACATTGATAGATAGGCACAGGCCAACGCTCTCACTCGACGGCTACTAAAACCGGGGCGATATTGTACTAAAGGCACCGAGGTGGGGCATAGAGAAAGAGATTAGGCCAGACATAGAGTTTTGTGTATATAGTATATACACCCATATAGAGACCATAACTCCACTGCCGCTGCCTGCAACTTTCCATATTGAAAAATTTTCCATTGTTTGCGATTAGAGTTTGGCGATGCAAGTGCGCAGATAAGCCGCTCATTAAGAGTGTTTCTTTTTAGATTTTACTTTTCTTTGGCACTCTATAACATATGGGATTCAGTGAGTGGGGAGAATAATAATAATGGGAGAATAGGAAGCCAAGAAACACGTAATTTGGTTTGTGCAAATTGCAACTGACAACTAGGCGTGGTCCAGCCGGGGTTTTTGCATATGGAAATGCGGTAGAAAAACAGAAAAGCCGGCGTCTGGAGCTCATTTGTTAATCTTTCTTCTTTTTATTTTATTTATGCGCCATCATTATTCAACACTGAACATGCTCAAGTGCCGTTACGTTTGTACATAAATCCAACAGCTATTTTTGCGGTCGTCTACCGTTGCCTACTATTATTTACCCAGTTATAGCCTCCTACCATTGTTGTTGTTGCTAGGCAAATGTGCAAAATGTTAATAAACTTTTATTGCGCAAAAAGGTAAGGCATATTTGCCACTGCCACTAACATTTATTATAATTGCGCAAAATATATGCGCTTTGATATGCCAGCGAATAGCAAATAATTTCCATGCTTTTCAACCCAATCCCGCTTTTCAGCAATTTGCCAACGAAAGTCATCATAGCAATTGTAATAAATACAATATGAAATATAAGTAATACACAAGCAGATGTTTGCTGTTTTGTGAACTTTTATTGTTGAATCATCCACGGCGCATCTTTAAGCCCAAACAGCAAACAAAAAATAAACCAGAGGGTGAGTTCACTGCAAAAGGTTAGTCATCTCTGAGCAAAAATATTTCAATATGCAAATAAGTGTCTGGAGAGAGCAGACCCTAAAATCATTAAACTATTATTATTTTCACACTCTTGGATACCAAAAAATATATTT